CATCACACTTTCCATGTGTAGTTTTGTCTTCACTGCTTCTGTGTGAAGGCTTCACGGGTGGAGTGCCGTTTTCAGACATGAAACACACGCTCAAAGGCTCTACTAGCGCAGAATTGAATCCACTTGTAAAAGTTGACCACAAACCGCCTACGTTTGCAATTTCCAGTCAATTCATTGCAGACGTTTGGTCGAATAGGTGAGCAGGATGCCGTCTGCGTAGATTGCAAGATCGCCCACACACGTAGACAAGTATCGTTACATTTTTATACGGAACATATCCATCGGAATAACGTGGTGGAATCGAGTCTTTGAATGCATCTCCATCGAAGGAAAACATTACCGCTTCTGGCACGCGTTTTACCCAAAGTCGTCACATTGAGGCGCCCCATACGGCTGACTGGCTCGAGATCATGGAGAGATCCATGGTTTTATTTTAAAAGAGTCTCACTCGTAACAGCACGGGTCTGAGGAAGGCGAAATACCCGAAGCGCTAGCCATCGATCAACAACAACGACGGCTATACTAACCTCGCATCAGCTGAACAAGATCAGTTCATAAGAACATATAAATAAGTATATTTAAAAGGATGTTTAATAAGTATAAACATTGCTGCAAAAAATGAAAGGAAAAAAAGTGAAGGAATCGAGAAGTTTTTTGAGATTGAGAGAAGAACGGATTTTTTCATGCTTGTTGTTACAGTAGATTACACATAAGCAGATAAGCGAGGAAGAACGGGTAGTGTTTTTCACTCATCTATTTGCTTTTGAGGTACGATTTATGAGGTCTGTTTCGTCTGAAGCGAGTAATTAAAGCTTTTGACCATAGTCATTCAAAAGATTCAACGTTGGGAAGTTGCTGGCAGTAGAACTGCTCGTAGCCAGAATGAACGCGAAGATGAAAACCCAATGACCTCGTCCTAGTAATCAACTTGCCCGGTGTTAAACTTCAATTCCATCAAGGCGTTTTCTTGAAAAGGTATGGAAATGAACAGGTCTCAAGCGTTGCTGATTAGTTATTACGTGCTCGCTAGTTATGTAGGTTCTAGAAATGTTTAACTTTCGCTGCTACCGAGGTGTCTCTATAGCTGAGAGGGTAACGCATGAGACCTGTTCATCTATATAGTTCAGATCGTAGACAGAGGGCGATTTCTTCTTTAGTGATCGCTTATAAGTAACTTCTTAGTTCTCACGGCTAAGTGGGGTATGATGCTTTCGAAAGCTTCTTTTTGCGTCCATTTCCTAAGTTATCTTTATGCGATTTGATTTTAGAAAGCAGATATATTTCCTGCTTAACTTTTCTAAAAATTTAAGGCGATCACTTCATTCGTTGCGAAAGAGTGATTGCCTTTATGGTTACACCCTGAGAAGTTAAATATCACTGCTAATAGAACGAAATGCTTTGAGAACCGGCAGACCAGTTGTCTTCATGATTTGAACCAATGCCATGATAGCTAATTAGACATTTCTAGCAGTGATCATATTGCACTGGAGATGTTCTTGGATATGTAGTGCGCGTAGAGGCAGTGTATTTTTAAGTTGGGCGGACTCCTCGGCCTCTCAACAGCCAGTTAACCATTCAACAAGCCAGCCGCTCCCTCTCTCAGGCATTTGCCCATCCCTCTTTCACACTTGTCAGTCTACATCGACACGATCAAGCAACTCGCAAACTGAGTTCATCTGAGCATCTCCAAGCAGGTACCAGCTATGCCTGGAGCGCCACGCTTCACCCAGAAGCCGTCTATTCAGCAGACACCGACGGTAAGTCTCCACACCGCTGAGCTTTCTTCTCGGTTCTCTAGCACCGTTTGACTGTTGCTCATTCTTCTTTCTTCCGAAGCTCTTCTCCTTTGATTTCTCCTTCATATTTCCTCTTAATCTGCTTTCCTTCTTTTGTTGACTAAGTGTTCACTGTTTAAGCCAGTGTTTCTGTTCTCGTCAACAACCCCGCAATACGTTTATAGTCAATAAGAGGAATAAATGAAATCTTTGAAGAACTATTGCTCACTGTGTGCGGTGACGGTGAGGGGGCGAGAAGCCTGCGTCTGTCTGCCAGCTGTCCTCTCGCTCCGCGTGCCTTACCTCGTTTCTTTTGCAACTAGCTGGACGTTGTAATAATAAGACACATCAGCCCGTGACTCGATGGTTTACTTGCTAGCTTCAATTTCTGCTATGAATGAAAATATCTAAGGGTGTTTCTGTGTGAAAGATAAAACAAACGGCTAGCAACTCCTTCTAGGATTATGATGGAACGAGGAGGAAAATACCTCTGTGTATGATTTACTTCCTTTGCCTATGTGTTGTGGTCAGAGTGTAGAAATAACGGCTCGTCGTTCGGCAGATTGCGGCATGTTGGAAGAAAGCCATAGATTGCTAGCATGAACCGATTTCACAACAAAGACGACAAAGAGGAGAACAGTGTTGTCGTAATAAGACATAATCGCTTTTTTTGCACTTATGGACACCGCGAAAGCATCGCTAGATATGCCTGTAATGATATGGTTATGACAGCCAGAACGGATGCCCCAATATGCGGAATATGTAAGGGGAAGAATACGGCCGTTTGTTTTCATGGACAGGACCACCTAAGTGTTAGAACCGAGTTCTGCAAAGTTCCGATTCAAGGAAATTATCTGCTCTGTGATACGAACCGTACAATAAGAAATTACCAGAAATCTCTCGTTGACAGCTCGGCTAATCTTGCGCATTCTTCGTGCCTTCTATACTCCGACTTAGGATGGCATACGGTGGGTTGACGCGACCCGCCACTGGCATACCTGAAATGGTAACGCCACAGTAACTGCAGCAGCTGTGTGGGTCATGATTTCTCGCTGTTTTCACCTTAGTAGATTGTGTCTGGTTCGTTTCCATTAGAACAAACTGGACCTTGATTGGTGATGCGTGCAGAGAACAGCCCAAATCGTCAACTGTGACAATATTTTGCTTGCGGCTGAAGTAAATACAATCCTGATCGGCTTTGTTGAATAACGAATGGGCCGAATTTAAGTGTGGTTTCATGGCAAATATCAAGGAGATACTTGCAAACATCACTCGTGATTTTGAACGGCAATAATCTCTCCGTTTGCTGTTACACTCTGGTATGTCATGACGCCACAAAAATTTGAGTGACTTGACTTACCGATAATTTTATGGCCCGCGACAGATACTGAGCGATGAATGGATCTCGCTTTGAGATTCAGCGATTGGTGGGATTAAAGTCAAGGAATAGTGCAATGGTTTACGGTGACACAATATTGGGTGATAAGCAATCAGGACGTAAGAACTACTGGTCACGCCATGGTCATGGAAGTCACTAGATGGCGCCTGACAGTTACGTTTCCAAATCACTGACGTCAAATTCTATAAACGGATTCTCAACTCGTAGCTAACGAGCCGATTTTATATTGAGCTCAGCTGATCGCTTCGCTTGTGACTTTGCCGGCACTCTGAACTGCAAGAGATTCTCGACAATTCTAAGCCCAGACGCACTTCATTGTCGCTACGCAGGACGGGGGCGTGTGTTTGCCAGGTGGTGCAGACCCGATCCTGTAGAAGAGTGTGGACGGAGCCTCAGGCCGTCACACGTCCTCATCGATCGTCACTCCGAGCGCGGTCAATCAATCGATATACAATCCGACAGAAGCGGCTGAAGAAATGTTCTACTTCAGAATTCTCGATCGAGGAAAATAAATTCCAATGAATTGTTCAGTTATGATGTCGGTAGATATGTTAGGATTACTTTTGGATTGGTCGACAACAGCGGTTCATGCACATCACAAATGCGACTATGTGAAGGGTTTTTGCAGTTCTAACGTTTTTGCAACGTAATCCTGAAACTGTGCTTGGAGTTCTCCAGATAATGGCAACCATTCTTTCTTCACTAAATTGAATCTATCGCTCTTGTAGAAATCGCTGCATAGGGAATGAGTCTTATTAAAATTTTACATTTTATGGGATCCTTGTTTTCGTGGGAGGCTTGAAGTACCATTTAGAAACTTCGGTATAATTAGAAGAGACGAACGGTTGTTCAACGCTGTAATCTATCTAGGAGCGATACATATCCTTATTTTGACCCTACTACTTAAATGCTATGAAGTAATAATGGTTTGCTGTTGTAGAACTAGTTGTCACTAGTACTTGTTACTTTGCAAGGTCTTTTAGGGAGTTATTTAGACACTAGCAAGAAAAAAGGTAAGCAAACAAATTTGGCTCTCATTACATCTGCCTCAAAGTTGAGTCAGTGGCGATTACTGATTGATTCTGGTTTATTGGGTAGCTGTATCGTCCATAAATCTAGTAGATTGGTGTGGTCTTCTGAAAAGCGCTTTACTTCCCACCACCGTTATGATGCTTTCCATGAACGGGGGTTTTTCTTTTCCTTTTTCCAGCTTGGCGATCTTCTAATTCTCAATTCGCATATGACAGAAATCAAAGGAAAGATTAACCCGTGCTGGACGCAAACATGAGATAAACGTTTTACGACCTCAACCCATTTTTTTATTCTGTTTCTAATTCAAAAGTCACTTCCAGGCGTCGAGTGCGAACATTAGCTAACAAAATGAGAGTGTGAAGTCCGGCGACAAAACAGTGATCAATAAGCCAACAAATAGACAAATAAATAATGAATCAATAAGAAAATGAATAAATCAAAACAATAACAATCAATAAAAAAAGGTTGGAAAAGTTTGTGAGATCATGCAAACTTATCATAGTATGATTTAATAATATGACTGGCTTAGTACTGACCAAATCCAGAAGATTATTAGTTTTCTTGGAACGAAATAGAGGTCCATTGAATCCTCTAGGCAAGTTCTTTCTACTGGAAAAATTGCGTTTTGACACAAGGATGAGTCACAGGATTAAAGTTGAGATTTTTTCTCTGAAAGATCCCCTCGCATACTTTTTTTGTTTTTTCCTCATGACCGCCTCTTCTTCATCTTCTTGAATGGCTGTCTGTTTGTTTTCTTTATTCTTCCTCCACTATCTTAATACCTCGATCACTCAGACATCTCCCCATCAACTTCTCAATTTCCAGTGAAATAAAATGTTCTTCCTTGAAGGGTGATCTGTTGATGGAATGTCTTCTGGAGGCCGATCCAGCTCCGACGATCTCATGGCAACATGCTGGCAACGTTATTACCTCATCAGCACGAGTTTTGCAAGTGCTAAGTCCACTAGAGGGTATTCTGTATAAAGCAAATCTTATAATCAAGGTTCGTTTATGCTGTGGTCTTCTTTTTTCATCTACGTGAGGTTTTTCAGTATGAAACTAAAAAGATTTAGTATAATTGAGAGCGTGACAAATTGTGCTAGTGTCCTTATAATTGCAGTCCTGATCCAAAAAGACCTAGTGCTTCATTGAGTTTCGAAAGGTTTGAGGGCCAAAGTCGAAACAACTTGGTGTTTTAATGTGTAATAACGTTAAAAATTATTCATAAGAATTAACTTGTCAGTAGTGAAGAAGTTCCGAATATCCCTCATAAACAACTAGCTCTCGTCGAAGCCATCAGGACCAAGACCACTCACTGAAATTCGCTGTTTAACCTCTTTTTTTGCAGACAACAATTCTGACTAATTTCTGAAGTGTTTCGTCATCCCTTAACTTTTTTCGTTCGATAGCACTTCACGTGCAACTCTTAAATGAGTTTTCCGTTCGTTTTGCAAACGAAGAATACCCGCCTAATAGGAGTCGGAGTACGATTGGTTTGCTTGTAAGCGCGAGACAGAGACCATATAAAAGAAGGTTATCTACGGGCTTGTGGAATGGTACAAGCTTCCATGCCTGAAGTGTTCTCTTCGGTTTTCTTCTTAATACCGATGTACAAGTGATCACGTTTTTGCTCATTCTTACACAAATGTTTATTCAGATTGCATCTATCATCGTGGCCTCTTAGACTGCTTGTACGTGATATTCGAAAATTTAAAAAAAGCTGACAAATGAAAAGGATGAGTTAGTTTCCCATACAAGCCCCTTCCCGTCGCATCACAATACCTCCCTAGTGTATTGTTGAGGCAGTGAATAGCCGTTAACTTTTTGCAGGGTGGGCAAACCTAATAACCGCTCTCACATTCTGATGGCAGTGAATGAATATCTCATTGAGTTTACCAGGCTCTTTTTTATTTTTTCTTTCATTTCTTATATTCCTTGCGAAGAATGAGCAGCCATATCAACTGTGGAGAGTCTGTACAGCGAACGAATCGTTCAATACAGTTCGGCTAGTTGTCGTTAAGAAGCAAGTTCAAGCTTCACCTAGTGACCTCACCACTGAGTGCTTACCTCTCTAGTGACGGTGATTATTAGTTGCTTTGGTGAATGAATAATCCACAAAGAGATATTTTGACTTCTGATTACGGTAATTGATGCCTCTCTCTTACAAACGATGAACGCTACAGTAGTTTCAATCTGGTAACGGAAGTTCAGAGGCACTGGTTAAAGAAAATTTGTTTGTAGTGAAAAACGTGTAAAAGTATTGAGGTCCTTCTCCTTCGCATGACCAGATAAACGGTTTTGTTTTCGAGTTAGTCTTAGCCTAAATGAACAACTTATCGACTTGGCAGTACCAAAATATAGGGTTACGTCAAGCGTGTGATGAAGAGGTGATGAGCGCCTTTTTCCCCTATCATAATCTATTCTATTGCCCTCTATTCGTTGTATTCTATTCGCAGAAACCTCGTAGATTTTCTAGAAACTTCTTTTCTTAAGTACATTTTATAATAAATTGCTTCATTTAATGGGAATAGGATAAGTTTTGTCGCTTTGCTAATGGCAGACTAGTAATCCTCTCTAAACGAAGAAACGTATGAGAATTCTTTGGCAATTCCGGTAAACTTTCATTGTCGTGGTGCTAAATACTTTATGTTTCGAATGACCATTTCTATGGCTTTTCACTTGACTAAATATGTTTTCTTTTGACAAACATATTTTTTCAAACTACGTATGATTCCTATCCATTTCTTCTTTTCACACTGGCTTCTTAGCGCCGCCTGTTTAAAGTGAGACCTTCATATAAACGTTAAGTTGTCCCTGAGGAACTCTCAGTGTTACTTAGAAAAAATGCGAGCGAACGCATTGAGGATGAAGAAGAAATGATAGTCACTATTGCAGGAACCGAACGTCGGAGATGGCGGAGCGTACAAGTGCACAGCTAGAAATCAGTTGGGCGAGTCGAACGCAAACATCAACCTCAACTTCGCCGGTTTGATTTCTACACTCTTTCGATTTCGTGAAACGAAACGTGATCGGAAGATGGACGTGGAATTGGTTACAGGTGGGGGTGCCGACGAGAACAAACCGAAAGGGCCGTCGTTCATCGGGAAGCCGCGGATAATCCCGAAAGACGGCGGAGCTCTCATTGTGATGGAATGCAAAGTGAAAAGTCCGACCCCGCCAGTTGCAAAGTGAGGATGTTCGGATTCATTAAAAATACTTAGGCTGAGGGTGGAATGTGGGGAGAGGGTATGAGATCTACTAAATTATGAGCATGACTCGTTGTATTTTTGCTGCTATTAACGCTCCGTAATTTTCATTGAAGAGAAAACGTAGAGAAAGAGAACTGTAAGCAAGTAACTCGTGAGATGTCTCCTAATTGACTTTAGAAACTAAAGAAGTCTATGAACGCAGACGAAGCACACTAGAATTGCAGTAATCTGAGGAAGGTAGTCTTCCAAAAGTGTATTGGGCTTTGCTCAGGTAATCGATCTGAAAACTGGAACTGAAGAAGGAATTGTTCCTTGGGAATCTTCACCGCAGTATGAGTCACATATGAATCATGCAAGAACGGAAATTTATTTGGCCAACATTTAAGCATTCGTGGTACTAATATAGTTGTAATCGTTACTCACAGAGCAGAGTGAGATAATGATCGACACGTAGTCCTCATTATAATGTACTGATTCTATGGCCTGTGTTCTATGATACAAATATCTTACAAATTGTTTGCTTAGGTGGATGAAGGACGGCGTGCCACTGCAAATGGGTGGACTTTATCACGCCATTTTCACTGATCTCGGTGAACAAACTTATTTATGTCAACTGGAAATCAGAGTAAGCAATTTGTCACTGCTTAGTGAATGCCTTCTATCTTTCTATTAACCAGGGTCCGTCCATTTCTGATGCCGGCCAGTATCGCTGTAACCTCCGTAACGACCAAGGTGAGACGAACGCGAATCTAGCGTTGAATTTTGAGGAGCCAGAACCTGAACAACGACTGGAGAAAAAGGTGACCATTTGAAAACGGCTCTTAGATCTATTACATACTTTAATAGAATCGAGTTCATGTTCTTGGAATTACGATATCACAAATAATGCGGTACGCAATAGGGCGTTAATAATTATGATTACTAAGTCTTACCAAATCTAATTTTATTCTATATCTGTCCAACTTTCGAAAGTAGCTATTGTAAATTTCTTTTGTTTTCATAAAGAGTCTTGATGCGGATTTAGGCATAAGTATAATGAAATATGTTCGACTCAATCTGCAGCCAACTGAAATGTAGTAATAGACTAACTCTAAACACTCTCTGAAACATCAGATTGAATAGTGAAAATAGATAGACCATGGGAAGTATATTTGGATACTTAGGTGGTCCGTCTTCACCGGTTCTACGGGCCCGAGATTAATTTCCGTTTTTTCGGAGTTTTGCTGGTCTAGCCATTGTGGTTCCGCGGAATTCTGAGGTCAGCCTGGCCGAACTCTGTCCCACCATGAGAAGTATAGAGAAAAAGAAAAAATTTTGTCCGTTTTGATCGCACAGGAATTTGTATGAAAAGCTCAAGAACAGTTTATATTGAATTCATAAGAATTTGTCATGAAATCGATGCGCATCAGCACTTGTTACCTTGAAAAGTAGGGTTTAAAAGTGAGAAATTACGGCAAAACAAGATGCGATGTAGAAATGAGCTATAGCCTTAACCGAAATCACTGTTACTCTGCTTTCACCAGATTCTCGTTAACCACCATTGTAAGTTGTGCAGGAGTTCAAATTACTAACTGCCCTGGCCAACCGCCAAATAGCAAAACGTGGGTGGGCCGGTCATACCGTGAGAAGGAAAAACGGCAGATGGACGAAAAAACTGTGGAGTGAACTCCACGAGGATTCATGCATCTCCTAGGACGACCATTCATGCGTTAGGCAGACGTGTTCGTATCCAAAGTCAATCAGCTGTACTTGCAGATTCAGTTGTTCTACAGATCGAGACTGAGACTAGCAGAGTGAGACTAGCACCCACCCGCTCGAATCAATCCACCACCATGGGCGAAGACTGCGAGACAGGGACGGGAATGGGAATTGTGCTGAGATCCGTTCAACTCTTAAACGTGCACCGTCCAAATATCAGAGTACTCAAGTACTGGACAACTGCCGTACATATTTTCCGATGTCAACATTTTTTCCAAGGTTACGAATGGGGTGGCCTTGTGCTAAACGCCCTGCAGGAAAGAAGGGAAATTATTTAGTTAAACGAAGTAGTGGTTGTTGGGAAGCTTATTTTAGCAACTTTGGAGATTGCTTGCTATTTATTACCACTTTTTCTCTTGTTTTTTCTTTATGGCCTCTTTATATTCTCATTTTAAATCTTTTTATTTTTGCTCACCTTTACCTTTTACTTCGGGCACGATGTTGCTAGCCATTCAGCTTGTATACTTCCTGTCACTTTACTCCTTAGCAACAGTGTCTTTAGCGCTCGGTCTTTATTGTAGATTAAAAAATCGCTGTAGAACTCTTGGCAAGGATCACTCTCATCGCAGTGCTGTCTGTAACTTATAATGTGTGGAAAGTAGATTTTTTGGGCCACAGCGAGTACATCTGCGATAGTAAAGCTGTTCATTTTATACAAAGGTATTCCCAAGAAGTTTACACGGCAGAAAATTCATTCCAAAAGAAAATGAATTTAAGACAATGTGTATTGCCGCGAAGTGCTTAAAACTTAGAATGATGAGAGATCGGTCGACGTAAAATGACATTCGTTTTCTGGACCATCCGTGACTCCATTTATCCTAAAGTCCTAATCTCATGTCATCGCAAAAATTTTGAATCCGCCAGTGCACAAAAGATCGTCGAGGACTCAGTTAGCAAATTCAGCGTTGAAATTGCAAGTCGTCTCCGAAGCCTTGCGTTTAAGTTCGGACTGTTACACGGATACCTTCTTTTTTCTATTTCTGGAATTTCAATGCACAAACACGACTGTAGAAACAGAAACACTGACATAGAAATGTAGAGCCGAATCAGCACGTTGAAACGTAGAGCTTTTTTACTGAACAGGACATAGCACACATGATACGTCTATAAGCTTGATAAACGTTTAAGACCTTCGTACTCTAAAAATGTACATTTTGTGCTAAATAGGTTAGTAGAGTGCTATTTAGGAGCGTCGGTCTCCTTCAGTACAGCGGAAAGATACGTCATCGCCACGGTCACTTTCTCGTGATGCCGGTTCTCGCCCAGAAAGCCCCAAAAAGGCGATGAAATCACGAGAAGGAACACCAAGGAGAAGCATCAAAGGCAAAGAAGGATCGCCTGCAAAGAAGTCGATGAGGTGAGGTGTTTTTAGCACAGAAAATTGCTATTACATGACCCTGCTGTTATGGAGATACTGAATTGATTCAGCAAAACAGACCCTGCGATTTATGAACTGTTGTTGTTGAAACTGGCGCGGGTTTGGTATAGTTGTTGTAGCTCTTCTTTTTAAATGATAAAGAACAAATGCCAGCTTTTCGTTTGCTTAAATAACGACAGGTTCCTGAGATATTATTGATTATTCACGTCGAGGTTAAGCGAAAGTCGGTCTTTCCACCTTAAGGCTGTTCGAAAACCATCACGTTCTCTAGAAGATGCGCTCTGCATCACTTCTCTATAGAAGAGCTATCACCCTTTCCTTTTTATTTATTAGTAATAATGGTTACTATTAGTTTGATTGAATATGCGACGTTCTAAAGTGCAGTGAAAGGAAACAAAATGAAGCTTTCTAAGGTCCCGAACATCGACTCCTGTGCTGGAACCTGCTAACATGCTTGCCCCAGAAGATGCAGTATCTATCGAAGATTCGAGAAGATCGAGCCAAGCTTCGGAAAAAATGGAAGTGGACACAAGTTCGTAAACTTTCTATAAGAGATTCGTACTGGATTCTGGATTCTATTCTACTTTCGGAATATGTGTCTTTATTTTCTACTATGTCGTTTTCATAAGTGTGAAATCGTTCTAAACATCAAAGAAATTCGTCTAAGACCTCCTTACACCCAGAGTTTAGAGCGCCACAAATTCATACAACTTTTATTTAAGTCGTGGATTACAAACCTTAAGATTTTACAATGCTAACCCTTTATTTGCTGCCTACTATAATTTTTCACGGCAGGTTATTATGTGTGATTCAACCACAGTGATGCTGAGATGTTTGAAAACTCTGGGCCGCAGGTGCAGGCGGTGGGGAACGAACGCGCTATCACCTTTTCCGGGGGCTCGCCAGATCAATCCCGCTGACGGGTGATTGCTGATGGTAGCGATCAATAGAACTAACTGAGCGACAGGTGAAACCTAAGATTTTATTCTGTATGGGCGAGCTTCATCAGTGCCCATACCTTGTAGTTGGATAAGTGAGAAATGGGATAGGTAAATTCGCAAGGACACTACGATTAAACGTTTGCCGAGTTTACTGAGCCGTTTCACATTGCTTCCCAATTTTCGCTTGGTTGAATTTTCAGTCTTCCTTTCTTGAAGTTTCACCGCGTTATGATAGAAAAAAACGCTTTCAAAAAAGAGAGCAAGTCTACAGGACTTTTGGCTTCATATCACTGTCGAGCTGTTGCCATATTCGTTTCGAAACGTGAACTACAATATGATGGACATTTCCTGATGATGATTTTGTGCGGCCTAGATCTAATTTAAGAGTTCATATAAATATCGTGCAACGACAACGATTCGTTGTGAAAACGAAGCGCAGGTGACGCTTGACACTCAAATTTTCGTGGCTGTTTTGTGGGCGACGCCTGATCCCATGTCGATTATGAACTTCACGGGTTTTCGATAATAACTGACAGCTGTTCGATAACTAGGGGACATGAGGGATTGAGAACGCAGCACGATTTTAGAAGAGATTTTGCTCCGTAGTTATAGAGGTATGCCTGGTTTGCATGCTACTATTTGCCACACGCTGATATATTCCATCATGCAATCACTTTTCTGTTAGCATGAGGAAGTGCTTTCCAACGTGTGTTGTGTCTTTTCGGAATTTCTTGTATTTCCCCGCTTCATGTGGTGATTGTCATTCATCATAACGATTCGAAGTGAAATAACACTCCATACCGACACGCCCGAAAAAGTTTTTTGTAGATAGAGAGGAGAGGCTTTAAAAATTGAGACAAAAAGCTTTGTATTTCAAGTATTTTAAAGCTTTTGTGTTACAAAATAAACTAGTGACAAATAAATGTATTGAATGCAATGGACACCGCCCATTCCCATCTACCCCGTCCCCCATAGCTACATAGCAAATAATGGCGTTATTTGTTTTTCAGATGTTAAAATTATTTAGTTTCCGAAGAACATATTGTGAGGTTTGTGAAGGGGTATGAATGACAAACTATTTGCATCTGTTTCAGCTACAACAAAGAGGAAACCGGAAGGTTTACCCGTGCCACCGGTGTCCTCTGAGGAAAAGAAGCCGCGCACATCGTCTCCAGCTCCTTCAATAGAACGGACTGGAAAGAGCGATCGCGACAAATTTACTCGGCCACCAATCGTCTTGAATGCTAGTCGGTCCCAGGTATGGAAGTTGAATTTATTTGCGGTTACGGTAGATGTAAGAAAGGTATCGCATATGAGGCATCGATAAGACTGTAGTTTTCAAAAAAGAAAAGAAACGTGACCATCTGATGATTTTCCCTGTTCTACTATCTCTTCGACGATAACAACATCCTCAGGACTGTTTTCATATGAGAACCAAGAGGGCGAAAATGAAAGGAGCTCAGATTTTGCTCCCGCAACTAATACGACAGGTAGTTTCTGTCGATTGATAACTGAGCAACTACTTAACTAAAAATGTGATCTAAATTCGATACAAAAGGGATCACCGATACCCATTCAGCCAGGCCCAAGTGGGCGATGTGACTGAGCCCAGTCATGCACAGAGTGTCGTCGGTCGTAAAACTCTGCTGTAAAATTGCGGCTTGCTTGTGATAACCCCGCAGGATAAAGGTGTTATTGGAATTGAATCTGGGGACCAATTTAAGTAGAAGACATTGAGGAACTACGGAACCTAACGGGATTAGAACCAGGGGTCAGATTACTTTTGAAATTTGAAAAGCCAGAGGCCCTGTAGTGCTACTTCAAGACAGCCGAAAATTCAAAACCCACAGGCTCAGGTGTCCCAAGACATCCGAATTAGGAACTAAATATTTTGCTATAATACTAAGCTATGCATTTGGGATGTTGCAATAGGAAATTCAAGGTCTCAAAATATTCGGAATTTTGGGCTTCGGAGTCATTCATCATATCGAAGGGAACCCGAGACTGTTGAAGTGTGGAACAACTGTTCCGCGAAGCGAGGCGCTTGCTCAATGTGAGGAGATTTGGGAGTAGTCCTGAAAATGGGCTTCTGTTCTTCCTATGCGAACTATCAACGAAGTCATTGGCACACCTTTTCCATAAGAAGCAATCCCTCTCCCCAAGACAATAGAAACCACATGATGCGTAGAATTTCTTATTTAGACATGGTTTCCATTACTGGAAAATTGTTAACAGATCTGTAACTTGGAGGCGAAGACCTTATTAGTTGGATTTTCCGATATAGCGCTCAAAAATTCTACCAGCGAGGTCTCTTCAATTCGTTTTCTCTAACGTTTGACATTGAGTAATGGGTCATTGTTGACCTATGTATAGGCTAGCCCAGAAGAGGCTCATTTTTAACTCTTACCACTATCTTTAATTCCTTCGAGGAACCACTTAGTGCAGAGGCGGTCAGGTTTTCTACTAGTTTTTCTGAAGCCGAATGTCAAGATCTGATATACCTCGTTGATATGTAGCTTCGTCCTGCCGTACACCGGAAGGAGAATAAAACAGCTGACCATGCGTGAAATTCCTTTTCTCATCGTTCAATCTGCTCTCATAAAATCAAACATATTCTGTTCAGCATCTTTCACAGGCACACTTTCAAAAACATCTTGAAGGCGTCATACCCGACACAGCACCACATATCTGGGAAGTCAATCATCGAAAAGTACAAGTGGCCTAACCGATAGAACTAACTGAGAGACAGGCGAAATGGCTCGCGTGGCGTGGTGGTGAACACGTCCTCCCCCGGAAAGAGTAATAGCGCGTTCGTTCCTCACCGCAAACACCTGCGGTCCAGAGTTTTGCAAATATCTCAGCATCATTGTGGTTGAATCACACATAATAACCTGCCGTGAAAAATTGTAATAAGGTAATTGTGAATGAAAATGAAAAGTTAACATTGTGAAAAGTACAAAGTTGAAAAGAATCAAAAACGCTGTTTCAGACTGGTAAGCAAGGCGATACGGTAGTGTTGGAAGTGGAATGGCAATGCCACACATCAACTGTTATTGAATGGCACAAGTGAGTAAAGTTCTTTGATTGAATTACTGAGAAGTAAAGCACTGATTTTTATATATTTCTATAAGTGTTGCTTAAAAAGAGGGTTTTTCTTACATCAAATGTTATGACATTGTTCTCGCTTTTTCACATCTCATTTTTACATCGTCGAAAGCTTCCGCTGGTAATTTCATCTTTCGGTCATGCACTTCTCATTCCTCCATCGTATGCGATTCCTCACTGTTAATGTTTCCATCCGTTTTATTTCTTTTATTAATACATGACCCGACACCGCGCGTATTACATTGTGCGGATCGCAGTACCTCCTGCGTTCGAGTCGTTCCTTCAATCCACCATACATGAAGACTTTCGAACTTTCTCCGGTTGGCTTCGGGTGCTGTTTGAGGATTATTTTTTTTGTCATCGTTAAGATGTCGTTGAATGCTGGTCGAAGTGGTGCTCTCTGGAATCTTGAAACAGTAGCGCTGCGACGTTGACGTTCCCACATGAACTCGAGAGAGTCAGCTTATTCCAGACGAGTCTGGTACCAATTTTCCGAACCCGCAGAGGTGAGAGATATGGTCGGCCCAGGTAGGCTTGGAATCAACGCATGGATAGCTGTCTGCATTATAAAAGGGACCACTACCGCTCCCTGTTTGCATCTGTAACTATCGACATTAATAAAATTCATTATTTAAAGTTGAAAGTGGCCGTAATTTTCGCCTCCTATGTAGAAGTAGGGAATCTGATGAAGAAAGGGAGGGTAATATCAAATTACCGTGGTCTCACTTTCTTACCCAATATATTTCTGGAATCAATTTCCATGTTTTCGATACTGGAGAACATCACGCTGCGCATTTTAGGTAATAAAGCCACATAGACGATTTGGAGAAAAGCATGTGGTATATTTTTAGTCCTAAGGTTTTAAAAAGTGTTGGTTTTCTTAGTCGCGACTGAACTTTGTCTAATGTCTAACCTGTTTAAAATTAAACTTCTCTATGTACCACTAGCACCTTATTCGTTAGAAATGGTCCTTTTACTTAATCCTGGAATCCGCTGAAGAGCGCTGTTTTAGCAGTCAGTCGTATTGAGATATTCAGATTAAAAGGTGAATGGTGGTGAAGAGTTGCAATTGGGAAAGCAGAAGTAAAGACTAGGAAACGAAGTTCTTGGCGGAGTATAAGCTGCATTTAAAGTTTAAAATGGAAGAACTTTTGAATAGTTGATGTGTTCTAGAGATGGTAAGAAGTTGGAGCCAAGAGGCGACTTCCAATCAACATTCGACGGAGTTAAAGCACTACTGACTGTGCGCAACTTGACGGAGGAGAAAACTGGTCTCTATAAGTGCCACGCTGTTTGTAAGTACGGAGAAGGCCAAAGCAGTGCGATGATCAAGATGGAACAGACTGGTGAGTCCGATCTCTTCACCCCACTCTCTCCTTTATTTTCCTCTTCTCCATTGCTTGTCTACCTCTCTCTACCAACTCACCCATGAGACTTTTAAACTGAAAATGATGAAATAACAAGATGCATTAATACTCACAGTTTCTAGGTACACAGACTGTCTGTCAGAAGGCAGTGAATGCTAAATAATGTTCGAAGTGGTTGGATTTCTGCTCTAACAGTTTATATTTTTATCAATATGGGCAGAAATAGCGAATCGATCTGTTTCTTCCCTGTGTGGCTTAAAAATCACTAAGTGACTGTTCCAGAACTTAAATATTCTAGACGAAGAATATCCGAGAAAAAGTAGCGCCGAAGATCAGCCGCGGCCGAAACAAGCTGAGAAGGTGTCATCGTTGAAAGTGACGAAGGAGTCCGATGATGAGCTCAGTGTCGCTTCACTAGGACCAACGAAAAAACGAAGCAAAAGCAAGAGTCCTGTAAGTACCCATCGTATTACCATAACATACGACATCGCCAATCATGTGTACGTAACGTTGACCTTATTTACCTTTTGTTTTAACGCCTAGGTACCGTTAAAGCGGAAGTGGCTGAAATCGAGGTAGAATATACTTTTCAAATCCGTGTCGTTATCAAATTTCCTTAGCAGCATTCTAGAGGAGGAGTAGCCTACTCCAGCAATTTATCCATAATTAGGAATTTTGCTTGACCACAGCTTTCCATTGGCTCTATCGTTTCATTTTCTTTTTCATTTCAGACACCACAAGATAGCAGTTCCCAATCGAAGGTGTGTCTGTGTTTCTAGCTAGGACGTGAAATCTGTGCCAAACCTTTGCTTTTTTCATTTATGAAAGTGCAAGTTGCAAAGCGCATTTTTTTAGAAGACTCGGACCCAGTTATCAAAGCAAAAGGTGGAACGTTCGGAGCCTGACGAGGTTAGTTCCTTTTCAAGAGTGATCGGTTTTGTTATAGCTCGTACCGACCCGACCTCACGAATACGAGAACGTTGTCCCTATGGAAAGAAAATTAGCTAGGAAAGGAAATCGTTCAAGGAAGTAGTGTTTTCAACATTGCACATCACGTAAAACCCTTCGATGATCCGCATAATGTTAGGAAAGCCTCGTCCATTTCTACTTGAAAATAGCCTGAGAGCATGTTCCTTAAAATTACCGCCTGAGAATTTTATTTTTCAAAACCGACAAGGTTTTTGTTTGAAGTTTTTGGCCAAGACGCGCTAGTAAAAACCCTTCAATAGAAGTATGAACGCCTGTTAAGCATTGGATAACTTAACAACAAACGGTGTGATCCATCTGACGTCTGCACATTTAGTTCTTCTGTTGTTGGAGCGAGCTCTATTGTGGTTCTGTTAAGATAGCGTGTTGAGGCAGGACTCTTTCTTTTAGCTCAAGATTTCTTTGGAGTTTTTAATGTTGATTACTTTCTTTCCCTTATCACATAGCTTTTTTGTACATCTACAAATAGTCAAGCGCTCTCGGACAATAGAACAGCGGGTTAAACAATAGCCAAGGAGATTTCCTTATCAAATAAGTGGTTGAGTAAATGTCTTTTAAGGATTTTTCTTGAAAGCGGAGGTTTATTTTCTGGAACAAAGCTTTGATTTATAAGGTTTATAAGCTGAGCGCCAAAGTTGTGAAGATGTAGCTCGAGATGAAGATTAGACGCGTAAACATCCGTCAATATTTATCAGTACGCACATCCAAATATGGAGTATTGGTCGTGCTGCCTTGTTTTTTTTCATATTTCCCTAGATATCGATTTGTTTTTGGCCCCATGACACGACTAAAATCGTTATGTCTAGTGCCATGCTACTTTTCCTTAGCATTGTATCCATTTCTTCCTTGAGCCGCTTCCGTTTGCAAACGCATGTGAGCAGTTCTGCTCTTATACAAATAATCGCGGCATCAGATAATTAGCTGCTGATGCTGCCGATAGTATACTTGCCTTTTAGTGCTTGCTGGTTTAAACTAGAATAACTAGAAAAGAACAGTTTCGTTGTCATCTTCAGGACTTAACCGAAAGGGATCTTTGCTTTTGTATTTCCAAGGGTTTGACGAAGGTGTTTTGCATTTATACTGAATTCTTTCAATAAGGTCTGAATTTCAGGACTCCCAAGCGGATGGCATCCCTTCGTCAGGACTTACTATCCCCGAGGATCGACGACGACAACTACTGGGCGAGCCGAGTGACGATGAAGTTTCCGAGTCGATCTCAGAACTGCCATCATTCGCTGGACCTCGCGGCCGAAGAAAGCTACCTGAGGTTATTTTTAAAGCTCTTCTGAAATCTCGTACTAAAAATGATTCTCATGGCACTTAGAATGTGTTTCTCAGCTCCTTTCCCATTTCCATCCTACCAGGAGGACTCTTATTCAAATGCCTCTTCTTTCACTTTGTCCGCTTACTGCCTCATGGCATTTGAGACTCATCGGATTTTGCACAGCGTATTTGTCTATTTGTATGCGTTAGAACAGAAATGGCAAGCGCATTGAGACTCCTGAACGATTCCATTTATAAAAGTAATTTGAATTCCTACTAAAATCCATTCAATTGCTGTAATGTCAGTTGCAAAAAGATAAAACTCTCGGCGTTGCTCAATCCCTGAAGGGTACGCCATGCATTCGACTTCATTAAGAATCGTTTAGAGGTGACTGAATGCATATCTAGCCTTTACAATGACTTGCGGTGGCCTACCAAACTATCGAGCCAGTGCTGCTATCCTCCCAGACACGTCCGCTACCAGTTTGCGGACACTGGAGGGATGGAAGGCTTGGTGAGCCATGGGCGCGGGGATCAATTCCACGTGTGCGTTGCAGGGCGCCTCCGAACATTGCTCTAGACGCGGCCTACTGTTAGTTGTAGTGTGAGGAATTAGCGTGAAGATAAAAGAAGTCATACTTTTAGAGTTAAAATAACGTATATTGTTTTTGTTTAATGCTAACCACGTTGCACGGATTAAATAAGTGTTGAGTTATGATTGAAAATGTGGTATGTTTTCCCATTAGCGTTTTGTTTTGCCGTATTCCTCGAAAAATGTGTTTCGTAGCGTTGTTTGTCGCGTTCAGTCAAATGCTGTCAAATCGTGAAGAGTTCTCTATCTTCCAAACACTTTTACCACCTCTCGTGGTGCTTTTGGATGCTCCATGAGTGATGGTCATGGATGCTCCATGAGTGATGGTCCAGTGATTGTCTTACTGTGCTCTGTTTTGCGCTGTTATTAAGTGGTCGAATGATTTCACGTCTGTTGCGATATCATGCCCATAGTGAGGAGTTGAGTTACTCATTGCAGTAAAGACGAAGCGAACCGTGTGTAGAATTGCTGGAAAACCATAATGAAACTGATGAGTATCTTACTCCCTACGGAGAACAAATATTATGACTTTCTAATTTTCTGCTAAGTGTATTACAGTGTTGTTTGCTGTATGTTTATGTGTTTAGCTCTTGTTGAAAGATTTGCAAGAAACGAGTGTAATCGAGAGTTCGCAGAAACCACAGATCTTTCGCGTGGTTTCTGGAATCTGTAACGAAGGCGTAATCCTCTCAGTCAAAGAGCTCATAGAAACTCCTAACCTCTGGGATAGGACCGGTTGCATCTCACCTCATGCAGTAAACTAGTACTACCGAGTTAAGCACGAGTATTCCATTACTGGAAGGAAACCAAAATGATGTACGAGGCGAAAATTCCAAACTCAAGAGTGTTCTGGACACAGTAATGGCAATTGATGGAAGGAGTACTAAGAGTGGTGGAAAGTGGACGACTTCGGACGGCGCCAAAGCGAAGAAGAAACAGAGGATAGCTGCGAATAACATCAATAGCATATGCCACAGTTGTCTGATATTGCCTTCTAACTTTTTCAGTAACACATATATGTTAGGCATGTGATTTCTCTTCTTTTGATCTCTTCTGTTATTTTGAATGCTTAATGTAATGTGAACGGAGCAAAGAGCGTTGACACTTGCGCACCTGAACGTCAAATGGAATTAACTACGATGTGTCCTCTTAGCACGGATTTGTAGCAGCAACTTCTTCGAATTTTGTAGCAGAGTATTCTTTCTTTGACAAGTTTACACGAATTTGATAAACAATTGTTATTCGGCGAAAGGTTCGAGGCCTTCGTTTTCATTTGAGCCGGTGATCCGAGTCGATGGTCCACAATTGTTCGTCTTCTCGATGTGGTGTCGTCATCTTCGTATGGAGTTGGATCTTCCCCATTGGAGAATCTTTCCAATGAAGCGTTCTCACCCGGTGACGTTCTTTTATCCAAGGTGCTGATTATTGCTAAAAGTGGTTACCCGGTGATAACAACTTGTCTTTTCGGAACAATCCATCCTGCAGAAGTTGCTGTGATTGTTAGCTAGCATAGAGCATAACAATATCTCAAAACGGACATTCCTTTGACCTGGGCATCACTAATAAACATATATTCTTTTCTTTGTTAAGCTTACACAAGGTTAATAAACAATATAACTTCAATGATGCTGAGATATTTGCAAAACTTCGGACTGCAGGTGTATGCGGTGGAGAACGAACGCGCTATTGTCCTTACAGGGGAGTAGCGCACTTCACCACCACACCATCTGGGTCCTTCGTTTTGCCTGTCTCTCAGCTAGTTCTGTCGATCTTTTGCCATCAGCAATCACCCGTCAACGGGATTGATCTGGGGGGCCCAAATCGGCAACGAACCCAGTTACACTGAGGCCATAATTATAATCACAATTTAACGTATTATTTACTGCCTATTCTTTTTAACGGCAGGGTATACATTGTGAAATACAACTGTACCAATGTATACCCTGCAGTTAAAAAGAATAGGCAGTAAATAATACGTTAAATTAACAAACAATGTTTACTCGGCTAACGTTTTGAGGTCTTCGTCTTCCTAAGAGTCGATGATCCGGCTCTGACGAAGGCGAAGACTGCTTCATTCGAGAGCTGCTCCACTGAGGAGTATCCGACTCGATACGAAGACGACGATGCTGCATGAAGAAATACGAACAAGTGTGGACCATCGACTCGGACCATTGGCTCTGACGAAGAAGAAGACTTCAAAACATTAGCAAATAAAGATTGCTTATCAACCTTGTGTAAGCTTACCAAAGAAAGAATACATTTGGATTAGTGATACTGAGGTTAAAGGAATGTCGATTTTGAATTTTTGTAGGGGAGTATTTTGACTGTATTGCTGTGTGCTCTGATTTTTGAATTCAAAGTAGATGTACTCTGTTAAAGCTTCGTTTATTGTGAACCTCTTACTCCATCATACCGTCTCAAATATCGCAATTCCTTCAGAACATCGAAGTAGAAGCAGTCAGCCGTTAGCACTTTTTCCATGTTTCTTTCTAACTTTTAATCCACCCAATCTGTATTGGTCTTCCAGTAATTTCTTTCTTTTCAGGAGGAAAAGCCGAAAAGGGTTTCCGTTCCTTCTCGACCTGGGGAAATCGACACTTCGAGTCGAGTGAGGATGGAGTATTTATTTAGCCTATTGTTCTTTTTTGCACTAATACTAACATCTTGGTTTATTGATAGTCTACTCACACCAAAACAACTAAAGAGTGTTATTAGTCGTTTTTGATTTTTTGTAATATTTTGAGTGTTTTTTGGAGAATTTTGCAGCAAGAGCAGAACAGCGTAAGTACAAAATGGCCTTTGAGAGGGCAACAAGTTGGCCGGAAACCTGCCAACGTGCAGAAGCTTGACGCGAAAAACGGCAATTTTTCGCAAGGAATTACGCTGAAAAAGGTTACGAAGGATCTGCCGGCTCATCGACGTGTGATGCGACCTGACGACGAACTAAGTGAGGCATCTGGAAGCGACATTGAAAGCTCATCGCAAAGAGGGTCGATTCTTGAACCACGAGCGAAGAGAGGGAGTGACTCAAGAAGCGATTCAATTGTGAGCCGACGTATTTCTTCTGTGATTTCCTATTGCATGAACATAAAGTTTCTATGCGTGTTTCAATTAACCGGCAAACAGTCTTTAATGAAGTAATTGCAACAATAGTTGGTCTAGCAATTTATCACAGATAAATTTGCACTGTCAGCGCAGCAACACAGGTTTCTCCACTCGATCTAGCTATAGGTGCTATATGTGATCCCAACTGCATGCATGTCTCACAAGTCTGAGTGCATAACAGGACACGTGCACGACACGCTCCACGTCCAATGAAGGTGATGCCTTTCAGCGACGTAGCAGTATCGACATGCGCCGTGAGTCTGTTCAGGAGATCATCGAGAAGGTTTCCACTCCTCTGGTCCCGAAGGGGAAGAAGGGTGCTCCGCCGAGGATCACCGAAGTACCGGAGAACGTGACTGTCGTCGAAAGTGAGCACAATTAGCTTTTTGGATGAACCTATCCTCATAATCTCCGACAGTTCATATTTGCTAATCTCTATATGCTATTCATATTTATGTTGACTATCTAATTCAGAATTGAAACAGTTTGAAGCAGAATACAACATCAGCGCTTTGAATAAGGCTACTAAGTGCCGGTTATAGTTATGCCGGTTTGTGTGAAAATTAAAGTCCTTTCAACCTTCAGCGTCAAATACACTTTATATCTGAAACCTATGTCTTTTTGCATCACAGTTTTTTTTAAAAACATTTTAGAATCTGTGCACCCTTCACAGTCCGAATACAACTCAAATATTCTACCGTGGGTAAATTGCAGGCTTTATGAGCATATGAATGTTCTGATAGTACTTGTTGCAGTAACTTGATTCTTAAAAATCTTATCAACAAGAAGCTGACGAGATACTTGGCCCAATGTAGTTGACTGGTAAGAGGTCTCGTTGGGTCAGGTGTTATCGTGCAACGGTTTTTCTCTTTCGACTTCTCAACGCCAATAGGTTTCCTTCCTGGTTTTGATGGATTCAGCCCATTTTTTGACAGTTCTCTGCTGAAATGACTTCGCCTGGGATGATTTGATTGTAGAAACGAGTTCATTTGCTGAAAATGGAGAGGCCATAGTAATCTCCATGTGATAGAAATTTCACATCGGAAACAGTTTCGATACTTCAGTATTGTCGAACCTTGTTCAAAACGTTATCGGTTTTGCATAGAACCCATTTTTAGGCCCACACATGAATTTGACAGGTTCTACGAAAATCTCTTAAACATTTATTCAATTTATTTGGTACCACTTGTCTATATTTTTCCAAGTTTCTTACTCAATTGAGGGTTTTTGGGACGTTTGTTTTCAACGCTTAACGCTTCACACTCTTCAAACATTGTGCCGAATCCTCTTCAACTGATGCCTTCAAGTGACCACCGTTGGCAGCCCGTCCTGTATCCTCTTCATCTCCATTGTGAAGGTTTTGGAACCGAATATGTAACTGCGCAACTTTTGATAGTTCCAAGTGCAACGTTAACATTGTGAACTGTTTTCGCTGCTCTCTGTCGAAGTTGGACTGGACGCGGAAAGTTCATGAATTCGCTTCTTTCCGAATCTGTTTACACGATGCAGTTGAAAAGAATAAATAAAAGCAAACTAATAGAAAAATCGGAGTCAGCATTGAACAATAGGCCTAAATCTTTTGTTTGAAAACACAGCTCACGTACGGAATTCTTGTACTGTACTTCTAGGGAAATCCTGCTGTTTCTTAGTGAGAGAGGATGGAGACGAACCTAGTCTATTTCGGTTAGTTCTTAGAAAACAGTGTTTCTAGAATAACTGCAACGAATTCCGACATGTCTCATGGTAGAACAAAATACTTTTTGAATAAAGAAAAATGGATCACAAGAGAAGCCGTTGCAACAGAATTGATGAGCCAAAACTGAAGACGTGCCCGATTATTGCTCTAGAGCGGCTTATTTTGTCTTCTTTTTCTCGAAGGACATGCTAAAATTCACATCAATAAATGGCCGTATTGTAGAGCAGCTTAGTGGTGCAATGTGTCGTGTCGCTTCATCAAACTGCTTTTCCTGTGAGTGTGATGCGTCGACGAAGAAGCTGTGTAGTGGTGCTGCAGTTTCGATAACAGTCAGCTAGTGTACGTACCTAGGATAGGTTCACGCCAGGATGGTAACACGAGTGTTGATAGGCCTGCACTCGTTTCGATGCTGACAAACGCATCTCATAGTCGATAAAGGTCAGGAAAATAAGTAAATAATAGACATAGAATGATAGAGTAGAAATAATATAAAAATAATAATAAGTATAATAAAGATTAATGATGAATCTCTATAATAACTGATAGAAACAAGCCGTATCGAGCTCAGGAATGGCATGTAGTAGGTCTCGTAAATTCTCGTTATTCCATTGACCTGCAATACGAAATGAAAGGTAGTCGTTTGTCTGCTGGAGTCGGCAAACCTCTCTTCCGGATCCACAGCAATTTGTGGCACTGTGTTATTAGAAATCCTAACGGCTTTGGTTCGGGGAAAACAAACAAGAAACAAAACCCGTTAGAAAACCTCATTCGGTTGCATTCGTGGTCTTCTGGAAAGGAGTCTCATAGCAATTTTTCATTGAAAATCGTACCGTGGAACTAACAAATCACTTTTACCACATCGTACGTTCAATCTAATTGCCGTCCATATTTGTTTCGAAAAGGGCGCGTGTGGCGCAGTGGTCGGAGGCACCCCGGAACACACATGTGGCCGCGCCCATGGCCCACCAAGCCTTCCATCTTTCCAGGGTCGGCAAATTGGTACCAGACTTGTCTAAGAGGATAGCAGCACTGGCTCGATACATCGGTAGGCCACCGCGAGTCATTGTAAAGGGCAGATATGCATTCAATCATCTCCAGCGATGCTTAATGAAGTCGAATGCAAGGCACATCTCTCAGGGATTGATCAACGCCGAGAGCTGGCTCGATACATTGGTGGGCTACCGCGAGTCGTCATAAAGGCCAGATATTGATTCAATCCCCTCCAAAAGATGCTTAATATAGTCGAATGCATGGCGCATTCCTCAGAGACTGATTAACGCCGAGAGCTTTATCCTTTTTTTATTTCTTTCGAGGAGCAAAAATTGGTCGTTCTAGGCGTTTGTTTGAAAGTGTAGATGTCACCGTTGTTTACATTCACTTATGTCAATGGCCGGAAATATATTTATACACATTTCTTGATTATATTTCACTGATTTTCTTGTTGTATATTCTGAAAATAACCGGCCAACTGGTACTTTTTATGTGAGAATCCAAAATTTTTCTGTGAAAGCAGATAACGCATTTTTCAGCGATATTCTGAGATGTACGTAGCTGAACTGTGAGAGAAGTAGTTGGCAGGCAGATGAGTAACTAGTTCTGATTCAGATGAGACGGCGGTGCTGCAGTGCAAGGTGGAGGGCGACCCGGTGCCGACGGTGCGCTGGTCGAAGGGCAACCGCGAGATCCTGCACGGCGGCCGCTTCCGGCACATGACCGACGCCCAGACCAACACCGTCTCATTGGCGCTGCTCAAGTGCCGATCTCAGGTCTGTTGCTCACTAAATCCTCTCCTCCATCCTCAGCAAAAACTCTACCCTTCTGTACCATCAGCATGCAAGCCTACCAGTGTTCATCCAGAAGCGCCGTTTTCCACACGTTTACGCTTCTTTCTTCACTCTCCCAATGTTAAGTGACTGAATTTTTGAGATACATGATCAATTTAAAATGTATTGTGGTTCTTTGGAAGTTACAAAACTTTTAGTAGCATCGGTATGATTGAAAATTCCGCTTATTGGTCGATCAAAAGACAACTTTTTTTACTGAGCGTAGCTTGCCTAAGTCACTTTCACAGGTTCGCCTTTTTATTCTTTAAGCTCTCAAATGGGGCTAACTGTTATCATAGAAATCACCTGGCTGTTTTGATTTCTTGAGGAGTAAAGGTGAATACGAAAGAGAGTATTGCTCTTAGAGTACTCGATTTTGATCACTTCCGAATGAAATCCGCCTCGTTCAAGTGATGCTTCCCATTTCGCTACTTTCGAATTTTGCGATCTACAGTGCTCTGAACTTTCTGTAACATAGTTCATGAAGCTCAAGGTTTTTTAAACGTTTCGTGAAGATTTTCGAAACTAACTTTTTCGAAGGTGTTTGAATTGTAAATTTCATCTTGAGTTTTCTATTTACTGCCTATTACAGTTTTTTCAGGCAGGGTATTGTGTGCGATACAACCACAATGGTGCAGAGATATTTTCAAAACTGCGAACCGCATGTGTCTGCGGTGAGGACCGAACTCTCTGTTGTCTTTCCCGGGGGCTAACGCGTTGCCCAAATCAGTAATGAACCCAGTTAAGTTGAGGCTGTAGTCTTGAAGTCGAATATCGAAATGTGGTTGTACCAAACATAATACCCTGCCGTGGAAAATTCTAATAGGCAGTAAATAAAAAGTTAACATTGTGATTTTGACGACGTCCTCAGCTTAACTAGGTTCATTACCGATTTGGGTTCTCAGATCAGTTCCGTTGACGGGTGATTGTTGATGGCACTGATAGATAGAAAACTACCTGAGATACAGGAGAAACGAAAAACCCGGATGGTGTGGTTGAGAACGCGTTAGACCCCGGAAAGGACAATAGCGCGTTCGTTCCCCATCACGGAGACCCGAAGTTCGGAGTTTTGCAAGTATCTCATAATTGTGGTTGTACTTCACATAATATCCTGACGTGAGAATTTATAGTAGGCAGCAAATAAAAAGTTAGCAATATGACTTCGAATAAATTCAGTGCTGTATTTAGGGATTCGACAAGGTTCTTATTGTGTTCAGTACTAATTCCATCTTCAAAAACGCTTTTTCGGATTTCTGGGATCACGTTCTTATTTCGTTTCCCTCATTAAAAAGGGATTTGAATCTCTGCAAGTATCCTTACACGAGCAGTGATTCTTTTTGGTAATAAGTATGAAAGAAGCACCATCCCTTTGCAGTCGGAAATGATAAGCATGTTTACATCACCACGCCGGCCCGGATGGCCTCTGAAATTGAGGTGATGCCCCAAAGGACGGTGGTGAGTAGAATTTCGTTGGAGTTCGCGAGTCTTCGGAATAGGCCGTCCTGTTATATTCTGCTTTTTGAGCAGTACGTTTCCGCAGGGAACGCCCGCCCCTCTAATCGCTTCATTCGGCAGGTGGCAAGTACAGCGGTTTCTCAAACAAGAATGCGCCCTCGTTATAGATCAGAGAGGAAGGCTTTAGGAACGACTAGATTATTGGAATTAGATTTTTCAGGAAAGAAGCCTTTGGAATAAGAGAAACTCCTCTTTTTTTCAAGCTACAAGCATAGCCTTTTTGTGCATGGAGTATTACACATGACCATGAATTTCATCATACCTATAATTTCCCGTAATTCAAAATCAGAGACCATGTGGTTTTGTTCAAAAATTTAAGTCTTTTTGTTATTTCTGTTTGATGCTGGCTGGAGTTTCCCTAGGCTGTTTCGACATTGTTTGCTCGAGCAATCTAATCTCCACTTTACTATAGTCAATCAGCTTTGAAGTGTTCCTGCTCCGTTCTAGCAGCTATTCTTCTCTTTCTCCAATCACCGCCTGTTTCATGTTTAGAAAAAAGATAGAAATGAATGAAGCTAAGTTGTTCCGTCGTACTTTAGCCATCGCTAGGCAGTTTGAAGCCATTACAGCCGAATTGCGTTCAATGCAGTTAAATCACAGAGAAGACGATTTGCTCGAAGCTATCACAAGCTGATATTTTGCCACCAACTACGGCTTTTCAACACACATTTGTGTGTGATTGATCTCTATATCTCTCTATATTGAGTTTATGTACCGCAATGATTTGATGCCCACTGCGGTAAATAGGTGGTTGTTGGATCGACCACTCCTCAGCCAAGGATCCCGAGCTCTCTATCACGCCGGTGTCGCTAAATTGGTACCAGACCTGTCTAAGAGGATATCAGCGTTGACTCAATATCTCGATGGGCCGCTGTATATTACTGTACAAACTAGATATGCATCCAATCACCTTCTACCGAGGCTTGATGAAGTTGATTGGATGGCACATCACTCAGGGATTGATCAGTGCTAAAAGCTTTATACTTCATTATTTTATCCCTAGTCAGTCAATTTTGCACTCCTCGATATGCCTTTGTGAGGAAAAATTAGTATAACTACTGTGCTCCTTCGAAAGACAAACTTTTGTCCAGTTGTTTCTTAAATGAATTGTTTTTTCAGCCATAATGTTTTCACCCTCTGCTAATGTCGTCTTCATTCCGAATTTCACCGAAGTTTTTCCTCATTTCTGGCATGCGTTCTTTTTCCTTATGGAGCTTTCCTCATTTAAAATGAACGATAAATGCGATATGGTCCGTAGACGATGCTCCTTATATACTGGCCAGAGCCCGTATCGAAGTCCTGATAGTAGGTTTATGAATGACGATCCTAAGATTTGATTTAGCTCTCTTAGACCATTTTGGGAACTTTAAATGGTAGTGTTGTGAGACTTTGCCGGTCAGGAAGTGAAGAGTTCTTTTATAAAACACCTTCAAGTGATTTGGTGATCAGGATGTTTTTTGCAGGATGACGGCCCGTATACATTGACGATTGAGAATCCACATGGTTCGGACACCATTGACATCAAACTGTTGGTCACATCAGACAATGGTTTGGACTTTCGTGCAATGCTCAAGCACAGGTAGGTTTCTGCTGGAACCAGTGAATTCGTGTGTGCCTCTATATGCTCTGTTTATCATACCAATACCTAGAAGCTTTCAGTGCTTTTTGTCAAGCAGTTTGTCATCCTTTCGGCTTTCCGGGTGGCCTTTTTTACGAAAGCGACGGTTGCATAACTCCTTATTTCCCATACATACCAACCAAGAACATAGTAACACATCATATCCTTCTAGCCCTGCACATACATACCAACTGTTATTGAAATCCTATATTGTATCCTGTACCTTCGTAACCACTACACTCGAAAAATGCAAATACCTAAACCTCTTAAATACAAGTGTTCAGTGCTAAACATCGCAGTATGAAACTTCTCGGCAGGTACGCGGTGATCTCGCACACTAATCACATTATCCACTCTTCCTTGATATTAGAGTTGTGCCCTTCGACAAAAACTGTGCTACCTTTTCAAATAGTTGGATTATCAGAGTTTTTTGAATCTACCAGCTAAGTCTCGTTAGTAATAACAAAGACTGCTTAGTAAAACAGTTGAGATGATTCAACTTTCAAAGCATCCGTAATCAATCGTTTCTTCGAGTGTTCGAAGTCTCGTGCGATACGAAAGAACGTTTTTTCAACGTTGGGGTACAACTCTAGTATGCGCTGCTCACAATGCATGACCATGTGCTTTCGTGGTAGTCTTGTAGAGAGGTCCCACCACTGCTCCAGCTGCACCATTATAACTTCTAGGTAGGTTACTAGGAACGCACGCACTATCTTCACTTCTGAGGTGCTAATTCACTAGCACTTCCTACTCCTGCTGTTTTCCCTCATGCACTGTAATCCAATCATTTTCCGTTTATTACTACTTGCTTTCGTTATTTTTAGTTCCACCAATACTTATTGCATTTTTTTGGTGATAGTGATCCATTTACACCTCAGGGAATACGAACCTGCCGGTCTAAAACCGGAAGAAGAGAAACCACCGATGACTGAAGCTGAGCGCAGACAATCGCTATTTCCCGGGAAGAAAGTCGAAAAATGGGAGCAGCCTCTTTCAGATAAAACGGTTCAGCAGCAGGTGATGACTTATGAACTTGCTAAATTTTGCCAGATTGGCCTCAAATCAGCCAGTTATCCGCCATCGGTCACCACTATTTGTTTGCTTACTTCGCTCTTTAAAATTGTGGGCGACTACGGTAATTGCTGATCGCGTTTCTATTTGGCTAGCTATAAATCTGTAAACAAAGGATTAACAACACCACAACTTTGTGAGTTAACTCCTCCGAATATTTTTTTTGAACCTTAGTCGTTCTGGAAGTTTTTCATTTAGCCCAGGTGGCTGGCCTCATATAGCCTGAGAACAAAAGTTTCTGTAGACAGTGTAGATGGTTTTGCGATTGGGAATTAATAACAGCGGTCAAGATCGCCTACGGGGCTTCTCTTGGCTTCCTTCAGGATGTTTTTTTACTTCTTCGTCTACATTCTCATATTTCATTCAGGTTGACAAATTTGCTGAGTGGAAATGTGTATATTCTCGCCCAAACGCTAAAATCCGATGGTACAAAGACCGAAAAGAAATTTTCTCTGGAGGTGTGCAGATTTATCCTTTGTTTTCACTCTATTCTAGAAAACTGAAAGGCTGTGAAGTGTTTAAAAACTATTTGAAATATCTTGATTTCAGAGAAATATTGGAGAACGTAGAACCTAAAAAGCTGTGAAGTTTGCGATTTTAGGTTTGAAGTACAAGATCGTAATCGAGAAGTCTGTCTGTACTTTGATAATCAACAACCCAGAAGTAGACGACTCCGGAAAGTATACTTGCGAAGCGAATGGTGTACCTACGAGCGCCATTTTAACCGTTTTGGGTCAGTATCAATAAAACTATGATCAATCATTGGACTTGAAAGCTGGGACGCTAAGGCACTCCAGTATATAATAAATTTAAGGCAGTACATATTCACCTGTGCGCTTTGCCGAAACTGTAAACTTTCTTACAAGTCGTTTACTTCATGCGGTCTTTTCGAGAGTTAAATTTTTGCGGCTTTCTAAAGACGGAATAGGGAGGAGTTTTCCGACATTTCGCACAGCTCTTTTTATTTGATGTTACCTATAACTCAATATGGAAATTTTAGAACCGCCGATGAAATATTCGTTTCTGAATCCTCTGCCGAATACGCAAGAGATCTATCGAACAAAACAAGCTGTGCTCACATGTAAGGTGAACTCACCACGAGCGCCTCTGGTCTGGTGGAGAGGCAATCAACCGATTGATGTGTATGTTCTTCTTCTATGCTATCGTAGGCCCGCTTTGATTTTACCTAATCGAAAGCTATCTTCACGTCGATGATCATTACGCTTCATAGAGTCTGTTCATATTCTTCATAGATCGATTAGCCTAGTAGTGATGTGTGATGGGTTGTATTTGTTTTCAGTCGAAAATACTTTCTTCGCTTGTATGACCGCTTTTCATCTTGCGTCCAGCCAGCTGCAATAACACGAGGGACTAGTTTTAGTTTTTAGCCAGTGAACAGATGGGTTGTACTGGTAATCATCACAGGTATCCATTCGGGAACCTTGATGCTGCTCTGACGCAGATACATTCCGTTTGACTGTGGCTTTACGAATTTGTTTCTTCGGCAGTACTTTTCTTGAAATCCTACAGCAACGGTGAAATTAATTGGGGAAAAATTCCAAATAAATATGATATGAGTGAATTCAAAGCAGTGTCATTATGCTTCCATATGCTATGTCCAAAGACGTATGTGATACGAAAACTACCAGTGTATCCAAGCCTTAGTGAAACTTTTTCTTTGCAATTTCACTTCATTTTTTATACGAATATTACAGAAACGACAAAAGATATACCATAGAAAAAGACGCCGTAGGTCGATGTACTTTGACAATCAAGGTAGTTGAAGAAGCCGACCAAGCCGAATGGACTGCAAGAATCACAAACGAAGTATACAGCAAGGTGCAAGTCTATGTGGAAGGTAATCAATCCAGTATTTTCACATGTTTTCCTATCAAAGTTGTAGAGAACAAGCTTAAATGGAGAATATATTCTAGTGAGATTCACAAGAATATAAAGCTAATGCACTGATTACCCTCGCTGTTTGATTAATACGTGACCTTTCCCACGCTATATTACTTGGCGTTCAGGTGAACACTTGTTGATGCCGCAATTCACTGCTGTTTACGGTGTCTCGCCGTAGCGTGTATACTATAGGTGAAAGCTACTGAAGTGGATAGACTGGACAGTAATCGTTTTTAGAACCCCGTCATACGTTCGTTGTTCCTATGAAATCCCAAAAGGTTAACGAGCACGAGGAAGCCACGCTGGAGACGGACGTGAACGATCGAGAAGCTGAAGTCGAATGGTGGCACGACGGAGTCAAAATCCACGTTGATGGCGTAAAGTGAGATTCTTGAACGTTTAAAATCTTAGAGGCACCCACAAATCGAGCTGTTTTCACAGTCTATGGATACGATTGCTTCGATTGATTTTCTCCTAATTGGTGTTCTGGGTGGGGAATGAATTTTTAAGGTATATAAGGTATATAATTATTTTATCGCACTACATAGGCTTTTGAAGTGAGATTCCCTAACCGTTACGATGAAATTCAGAGGTATTCGGTGGCAGCCCAAAGCAGTGCTAAATAGCGATTATTTATCGAATACTTTACCAGGGGTCAAGGGTTTTAATTTTTATGTATTTTACGTTACCGTGATGTTCCATTCTCGAAATATAAAGTGAATTTCATTAAGGAATTCTACTGAAACTAAGACTAGCAACGGATTTCTCACTTTCAGAAAATAGCGCTCTTCAAGTTTCCACTTAAAAGAAGCTATGTTAAGGTACAAAGAAGAGATTTCAAACCGGAAACGACGTCTCACTATTGTTTCGGCCAGAATCGAAGATCACGGAGAATACAAATGCACGACAAAGGACGACAAGACGATGGCACAGCTCATCGTTGACCGTACGTGCCATACATTTCTTTACTTTCTCATTTCTTTTAAATCACCCATTCATCACCTCAAATGATATTGTTGTTATTGCTAGTCACTGGAGCGATAAGCACTATCCTTGTCATCTTTACTGTTTTTTCTCATTTTGTTTAAAAATTTTGGAAATCATTTTGTTTTGTTTACACAGCACGTCATTACGTGTTGTGGAAATGCCAGCATACTTTTCATTCAGTTCATATGGAATTACGTCTAGCTGCTACTTAATGATTTCTTTCTTCTTCGTGAGTGCTGATGAATACTAGCGGAACTAGTGTTGTCTGTAATTCTGGAGTAGCTTTGTTGTACCGCTGCCAGGTCATCGCTACACAAGGTCACTGGCCTTTGTAGGAGTTGAAAAACATGATACTTGGCTAGTGGGAAGTCCTGTGCATGATCTGGATGAGGCGTACCCCGTTTCAATCCTTGCGGTGCTCGATGTGCGAATTCTGATCGCGAAGAGTAATTTTTGAACTGTTAACGTTTGGTTCTTATACCTCTCCGGTGGTTTCTAGTGAGTATGTCCCGATTATATCCTTCAGATGGGTCATCACCAACTGAATGATGGGCCGCCATTACTTCGATCATCTTCAAGTTTCATGCCTGCGGGACGAAACGTTTTGAACCATTGCTCAATTTATGTTCGGACGGCTATCTCATACGTATAGGCGTTTACGGCGTTTTACGTTCCTTCTACTTCCAAGTTTGAGCTGATGAACTGAACTGATAAATTTTTCTTGTTTTAATGGCTTCATATCAACGAACCTAAAATCGTAAACTTAATGCTAGAAAATCTATTAAACCACGAAGTATGCTTGTAAGATTCAACAACAACGATTGTTAATATTTCGAATCGTCCTAATATAGGCTGCTTGCGTCATCTAGGCAGTTAAAAAACTGTTAAATGAAAAATAAAAAGTGATTCATTTCAGCGCTGAACAAGTTTATCATTGAATTGAAAGACTTGGAGGTCGTAGAGAAAGATGACATCGTGATGACATGCCAGACAAAGGACAACAAGACACCTGGAATTTGGACTCGGAACGGCGTCAGGATCACCAGCATGCCAGGTTAATTTTCTATCTGGTTTCTCATGTGGGACTTTAGGCTTGCGCCAAATTTTCCAAGGCCTTCTGAGGATTGCTTCTGCCAACACTTATAAATCTAACCATAAAAATGCTATAATATGAGATGTTTCAGCATAATTGTGGTTGTATTTCACATGATACATTCAGTGAAAAAGAATAGGCAGTAATTAAAGGTTAAAACTCATGGATCCACTTTTCCTTTTCTTGGAAACAATGCTTGTTACTTTTTAAATGGTTGCCTGCATGCTTCAAGAAAATTGGCCATGGTTCACTTACTCCCGTTAGTATAGGAAAATTCTTATTCCGTTTCGGACATAGGAGAAATCTGAACGAAGAGAGGAGTTTCTGTTGCAGGTGGAAAGTTTGAAACCCAGTCGAGGAACGGCACACACACACTGAAGATCAGCAAGATCGAGCTGAACGAGGGCGAGAATTACGAGATTGACGTCGGAGGCCTGATCGGAAGCTGTTTCGTGACAGTGCTCGAGGCCGAGAAGCGCCCAATCTTTAACTGGAAGCCGAAGAAAATCGAGGCCAAGGCCGGCGAACCGTGCGTCGTCAAGGCAAGCCCTTTCCGTGCTATAGTTGGCTTCTTTCCACATTTTTCTAGGCATTATAAGATCTAATAGGTTTTGCTATAAAATCCAATGACTCTCACGTGCTTAATAGCGGTTTACGGTATAAAATATATTCCACTTCATGCATTAGCTTTGTGGGTTGTATAAAAGGAATGCTCTAGTGACGTAGCAGATAATTTTACGTAGGACACTTTTTTGTAAGTCCGCTCTTTCACACCTGCAGTGCGAATCTCAACAATTCTCGTATTCATCATCCACTAATTTCTTCAACTTCTTACTCATAGGTTCAGTTGCTACCTGAGGATTTCCCCCTCATCATGGACGTAGTTGAATGCTGGTCGAGTCGATCGTTCCTGGAGACCTGAGATAACCGGGCTAGAGCGTTCCCACTTGGATTGAGGAACATGAACCGTTCCACACAAGTCCGGTACCAATTTTCCTACCTCGGAGAGATGAGAGGCTTGATAAGCCCTAAGCGAGACCGAACCAAAACCGCATTCGTGGTGACCAGCATTCTTAAACATTAAATTAAGATTTAAGTATGGTTAAATACGCTTGCGGTTCAAAAGCCTTGTGTAAGAATCGCTAAAATGTAGAGCTGCCGATGAAGAAAAACATTCTTCAAGGACTATTCGGTTTTGGTTATATCATCAATAGTAGGCGTCAGATTCGAACTGACAGTGGAACTCATGCACTTTGGCTCATAAGTTTGACTCCGATTAGAGAGGTTCAATTACAGATTCCATTCCAAATCAAAGGCACGCGACGTGGAGATCCTAAGCCAACGATCTTGCGGAATGGGAAACCGATTAGTGAGGAGATGAAGAAATTAGTTGACGTGGTGGTCAACGGTGACGTCGTCGAGATTAAGTTCAAGGATCCCCAGGTGACGTTCTGTTGTAGTTTGGATAACCCCAAGTTTTCCTACACTTCTTATTTGCCACACTTTCGTACAATGATTTTCATTTGCCGCTTAGGTATAAAAATTCCCTTCAGTTAGCTGACACGGGAAAATGGGCTCTTGAATTGAGCAACTCTGGTGGAGCAGCGCTCGCTCCGTTTGAATTGTTCGTGAAGGACAAGCCAAAACCTCCGAAAGGACCGCTAGAGACCAAAAATGTCACCGCCGAAGGTGAGACCTCAGAAACCTCTTTCTTTCTTCTCTAGATAAAAATCGCTTTTTTTCAACTGCGAAAGAACTTTTTCACGAAAGAGTACTTCTTGATTTTGTTAATTATTGGAGGTTTTTTCTTTCTGAAATGCGCCCAGTATTTCAACGAATGTGCGATCTGAGCAACAATCTAGAACTTTAGTCAAATCTGGAAAGTAACTGGCGTATTTGTTCGTCCTTTGGTTTTATGAGGCGTAGACTAAACAATAACAGAGCAGAGCATACGAATGTCCAACTAATTTTACTTCTAGGAGTTGATTTGAAATGGGGTCAACCTGATGCAGACGAAGCGACACCAGTGAGGGCCTACATCGTTGAAGTACAGGAGGGAAAAGGCGGTGATTGGAAAAAAATCGGCGAAACCAAAACGACCGAATTTAAGGTGTATTGTGCTTTCCTTATCACTATTCGAAGTGTTATTGACATAATCGGAACTTCATGAGTTATTCCTAATCTCATTTCTTCATTTTTCTTCAGAGTTCTTCATTTTTTCCTGATTAAGTTTCTTTTGAAATAGCTGTAGTATTTCAGGTGAAAGATCTGAAAGAGAACAACGAGTACAGGTTTCGCGTGAAAGCGGTGAACGACGTTGGAGAGTCGGAGCCGCTTACCGGAGAAACTGTGACTGCCAAGAATCCATACAGTGAGTGTCTTTGCCCTAACTTAGATTGCAGACCGAAGGGACAAATACAAGAGCTGAATAGAGATTCTCGTTTGACCTCAGCTCGCTCGTTACCCCCACACTTGGTTGAACATAGTTATGGGACATTCCAAGCAGAAAACTCCCTAGCTACCTGCCATGTCTGTCACATTTCGATAGAATTCCCTCGGAACAAACTAGCGATGTTTATGCGAATTCGCAATTTTATTCAGCATTTCATGATTGAAGTGTTTCGAATTATAGGCTTCCATTTCCTGTTTGTTTTGGGCAAGGAAAAGTAAGAAAGCTTTGGTTTTATACCAAACAGCAAAAACTTGTAAAAAGCATAATTTAAGAAGGGGAAAAATCTTCTCAGATTCCAGGTTTGCAAATCTTAGCCTTCTTATTTGCTTTCTACGCATTTCAAAGTGCATGATATAATAGTAAGTATTAATTAGAACATTTCTTGACGGGGTCGTTGACGGCTTCATGATCTGTGCGGCCAACTACTCCTGTCCAAGGAGGTTCTCGGTCGCCGGTAAGACTCGTCGAATAAGTCCGGAAACTTTTTACCTTTGTTGTATAATAGTCCTAACCCAGCTTTCATACGTGCTTAATACTCACAGTTTCTTTCTTCGAGATTCTTTAAACTGTTGGCTGTTCATCTTCAACAATCTAACCTAGATAGCTTATTTTTAATAGTACAGGAGTGTATAGACAGCTTAGCTTAAATGTCGGGTGTGTTGTTGTTCAGAAGCACCTGGAAAACCTCGAAATATGGATGTAGCTGAGATGGATCACGACTTTTTGACTCTTCAATGGGAACCGCCAGAAAATGATGGCGGGTCGCCGATCACTGGGTTTATTGTGGAGAGACGTGAGAAATCCGAAAAGACATGGAATGTGGTCGGAACGATGCCAGCCGACGGCGACGGAGTGCACCGCATAACCGACGACAAGGTGATTGAAGGTCGAGAGTATTACTACCGCGTGAAAGCTGTGAATAAAGCTGGACCTGGAGATCCGTGCGATCATGGTAAAAGCGTGAAAATCATGTCGAAGCCAGGTTTGCCTCCTTTGCACTCGTTTTTCACATTTTGTGTTCCATTATTGTCAGCATGTTGATCTTCGTATAGTTTTTAAACTTTAGCTAACGTAATAACTCATTTCTCAGATACAATGTGTATGTCGCTAAAAACTTACACGTTTGTCCCGCTACATATTTTACCCGAACATTAATTTTTGATGCTAAACGCACTCATTGCACAATATTTGAGGAAATGGGTTGAACAACTGCGTGAATGTGAAGGAGTTAACCTTGCACAGGTAACTGCGGGCCAGTTATTGTGTGAGAGAAAAGGGCGTAAGCATTGGTTCTAGCCTTTTAGGCTACTCAACCATATTGCTTACAAAAATTGTGGACCAAATGTGACCCAATAAATTGTAAAAATGCCCGAAAACCAGGTAATATAGCGCAGTAAGCACCTTTTCTACGCATCACACATCGTTCCCGAGGCCGACTCTCTGTTAATCGCTGCATTGAGTAGGATTCTCGTTGAGCAAACACGAGATGTTATTTTTTTTTCTATTGACGATAGCGCTGACGTTCCGGTGGATTTTGCCTTGTTTAGAGCCTGGAAAGGCTTGACTGCACTCCACCCTGTAAAACACTTCCGTAGCCAAATGAAGAAAATAGTGAATTAAGATTTCATTCGCACTGGACATCTTCTTCGCACACTTACCGCTTTCTGTGAGACTTCAGCTGAGTATTTCATCGATTTCAGGTCATTACTGTACTTGGATAGTTGGATTGCCATCTTCACTGGTTGGGCTACCGGTGTAACGAGAACAGCAAAAGGAGGAATTTCTGAAACTTGTGGAAACGAAACGAAGGACCGGCGTGGTGTGGTGGTGAACGCGCTATTCCCCGGAAAGGACAATAACGCGTTCGTTCCCCACCGCATAAACCTGCGGTCCGGAGTTTTGCAAATATCTCAGCATCATTGAAGTTATATTTCACAATGTATACCCTGCCGTTAAAAAGAGTAGGCAGTAAATAATAAGTCAAAATATTCATAGCGATAATAAGGTTCCGTCTATCCTTCCATATATTTCAAATGACATATGTACAGGTATAAAACGTTGCTTAAGAAGTGCCGCCCTGGAGAATTCCGGGACAGTGATAGGAATAACACCGAGCACTCCAAAACGCCGGCTAGTTCGCAGCCGCCCGTACGACCGTCTATGTACAGCGCAGAGTTGCAGAATATGCCCTAACGACAGAGATGGTTATTGCATAAGTTCGGGTACGATTTACCAAATCTCTTGCAAAGCGTACGGAGACAAATACATTGACGAAACAGGTAGACCACTCTGCGTTCGTATAACTAACTCGGTAAACTTAAAGTTAAGGATAAACGATAAAGTTCTCGGCGTTGATCACTTTCTGAGGGACTCCGCCATGCATTCGACTTTATTAAGTATCGTTGGAGGTCACTGAATGCATATCTGGCCTTTACAATGGTTCGCGGTGGCCTACCGATGTATCGAGCAAGTGCTGCTGTCCTCCCAGACAGGTATGGTACCAATCTACCGACCCCGGAAGAATGGAAAGCCCGACGGGCAGGTGCCGCGACGATCCACGTGTGTGTGTGACAGTGGCGCCTCCAACCACTGCTCCACACGCCCCCTAATCTTAAAGTTAGACCAAGTAATCCACTAGGCGCATGGACTGCAAGAGCATGACGGGGAAGACTTTCAAGTAGAAGTTACCATCCTCGCGCAGGAATCGAAAACTTCGGCTCGCAAAACTCTCGAACCACTCTGGATGTATTCCAAGAATCCCAAAATAAGCCGCAAGGAGGAATGCCTCGTTATCACGCGTGGTCTCCCACAGTATTTAAAACATGTGAGAGAGGCATATTGCGCTTCCATATGAACTCCTTGTGGTTGGTCTCCATGTATAATACTCATTGGAATATTTATAGAAAGCAGTGAATGTACGAAGAAGGTGTTCTGTGTTCCATGTGATTAAGATCTTGAATTAGTACTTTCTCTGTTTGGTTATTCCAATCCCTGTTGAAAACGAGATCCGCCGAAACATCAGCATTATCAATAAAAGTATAAGGTAACACCTCGTGTTTGCTGAACAACGATGCAGCAAGTAATGCTTTTCGAGAACTGCAGTCTTGAAATATTTCAACCACTTCGGTTACATAAATAGTTCGGACCCTTATATCCTAACTGGTCACTCCTGTTATATTTCAGTTGCTCCGGAGTTTCCCGGAGGTGGGATCCAAGATCTTCGTTTGAAAGTCGGCGAAACAATCAAGTACGATGTGGCGATTAGTGGTGCGCCTGTACCCGAAGTATCGTGGATGGTTGATGGAAAACCACTGAAACCCAAAGGGCGAGTGAAAATGAGTACAGAACGAGGGAAGACCGTACTGAAGGTAAGTTGGAACGACTTTGTAGATACCAGACAGCGCTCAAATTCGGCAAATTCACTCTACCATGTTCATATACATATATATATATACATATATATATATATCATATATATATATTCATATATATATCCATAGTCAAAGGACTACGTGATGGGAAAAATGATTCTACAGGATAGAGAAAACGGGCACAGAGCCCAGTGAGGTTGAACATTCCATAAATACTTGTTTGCTTGTGCCGTGCATTTTTTTTAGAAAAACTGGTTTACAATTTCATTGAAACTTGTTGGCTTTGGCATTCTTAAATATCCTATTCAAAATAATGAAGTCGACCATAACTCACTGAGAAACTTTATTGAACTCCTTATCGCTTGCATTAGATCGAGAATGCTGAACGAGGAGATTCTGGAAAATTCACTATTACGCTGAAGAATTCGGTTGGAACGGCCGACAGCACCGCTAAAGTAACCGTAGTTGGCAGACCGACTCCACCGAAAGGACCGCTGAAAGTCTCTGACGTTCACAAAGATGGGGCTACGCTCACATGGAATCCGCCAGAGGTTCGTAGTCGTTTTAAAAATTCTACATAAAAGATTGAACCATTCAGATCTAGCATAATTTACTTAGTATGAATATGATAAGATATAAGACAAGCACGCCTTTTTAAAAGAGGTGGAAGGGAGTTTGTTACTACATTATTAAAAAATACCAAAAATTTCGGCCAGTGCACTTTGAAGAAATGGAAGCGGCAGAGCTCCTTATAGCGCTACATGTTTCAGGACGATGGAGGCGACCCACTGACCGCATACATTATTGAAGCACAAGACATGGATAACAAGGGAAAGTATATAGAGGTAATCCTGTGGCTCCAATAGTTTGTAACTGCATAAACCGTCCTCGTGAACTGAGAAGAGCGCCTTTTTTTGCGCGATGATTCAGTCCGAGTGCTAAACTCTTGTCTCATCGCGCAGTCACATCGCGTTTTCAATCTTACGTTGTCTAAGGAATACCATCACTGAAAATACGGTCACTGTTTTTGTAAGGTTGGTCGTGTCGATGGCAACACTACAGAAATGAAAGTTAAAGGACTTCGAAATAAAGGAAACTACAAGTTCCGGTAAGTTTTCCTCATGTTTACGGCGCTGCATTTTTCTTTGATGCATTGAATGATGTAGTGTGTTCACACCCACGCATGGATTAACTATTAATCCTCCCTCTCTACAAATCTCTGTAGCCTAATGTTCCTACTGTCCTTGGTGGCAAACGTAAACCTGGGTCTTATTGAGATTTTTAGCTATCAAGATTTAAAAAGGCACGTAACTAAATATGAAAAACAACGAGAAGTTGCAATCACAATCTTAACCGTTTTATTTACTTCCTACTCTTTTTAATCGCGGAGTATATTGCGAAATATAACTCCAAAGATGCTGAGATATTTGCAAAACTCCGGACCGCAGGTGTCTGCGGTAGGGGACGAACGCGCTATTGTCTTTTCCAGGGAACAACGCGTTCACCACCACACCATGCGGGTCCTTCGTTTCGCCTCTTTCTCAGCTATTTCTATCGATCTTTTGCCATCAGCAGTCACCCGTCAGCGGGGTTTATCTGGGGAGCCCAAATCGGCAATGAACCCAGTTTAGCTGAGGCTTTAGTTAGAATAGCAATCTTAGCCGTTTTATTTACTGCTCTACTTTTGCAAATATCTCAGCACCTTTGAAATGAAAAGTTGTTTGAGCAGAACACATTCTCAGACATAACCCATTCCTCTGTATGGTTGAATACTAGCTCTAAAGTTTTTATTAATATTACGGAATAGCACCAATAATCCCACGAAACGGTTTCCCTTCGTTTTAGTGTGAAAGCAGTGAACAAAGAAGGCGAATCGGAGCCACTTACTGGAGATCAATACACGTTAATCAAGGTCAGTTTTCTTTTATTCCATATTCACGGTGACTACGATCGACCGAAAGCCCAATAATTTAGGATCCGTGGGACGAACCAGGAAAACCCGGAAGGCCCAATATCACGGACTACGATGCTGATAGGATTGATATTTCGTGGGAACCTCCAGCAAAAGATGGTGGTGCTCCTATTGAGGGCTATATTGTTGAGGTTCGAGATCCGGAAACTAGGGAATGGAAGGAAATAGCCAAAGTGGCAGGTTGGTCAGTCCAATATAGTGGAAAAACTTTACTCTCAACGTTGTAAACGTCAGATAATTTCAACTTAATAGTTGCTAAAGTTGACAGTTGCTGAAATTCCGGAAATACGTTACGACTCAAAGAGGCATACGTTGTTTACAAATTGGTGTTTTTCCATTCAAGCTTAGCAAGAACGCTTGCATTCTACTTCAATTTTATGGACGTAGTAAATAGAAACTTTTGTGGTATTAGGCAGTTTTTCAGCTGTCTACAACATTTTGTGGAGATCCACGAATTTCTGTCGTACTTTGAAGGGAGCAATTTTTATTCCCCTGCTTGTCAAATTTATTCCTTACGTCAGATACCAAAGTCTTTCAAGCTGATAATCTTATTCAAAATCGTAATTTCTCAGACACGAAAGCGTCCATCGACGGTCTCAAAGAGGGAAAAGAGTACCAGTTCAGAGTTAAGGCCTTCAATAAGGCCGGTGTTGGACAACCGTCGGATGCTTCAGAAAAGCAGGTCGCGAAGCCAAAATTCAGTGAGTTCTGCAAATAGAAGTTTTGCAAGATTTCCTCACCTATTCCTATTCCACGTTGTCGTTTATCTATTGCTTTGATTGGCAATTCGGTCTCTTTTCGTTTAAAAGTTTAATAAATATTCCGTCATTATCTCCGAGTAGACTTTATGCTTGTCATAGAGTGGAACCGCTACAGAATTCTTAACGAACGGAATACATATCTGTGTGTTTGAACGAAGAATTGTTAAGCATGGAAATCGATTTTGGAAACTGTTGAAGAAAAAGATAAGAAATCCACAAAGAAATGAAAGCGGTTTTAATATCAAGTCGTTGTATTTAAAAATATTGAAAAATTGTGGTAAGAAAAAAAGCCGATGATTTCTCAGTCCCAAGGATTAGAACAAAACAGTGAGTGCAGGCATCCACTAGAATTTCTCATTGGTAAGGAAATGTCTCTGAGGGATAAAATAGAAAAGGCTATGTCTGTAAGGAATAAAATAAAACTATCTCTTTCTCATGTTCGAAGTGGCTCATGGTTTTTCCAAGTTACAGTCACTTGAAATTTTGTGCGTGATGGGCGCCGAGCTGGAGGGAAGTGCAGCTAGAGCATCGTCGCCGTCAAGCAGTGACTATTTCAGTTCCGGCTTGGCTGAAGCACGACTGCTTGAAGAGCATCACGGTCAAAACTGGGCAGACGGTTCGCTGGGATGTGAAGATCGGCGGTGAGCCGGTTCCTGAGGTAGCGTGGATGAAGGACGATAACCCTATCGAGCAGTCGCTCAATCTCAGCATCGACACCAAGAAGAACGAACACACCATCCTTTGCATTCCATCAGCGGTGCGAGCTGATCGTGGAGAATACAGGTAATTGCTATATTTCACCATCATTTCGTATAAATTCTCATAATTTCGTGATGCGAATCGTGTATCAGTTGTCTCAAATCGTTGATCGATTGTTACAACTGCCATAGCACTAAAGTAACGGAATTACGTTTTGTACTAGACAGACTAGTTTGCCAGCTAGATTACCTCCAGAGACCAGTTCGCCAGTTGGATTACCTCCACAGTTGTCACCTGGATTAACTCCAGCTAAAAAATTCGTTATTCTACTATGCTAGATTAGCTCTTGCTAGAAAGTCATCATTTTGCTATTCACAATGTCTCAAACCGCGGCACGTTTACTTGTGGTGAAAAGTACAAATGTTAAAATCTAATATAATCCTAAAAGTATAGCTATCGTAGATAACAACAAACTATATTTCAAAAAAACCCTTATAGTTTGATCCCTAAACTTTCACCCCTTAGTTTGGTCTCTAAAGTTTTATCCCTCGTACCTACGTTTGTCTTCACTCTATATCTGTCTAATAACACCACAGTGAGATTACAAACATTAACTAGTGGGCCAAACACTTCAGTTACTCGTTGCGAAAATCGGTACTAGTGAACAGGGGACAAGTGATTACATGCTGGAAATACGTGACGAGATTGCCTCTTTAACAAAATTTAGACTTTCCGTTAAAAACTCGCACGGGCACGATACCGAAGCTGCGAACCTGACCGTGTTGGATAGGCCTACGAGGCCGAACGGTCCTCTAGAGGTGTCAGACGTGTTCGAAGACAACTGCAACCTTTCATGGAAACCACCCGGTAAGAGTTGGTTGCTAAACGTTGGTTCGTATTTATTCATCTATGGAAAGGACGAAAACGTTTTTGTAATCACTCATCGTTAGTCATAAACGCGAATGTATAGTTACGACATTGAAATTCACCACATGCTACCACAACGTTGCTGAGATATTTGCAAAACTCTGGACCGCAGGTGTCTATGGTGGGGAACGAACGCGATATTGTCCTTTGCGGGGAGCAACGCGTTCACCACCACACCATGCGGTTCCTTCGTTTCGCCTGTCTCTCAGCTATTTCTATCGATCTTTGCCACAACAATCACCCGTCTGCGGGATAATAGAAAATAAAAAGGTATAACATTGTGATTTCAACTACAGCCGCAGCTTAACTGGGTTATATGCCGATTTGCGCGCCGCAAATCAATTCCGTTGACGGGTGATTGCTGTGGCAAAGATCGTTAGAAATAGTTGAGAGACAGACGAAACGAAGGACCCGCATGGTGTGGTGGTGAACGCGTTACTCTCCGGAAAGGACAATAGCGCGTTCGTTCCCCACCATAGACACCTGCGGTCTAGAGTTTTGCAAATATCTCAGCAACGTTGTGGTCGTATTTCCCTTAGTACCCTGCCGCGAAATTATAGTAGGCAGAAAATAAAAAGGTATATCACCATATGCTGTTTGAACGGCACCATAACACGAAATAGAAACGATGTTTGCTTGAAATCGATTCACATTTTCTATTTTCTGTTCATCGTCCTTGAAAGCGGCTGTTTCTGGTCTAGAAGGGCGCTGGAATTAAAGATTTTTTCTGCTAACATGTACGAGTTTTCAGATGACGACGGTGGTGAGCCGATCGAGTACTACGAAGTCGAGAAGTTAGACACAAGTACTGGGCGCTGGGTGCCATGCGCAAAGGTGACCTTACGTTGGAACTCTGCTAATCGTTTAGTTTCATTTTTTTTTTCTTCTGGAAGATAATCTTTCGTGGTGACGAAAACGAAGAAACAATTACTATAAGAGCGATATCGTTCAGGTAAAAGACACCAATGCTCGTATCGATGGCTTGAAGAAAGGACAGACTTATCAGTTCCGGGTGAAAGCTGTCAATAAGGAAGGACAATCGGATCCTCTAAACACCGAGAAGGAGACCGTAGCGAAGAATCCATACGGTGGGGATTACTTTTTGTATTTTACAGGACGAGCCTTTGGTTTAGTTAATATTTCTACTGCTATAGAATTTGATATATAGTAATATAGAACTACTTATTAGAACTATTTTTAGTTTTTTTCTTCTTTCATTTTGATTAATGCTTAGCTGCAACCACACTGACGCTGACCTTTTCGCAAAACTTGGACCCCAGACCAGATAGAACCGCGATTACCCTTTTCAGGACTCACATGTTGCGCAAGGCACCACGTCCCTCGTTTTGCCTTTCTCTCTGCCAGTTTCCTCAGATATTTTACTTCGTAACAGAAAAATGGCTGAACAATGTGAACAGCAATTTAAACACTGCTATTCCATCGATATTGAGTAGTGTGATCCAAGCTCTCTTATTACTAATTCCCACTACCGACTTTCTATTAACATCGACATTGGTTAGATAATTCTTTATATTCTTGTTGAGCATATGCGACTGTTATTTTACTCTTTGTTGCTATGAAGCTAACGTTTCGCCTGATTTCGCCTTTATCAGAGCCTGAAGAGATCAGATGGGCCGCAATCCGCCCAGCTATACACCTCCATAACCAAGTAGAGAAAATGCTAAATGCTAATGCTAATGCTGATAGATTGCGGTCAGCTTAGCCTTTCCAGGCTCTGAGGAAGGCCAAATCCGCCGAAACATCAGCCTCATGGCAATCAAGAGTGAACTAACACCTCTTTTTTACTCGGCAAGGGCACAAGGGCGAACTTCATTTCAGATGAACCTGGCAAACCGCACACACCCGAGGTGACGGACTGGGACGCAGATAGGGTTTCACTCGAATGGCAACCGCCAGATTCCGACGGAGGAGCCCCAATCACCCAATATATAATCGAAAAGAAAGGAAAGCATGGTCGTGAGTGGCAAGAATGCGGCAAAGTAAGTCGTAACTGGCAAATAAAGCCTTTCTTGAATATTCATGAACACTGCAATACTCGTGCAGGTTTCCGGTGACGAGACAATGGCTACCATTACGGGTCTCAAAGAAGGCGAGGAATATCAATTCAGAGTGAAGGCTGTGAATAAAGCTGGTCCTGGAGTGGCTTCGGACCCAAGTCGAAAAGTGATCGCCAAGCCGAGAAATTGTAGGTTTTCATGGCAATCATTTCTCACATCTAGTCAAAATGAAAACTTTCAGTAAAACCATGGATCGACCGCGAAAAAATGAAAACAATAACAATCAAGGTCGGACACGACGTCGAATTCGACGTGCCAGTTCGAGGTGAACCCCCGCCGGAGAAGATATGGACATTCAATGAGAATCCAATCAACGACGCCAAGATTAAGGTGCTCAATTTTGACGATCCTTCCAGATTGACAGTGTTTTGCTTGAAATATCCTCACTCTACCACTTGCACACCGTTTGAAGACAATTTTCTACGTGATGTCAGTCGACAAACGGTTAATCAAATGCGTTACAGTCGGGTTCCACTCTATTGTGAATGTTTTAATGCCATTCGCTGAATGATATTTCATCAGTGAATGCGTCTACAAGCATTACTTCACTTACGTTTCATGGAAGTTCGAAGGTGTTGTAGTTGCATATTATTCTCAAGGTCCATACTGATGTTCACTTATAGCAATAACAGTCGCATTTCACTGTAACTAGCCATCCTTCTACCAGCCGTCAGCCATTGAAATAGACGCGCCATATTTAGCTCAATCGTCACCTACCATCTTTTCCACCGTGATACACAGTCACTCGAAAAGTTTTCTAAAACGTCGAATCTTATGCTTTAGATCACTGATGAGGACTATAATACAAAATTCGTACTGAAGTCTGCAACTCGTGCGCATGCTGGCAAGTACACTCTGACTGCCAAGAACAGTAATGGAACCGACACACATAGTGTAGAAGTGATTGTTTTGGGCAAACCTAGCGCGCCAGAGGGACCACTCGAGGTCAACAATGTGTTCGAGGATAAGTGCGATCTCGAATGGAAGGCAAGTGACTTTCCTTATCCAAGGTCTAATTCTATGTCTTAGTAACCTAGATGCTGTAGAAATACAAATCTGAGGTTCGCTTATTGCTATGTTTGTCAATTCCAACATTTTCCATAACTAGGAAAAAGCGTATTACTCATAGGAGGGCGAAAAATGCTTAGATCACTTAAAAACGTCAAAGAGGACCACCGAAAGTTAAGTGTAGTGTATAGTCTTTATGTTTTATCATATATGAACTCAAATGTCAGCAAGTAACCGAACCGACCATGGATTATGGCTTATTAAACCGTTGTGGCAACTTTCTAGCAAAGCATAACCACTCTTTAATGAAGTTCGTCTGTAAGTGTACCGTAAACTTTTAAGCCAACCATTGCAACTTCTATCGTATACTTATCGAAGTCAACCAAACATAGTCCTCGCAAAAAGCTATCTGTTGACAAATGCAGTGATCCTTTTAGCCACCAAAGGACGACGGAGGAGTGCCTATCGACCATTACGAGGTCGAGAAATTGGACATGGCTACTGGCCGATGGGTTCCTTGTGGTCAAGCCCAGGGAACAAAAATGACTGTTAACAACCTCCAACCGGGTCATCAATACCAGGCCAGTGACTGTTTTATTAATTAATTTGCTATCAACAAAGAAACTTATAATATGGTTATCCTTGTGTTTTAGTTTCGCGTACGTGCGGTAAACAAAGAAGGTGAATCCGATCCGTTGACTACCGATGGACCGATGCTTGCAAAAAATCCCTACGAAGTTCCCGGGAAGATGGCGAAACCGGAGATCACGGATTGGGATAAGGATCATGTAGACTTAGAGTGGAAAGTACCTACTGATGATGGCGGTGCTCCTATTGAGGAATATGTCATCGAACAGAAAGACGAACACGGAAGATGGGAAGAGGTAACAATCGGGCATTTCTGAAGGAAAAAACAACTTAGTGTGTTTGTAAATCTATGTACAAGTACCTTTCGTAATTAAGGTGATGGTAGTTCCTGCTGGACAGACAACCGCTACCGTTGGTGGCCTGAAAGAAGGTGAACGATACCAGTTCCGTATAGCTGCTAAGAACAAGGCAGGACTAGGCGAGCTATCCGACCCTAGCGACAAAGTGACGGCGAAAGCTCGATTTTGTAAGGTTTAATTACTTTTCGGGATTTTAAGGTTAAAATAATAAACGCCACCTTTTCCTTACGTGATCTAATTGTCCCAAACCAACTGATTAGGATTTTCGCATGTGCAATTGACACAGGAAAACTTATGGAACACGGAAAAAAACGAAATTTTTAGGGAAATTTTCTCATTTCCAATTTGTACATTGTATGAGTACAATATTTATGTTGTTAGCACATTCTAGGAAGGAACCGGAGGGATGGAAGGCTTAGGGAACATGGGCGCGGATCGATTCCACGTGTGCGTTGCAGGGCACCGCGGACCAGTGCGCCACATGCGTGCTGGCCCACTAAGCCTTCCATCCTTCCGAGGTTGCAAATTGGTACCAGACTTGTCTGAAAGGATAGCAGCACTGGCTGGATACATCGGTAGGCCACTGCGAGTCATTGTAAAGGCCAGATATGCATTCAATCACTTCCAGATGATGTTTAGTGAAGTCGAATGCATGGCGCATCCCTCAGGGATTGATTAATCCTGAGAGCTTTTTTAAACACAATCTATCTACGCAATAAGTGTACAGGCTTAAATCCAAAATAGATATTATATGAAATTCTGTATATTTTGCCGTTATGTTGACATTTCTTGTTTAGTACTACTGAAAGTAGGAAATGTCTCTGGAGGCATATAAGTAACATATATAAGTAAACGTAATCTTTTCTAAGAAGTTGTTCACTTCGGTGCATGAAAAGACCATGTCATTTTTTTAGTGGCCCCTCACATTCACCGCGAAGACTTGGAAGATACAACGGTTCGCGTTGGGCAACAAATTAAATTCAGTGTTCACATCGATGGTGAACCACCTCCAGAAGTGCAGTGGACGTTCAACGATAAGAGAATCGACGAGAGCACGGTGGGTTAATTCTTGAGCGGTGAGAAGAAAAAGCTAAAAATATTTACGCGAACGTTTTACTACCGAAATTCCTGGTTCTGTAGAAGACAAAATTTTAATGAAACTAAAATTTTAATACAACCACAACGTTGCTGAGATATTTGCAAAACTCTGGACCGCAGGTGTCTATGGTGGGGAATGAACGCGCTATTATCCTTTCCGGGGAGTAACGCGTTCACCACCACACCATGCGGGTCCTTCGTTTCGCCTGTCTCTCAGCTTTCTATCGATCTTTGGCCAACAGCAATCACCCGTCAGCGGGGTTGATCTGGGGAGCGCAAATCGGCATAGAACCCAGTTAAGCTATGGCTGTAGTTGTGCTACAGCAATCACCCCTCAGTGGGGTTGATCTGGGGAGCGCAAATCGGCATAGAACCCAGTTAAGCTGCGGCTGTAGTTGAAATCACAATGTTTAACGTTTTGTTTTCTGCCTTCTATAATTTTCATGTCAGGTTACTAAGCGAAATGCAACCACAACGTTGCTGAGATATTTGCAAAACTCTGGATCGCAGGTGGCTATGGTGGGAAACGAACGCGCTATTATCCTTTCCGGGGAGTAACGCGTTCACCACCACACCATGCGGGTCCTTCGTTTCGCCTGTCTCTCAGCTATTTCTACTGATCTTTGCCACAGCAATCACCCGTCAGTAAAATTTTAATTTTTTAGCGTTTATTAACTAATTTTGAAATTTAATGGCTGAAATTTAAAAAGTCAGGGTTTTTGTGATTTTAATGAGAATCCTACTTCAGGAGTCATGCACCTCTCAACCGACACCCCACTTGTTTCTTTTTGTCACCATCGTTTACTATGGTGGTGGTTTCTTTCGAGCATGGTGACGTCTGCTAACGTCATTTTTTAATCCATACTAAATTCATTGGAAAATACGATTACAGCCGGTCGACGTCAGTTACAAACATGGCCGTCCATCTTGTTGATGATTGCGCCGAAAGGTCCCTGCATCCTCTTACGATTCATTCTAGTTTTCTCTTCGTCTATATATCGTCACCTCTTCATTACGTGAGCAACTCATCTACTAATATGTTTCGCTTCCCATGTGTGTTCCATAGATTTCGAGGAGGAGATAATTCTCGAAGATTCTACTTTAATGTAATTTTCTATGGACAAGTTATATTTCAGAAGGCATCGTTCAAGTCTTTATAGATAGTGTGAGGCGTAGAATTTTTAGGTGGTTGAGATGTCAGAAACCGGAATATGTTAGAATGAGGTTCTTGGATTTGTCATGTGTTCAATGGATCTTCTGAAAGGCTCGATCACGTACTAAGCTGCTCCTTTCTTCTCTAGTTCTTCTTCATATCTTTTTGCACTTTCACTAAAAGCCCTAAGTATATTCACAGTGCAGCTAAGGAGTTATCGGTTTCAGTTTGTTCTCTGTTGCACTATTGGTTGTCCACAAATTGAGTTTTGGAGTCCTATCCTTCTCACTTCGTCTTAAGCATCTTGAGCATCGTTTATGTTTTGCGTTCGCTTCATGATAAAATGACTATCTGTTCAGTAAACGGAAGGATGAAGCTAGCATTTACTATCGACGCGTTATGTTCCTTCCACCTAAATAGGCGGTTTCATCACTCACGGTAATATGGTCGTCAACAGCATTTCCCTTCTTGGACCATTCCTCCCATCAGGATGGCGAACAGTTAGTGAGAAAAGTGTACATTTGTACCACCGGTGTGATGCTACTCCGTTCAAATTTTTATCTAGGGTTTGTACACCCTTGGCAACTTATGGGTAATGGGTAGATGCACTACAAACCCAGTGCTACCAAAGCTTCGTGAACATAGGAGTCCTGTCATTTAATTGGCATTGTAGGCCCTCTTTCTTTTTTGCCATTTCGGGCGATTACGCTGAAATTAATGTTACCTGGGGCCTTTAGAAAAGCGCGAAGCCATCATTTGAAGATGTGTGGAGTTATAAGTCCAGAACAGGAAACGGTTTCTGTTGCTTGTTGTGAATGCGTTGTTTTTATCCGATTCCATTGACTTCCTATACAATCCAAAATTTGATCACTCCTAATGGTTGTCACCTTTCGGTGTCATAGATGAGACGTCCCAGTGTGCGACATATTGGGACTAATTTACGAGTGAAAATTTGCCATCTTGCAACTGGATCGCTACTACACTACCAGATTATGCGGTACTGACATTAATTACTTTTGAATGAAATCCCGGATAGGATTGTTTTTTTGGGACACTATTGGGAAGTACAGATCTCTTTCTCTCTCGCTCTCTCTCTGGATACCACAGTTCGACACCAGTAACACCTTGCAGTCGCGATGAGGAGGTGAAGTATTTGGAAGAGGGACTATAGCAATCCAATATTTGTTTCGTAGTGGTTGAAGCTTTGGCAGTTTTCTTTTTCAAAGCTCGAAAAGGTCATGTTTTCACGCAGCTTTTTCGACCACTTATTTTCAAAAAACAACGGTTTTCTGTCGACTTTTGAGCAGCTCTCTGGCACTATGGTAAAGGAATCCAATAGTAGGAATTTGATTTTGAGTTTTTAAGTTTCTCTGAACTGTAATCGATCCGGAAAGAAACTTGTAGCGGTCGTATCACTGTGGATTTATGTCACTTATGGTCAACTACAGCCTCAGCTTAACTGGGTTCAATGCCGATTTTGTCTCCCCAGAGGAATCTCTTTGACGGGCGATTGCTGTGGCAAAGAACGATAGAAATAGCTGAGAGACAGGCGAAACGAAGGACCCGCATGGTGTGGTGGTGAACGCGTTATGCCCCGGAAAGGATGACAGCGCGTTCACCACCGCAGAAACCTGCGGTCCGGAGTTATGCAAACATCTCAGCACCACTGTGGTTGTATTTCGCATTATACCCTACCGTGGAAAGTTGTAATAGGCAACAAATAAAAAGTTAGCATTATATCACTCATATTTTCGAAGCGTAATTATCGCCAGATATTTTTTAGAATTTTGGAACGAAAGTTTCATCAGAGAAGGCTCGTTGATCTTGATAAATATTGCACAGTTATGTAAATATGTCATTCAAACATTGACTTTATTCGTGTTCAGGTTCAAATAGCGAATGAGGATTACCTTTCACGATTCAACATCAACAAAGCAGTGCGGAAGCACTGTGGCAAGTATACGATCACGGCCATGAATTCGAGTGGAACGGATTCGGTGACGATCACCATCAACGTGAAGAGCAAGCCATCGAAGCCGAAAGGCCCGCTCGAAGTCAGCGATGTGTTTGAAGACCGTGCGACGCTAAACTGGAAACCTCCTGAAGATGATGGAGGCGAGCCGATCGACCATTATGAGATCGAGAAGATGAGCACTAAGGACGGAATATGGGTGCCGTGTGGGCGTTCCAACGACACGAACTTCATGGTGGATGCGCTCAGTAAGGGCGACCATTACAAATTCCGCGTCAAGGTATTCTTTACAACCTGTTTAGATTTGTCATCAGGCCACCACAAATTGTGGGACGCAAGTTGAGAGTCGTTTTATTCGACTTGTCTTTATTGTTTAGTTTTTTCTCATCTGTTATCAGAATGTAAACCTATTCATGTGCTGCGATCAACATGGAACCCCTAAGGGTTAATACTATGGGTAAAAGGAGATGTATCCACATAATGGCGTATCTCAAACCAGGAAATGTACTCGTTATCTTCTATTGACAGAATGTCCATTTTTGTAAAATTTTCCTCCAAATTTCTAGAATGTAAGGATTCAGCGCAGACTTGCAAACTTTTTATGAAGCAGCCTTCTAAGCGAAAAGAATCTAAAGGAATAAACTCCTTTAAAGAGTAGTCAAACAGGCTTTTTCATTCAGACTTTACATAGTTTTTATTGGCGATATTTTCGCTCATAACGCTCCACGTAGGTAGTAATTTGCACTAGATTCTCAATACTCGATGTTCATGCTGTTCGTTTTTGTGCTTTTCCATGTCAAATTCGGTATATATCTCGACAGCATAATAGTTTCATCTTTGATTGTTTTATTGCATTTTTAGTAGCCTAGTAGACTTAGCTCGGAAGACGATTTTTCATCGTTTAGGCGGTTAACAGCGAAGGTGCCTCGGACCCACTTGAAAGTGATACCGATGTATTAGCGAAGAATCCATTCGATCGTCCTGACAGGCCTGGAAGACCCGAACCGACTGACTGGGACAGTGACCATGTCGATCTTAAATGGGAGCCTCCAGCGAAGGATGGCGGGGCTCCAATTGAGGAATACCAGGTCGAAAAACGAACTAAATACGGACGGTGGGCTCATTAAATATTGTTTTCAGATGTCCGCTTACGATTGTTACACATTTGGTTTCAATATTGAGTCTAGTTTTTCTATTAGACTTATGAAGTCGGCTTTACGTCGTTATGAGTGAGTGTGTGGATATATTTAGATGGGAACCAGCAGTTACAGTCCCTGGAGGGACCACCACTGCCACTGTACCCAATCTGACCCCTAACGAAGAGTACGAGTTTCGCGTAGTGGCCGTGAACAAAGGAGGTGCTTCCGACCCTAGTGACGCCAGCAAGCCAGTCATCGCCAAACCACGAAATTGTTAGTTCATTTCGTTGTGTTAAAATATAGAAACGGTTTATAGATGTTCCTCCACTTGTGTACAATTCCATAATTTAAACTTGTGCTTTAAAACCATACCATAGTCGTCAACCGTGGAATTATTAAGTTTTTGTTGCTCGATCTCAAGCCAAAACTCGGGAATTCAGAGCATCTGTATAAACTGTAACCTTGTCAAGTCTTAGACTGGAGCAAGAAAAAAGAAAGGTCTTCATTCACCTTCACCTTATGCCAAAGTTGTCCAGTGGCTCAAACATACTCGAGAGGGCAATGACAGTTAAATTTTTAGAAAGGCGCTCTTTACTTTCACTGCTTCCACCACAATGATCACCAAGAACATTTGGCTATGAATTGCTGAAGTAGTAGAAATGGGTCTACGTCTTCAAGCGATCTTCAACCACTACGCCTTCACTCCTGAATTACTTGAATGCATGTTCTTAGGCGACTCGATGTGCAGGTTACAATTCGCATACATGCAACTGCACTCACACGCGCATTCAAGACAAGATTACCTACACATTTGAAAGAGGTCAATCCCATGCGGCCGATCTGTGTTTCACAGCCAGTTCTGCTTTTTATGGTTGCTTACGAGTGTTAAACGACGTTTTTGGGTTTCATAGGCTGCTGTGATTTCTAAAGGATCAGGAAATTGCAGATTACTTACTTGGATGTTTGAATGGCTTATCCTCAATCCTCACTGGTTGTGCAGGCCCCAGCATAATCTCCTTTTTTTCGGAGATTTGCTGGTTTAGCCATTGTGGTTCTCTGGAATCTTGAGATCAGCCTGGCGAAAGTCTGCCCCAGGTCGTCACCACTACAGACAGCCGCAGGCCTTGTGAATCAAGGGGAGATTTGCCACCGTGCGACCAATTTGATACCGGGACGGTTGTAGATACTGGTATTTTTTTGGTAACTTGCAGATTAAGCCAAAGAACTTATCCATTTTACCTCATATTTGTGCATATGTAGTATGAAAAACTTCAGATGTAAAGTATGACGCCATGTATCACATTTAGACAGTCAAACGTAAGTTGGAGTAAAATGGGCATGATCTTTTTGAAACCTTGGTCTTTAATCCAGGTTGCACACTCCATTCTGCCAGAACTCTGTTTTCTACTACTTTAGTTATTTCTCTTTATTTTTGAAGAAATTTGAAATTATTTCAGTTGTTCCCTTCTTTTTGACTTAGACAAAATAGAGACATCGGCTATATTACAAGCTCTTTCAAACAGGAGCATTCGTTTCAGTGCCGCCACGAATCGACCGCAGTGCACTGAAGGATCTCAAGGTGAAAGCAGGTCAGGCAATCGGATGGGATGTTCCGGTGGAAGGTGAGCCGGTGCCGACGGTCACTTGGCTATGGCCGGACCAGCGGGAGATTCGCAATGGAGGCCGGGTGAAGTGTGATAACCCCGACTACCACTCCAAACTGCACATCCGCCAGATGGAACGCGGCGAAAGTGGTGTCTACACTATCCGGGCCGTGAATTCCAACGGCGAGGACGAGGCCACGGTGAACGTCACCGTTATCGGTAAGTGAAGAGCCCGTTTTCTGACATCGATGAAGGTTACTGATAAGGTATGGTCAAGCTATAAACCTGCAGAAAGTTACAGCTTTTATTAGAGTTATATTCATCCAATTGTTGGTTTACTGAGAGCCAATGAAAGCTCTGTTCAGAATTAATGAAAGAATACCATTAAACTGCTAGTTGGAGATCTGAAAACCTTTCTCGACTCTTAATTTTTATTAATATAGAATCTGTAGTGTGACCCGTTTAATGAAGATAAGCCGTGCTTAATATTTAACTTGTACTTCGCTGAGTAATTTTGGAAAGGTTCCATCACATGGCAACAGAATCATGGAGTAAAATTGACGAATGACCTGCTGCTTGTTAAATGTCAGGATTGTGTACTCCCCTTTGTAAAATTGACTGTAATAAATGACTACTGCAATATACATTTAATTTTCAATTTATGCCAATTTTCATAGTCCGTTTACACCTTAACAAGTGCTGATCCGAAATTCTCCAAATTCAAAGCAGTTTCATTCTCAAACCTCGAATTAGACAGATTTTGTGCCCGATATTTGTTTCAGACAGACCATCTGCTCCTATCGGACCTCTGGACGTGAGTGATGTTCATGCCGATCACTGCACGTTGGAGTGGAAGCCGCCGGAGGATGATGGTGGAATTCCGATCGAAAATTACGTGATCGAGAAACTCGACACGGCCACCGGCCGGTGGGTCCCAGCAGCCAAGGTGCCCGGCGGCCAGACGACAGCCGTCGTCGACGGTCTCATCGCTGGACATGAGTACAAGGTCAGTGCTTTCGATGTTAACGCACCGACCCACACAAATAAAATGAAAACCGGATAAGATCACAAAGTAGAAGCCCATATTTATATTTTTATTTGTGGCTTTATGTTTATATTTTTTTCGTATGTCCGCACTTTTTGTCTTCTTCATTTTTCAAACATATTTGTCATGTGATGCCTTAATAAATTATAGCAATCATCAAGCAATCAGTGTGACGCGTATCTGCCATCATTTTTGCAGTTTCGTGTAGCTGCGGTGAACGCAGAAGGCGAATCAGAACCACTGGAAACGTTTGGAGCGACACTGGCGAAAGATCCCTTCGACAAGCCTGGAAAGACGGCTGCTCCAGAAGTAACGGATTATGACGTTGATCATGCCGACCTCTCTTGGCACCCACCTGTCAACGACGGCGGTGCACCAATAGATGGCTATGTGATCGAAGTAAAGGAAAAGTACTCACCAGTTTGGACAGAAGCCTTGCAAGTACGGCTCTAAATCATTTGTTGTCATATTACGAAGAGAGTAATTAAAACGAAGACGTATAAAGTGAAATTTCCGTCTCTGATTTCCAATTCACTCCCAGGTAATATTGTAGTATTTCCGAAGTTGGCGCACAACAAATCACTTTTAGAGGTGCTCTAACTGCGTTTCACAATAGTGTGATATTTCACACCGTTCGTAGTCATTGCCATTTTTGTTAAAAAAATATTGACATCTCTTTCTGTCATATTCATAACAGTTATATGGAAAATTATTGTTCGTTAAAGTTACTTACTTAGATGGCCCGTCCTCACTGGTTATGCGGGATCCAACACATTCTCCATTTTTCGGAGTTTTGCTGGTTTAGCCATTGTTTCCCTGGAGTGCCGAAGTCAGCTTGGCCATAGTCTGTCCCAGGTCGTCACCACCACAGGCAGTCGTCGCCCTTGTGGATCATAAGGAGATTTGCCACTATGCGACTAGTTTGATACTAGTGCGGTGGTGGATCCTGGTATTGGTTTACTCTTAGCTAGGAAAATCCTCACCTTTGGTAGACCCTGCCTGGCGGATGAATCTCATGCTATAGATCGCAGCCCGACATCCAGGAACACCTCCAGCCATGGTGAGGTAAACCGTTGAGAGGCTGGTATTAGACAAAATTGCACAAAATTGCAATTGCACAAAAAAAGCAGAAAACGAATTAGATATTCTTTTTATTCCGAAGTCAAATTTTAGTACTAATCACGTGAAGAAATGCATCAATTTCGTTACAGTTCAAGATATTCCAGCATAGTGAACAATAAAGCTGATGTAAATCGATGATGAACAAACATTTTGATGCGAGTAGCTCTCTACAAGTAGTCTACACTGAGAGTTTACACTGGCTAGCAAGCATTGTTTTGAAAAATACATCTCTCTTTCATGGAAACATATGGTGCTGATTCCACAGGTTCCTGCTGACCAAACAACCGCTACCGTGGGAAATCTTAAGAAGGACAACGAGTACGAATTCCGTATTCGCGCCAAGAACAAGGCTGGTACGGGCGATCCATCGGATCCCTCGGAGAGAATCACCGCGAAGGCCAGAAATGGTGAGTTCCACAATGCCGCTATTCAATGGTAAAATAAAAGTGTATTCTTTCATAGTATTCAACTACGAAGGCTAGAAGTAAATTCAAAGTGAAGGGACAGATCGTCACTCATCTTCTCATTAGAATTTGCGCTGCTTCATCAGTACAATAGCACCAAGGAATCTATTGAATATATTATATATTATATTGTGAATTATTATTATATTATATTATATTATATTATATATATTATATTATATATTATATTATTATTATATATTACATATTATATTATATATATTATATTATATTATATATATTATATTATATATTATATTATTATTATATTATATTATATTATGAATATATTATATATTATATTATTATGAATATTATGAATATAAAAAATATATTTCTATTGCTTAGTGACCAAGGGCTTTCCTTCAAACGTAAAGTTGTTAATGTAAGCGAATAGTCGGCAATTCAGCGATAAATATAAAGTAGAGCTGAGCTTTCGCTTGTACGACTTCGTTCATTACAATTCTAAAATTTGAGTTGAAACACTCATTTTAAGCTTTTTAGATGGTCTTCAGAATGCTATAAAAACGCTAGATAACTTTCTGCTAGAATTCTTTGCCATTGAAACATCTTCGTGGAGGTTCGTCTTTAAATTCAGTTCCACCTGTCATCGACCGCAGTGCCCTGATGGAGATCAAGGTGCGAGCAGGACAGGAAATCCACCTGAACGTGCCGGTTTCTGGTGAACCACCACCGGAGATCACTTGGACGCTCGACGGCAGTCCAGTGGAGTCCGACGACCGTGTTCGCGTTCAGTCTGAAGATTACAAGGTTAGACTGCGTACATACATTTTATCATTTTTTCTCCATTGCCGATCGCGAGTTTAACAAACAATGCCGACTGTGATGGGATTTAAAAATGGACCATAATTTCTCGAGAAATAAAGCACTTGAAGTGTTGAATTCTTGACAGACTTCTATCAAAGGGTTTGCACTAGGCTTTAAGTATCCAAAATTTTTTGAATATTATTTTAACTCGCATATAATGCTGAGATATTTGCAAAACTCCGGACCGCAGGTGTATGCGGTGGGGAACGAACGCGCGCTATTGTCCTTTCCGGGGAGTAGCGCACTTCACCACCACACCATCCAGATCAATCCCGTTGACTGGTGATTGCTGATGGCAAAAGATCAATAGAACTAGCTGAGAAGCAGGCAAAACGAAGGAACCAGTTGGTGTGGTGGTGAAGTGCGCTACTCCCCGGAAAGGACAATAGCGCGTTCGTTCCCCACCGCATACACCTGCGGTCTGGTGTTTTGCAAATATCTCAGCATTATATACGAGTTATATTCCACAACATACCCTGCCATTAAAAAGAAAAAGGCAGTAAATAAAAGGGTTAAGAATATCATTTTAGTTCCAATTTCTGGAAATTGGGGTCTAGAATAGCTGTTAAGTGACCTTTTTAACACCTTCAATGGTCATTAAGTGCACGCTTTCTTGATAAGCAGAGATAAGGTTTCAAACACAGTATTTATGAAACAATAGCTGAAGTTCCGATGGGTCTCGCTTTGTTCAGAGTCTGCAAAGAGTCACAATTACACACAATCCCTACCAATTCAGGCACTTTCGTAACCCTAATAGAAAAACTCAAAAACAGCGCTTATGGCGCAGTGTTCGGAGGTGCCCTGCAACACACACGTGGAATTGATCCCGGCGCCCGTGGCTCATCAAGCCTTCCAACCCTCTGGCGTCGGAAAATTGGTGCCAGACTTGTCTGGGAGGATAGGAGCACTGGTTCGATACATCGGTAGGCCACCGCGAGTCATTTTAAAGGCCGGATATGCATTCAATCGCCTACAAACGATGCTTAATGAAGTCGAGTGCATGGCGTATCCCTCAAGGATTGATCAACGCCGAGAGCTTTATTCTTTTGTTTAATAGGAAAAAATTCAAAACCTTTATTCCGATCACATTTGAAACATCTTATTTAAAACACTAACAGTTTTTGGGCGTCTTCCAGTTTCTGATGGAGACTGGGCGCACAGAGCTTACATGAGGTGTGTTTATTCGCTATTTATAGCGCATTGTACTAGATGCTAGGAAATAACATGATCTCTTGGCGTAAATTCCGTTTAAATGCCAATTTTTTAGACGAAGTTCCTTGTGAAGAGAGCACTTCGTTCCGATACCGGCACCTATGTGATCACCGCTAAGAATGTGAATGGCACGGACACGGCCGAAGTGAAGGTGATCGTTCTGGACCATCCAGATGCACCACGTGGTCCCTTGGACGTGAGCAACGTGACCAAAGATGGCTGCGATCTGTCATGGAAAGAACCAGATGACGACGGAGGTCCGTTTAAAGTTGATCTACCTAGCTAACATCAGCATTTCTCCCTTCACGCTATTATTTTCGTCCATATTTTTATCTCTTCTGACCAAATTACTATTCATGAATTTTAACCAGTTTTTATCCTCACAGTCGCAATATTCAATATTTGATAAGATGAATTTATTGGACAGTTCAACATGTCGATACAATGACAAATAAGGATAGTGCTCTCATATGTTATGAAGAGCATACATTTGGAAATCGCAGCAAGTGGCGGCCGTTTTAGGTGCTTCCGTCGATCACTACGTGATCGAGAAGCAGGACGCGAACACGGGCCGATGGACAACATGTGGTGAGAGCAATGACACGAAGTTCCATGTGGATGACCTGATCCAGGGCCACGAATACAAGGTGAGCCTTCGCTTAGGTCTTGATGCTTACTTTTAGCCGTTACATATAAAATAAGGGTTGCTTAGGGATTAGTATGAAATCGAACGATTTTTCATTTATTGACGATGATGATAGAAGTGTAGACAATAAAACTCAGTAAGCAGTGATAATTGAAGTCTAAAGAACCATTAGGGCCGTCATCTATGATGTTCTCCTTCCATGCATTACCCATTGGTTGTTCACTTAACAGCAGTAATGCTGCAGTTTATTGAAAATTTTAGTTCGAGTTCAGTTCTTAGTTGAGCACAAATTTCAAATCCGAGCATGGCCGTGATTTGTTTCAGTTCCGCGTAAAAGCGGTTAACCGCTACGGCGAATCAAATCCGCTCGAAGCCAACAAGTCGGTTGTTGCGAAGGACCCGTTCGACTGCGCCGATGCACCGGGAGTTCCTGAGATAGTAGACTGGGACAAAGATCACGCCGACCTGAAATGGACGCCACCTTTGGATGACGGAGGCGCGCCCATTGACCAGTACCTCATCGAAATGAAGGCCGGAAATGGAGATTGGGTTCCCGCGAAGAAAGTGCCAGCTGATCAGCTCACGGCTACAGTAGACGATCTGAAACCTGGTCAAACTTATCAGTTCCGTGTGAAAGCGCTTAATAAAGCAGGGGAATCGCGGCCATCTGACCCAAGTAAAGCGATGGTCGCGAAACCGAGAAATTTGCCACCAAATATTCATAGAGACATGTTCAACGATATTCGTATCAAGGCCGGTCAATCTATCAGCTTCGATGTGAATGTAGACGGTGAGCCGACCCCGAAGATAGAATGGTTCCTGGACGGGACACCTATTCAATCTCTGGGAAAGACGAAAATCGATAATTCTAATGACAACAACACTAAACTAGACACCAAGGATGCTTCTCGCGCCGACAGTGGAAAATACAAAATCGTGGCCACCAATGAAAATGGTAGAGATGAAGCGGAGGTCAACGTAAACGTGCTCGGTGAGATGTTTAATTTGCTAGAAGCTATTCATATTTCGTAGTGGAATGAATTTTGTCCGATCTGTGTCAAAATGTGGCCATAATCAACTTTTCATGAAAAATTATCACAACGAATGATTAATAATTAATCTAGATATCCCTGGAGCTCCCGAAGGACCTCTTACTGTCAAAGATATCACCAAAGATGGCTGCTCTCTAAGATGGAATCCGCCAGAAGATGATGGTGGCTCTCCAATCACCAATTACATCGTGGAGAAACAAGAAGACGGTGGTCGATGGATACCAGTTAGTCTTGTCATATCCATCATAATATTAATTTGTGACTTTTCTGTTCGTCTTTTCATATGCTCGACCTTCTACGAATGTGATATAAGAGTTGAAAGTAGCAAAAAGCAGCGTGTCCACCAGTAAGAATATTTGGATTACCAAAAAATACAAATCGTTACAGATGAAATATTTATATGCATTCATTCTTTGATAAGCTTACACAAGGTTCTTCTACAACTTTTATTCGGCTAACGTTCCAACGTCTTCGTCTTCATTAGAGCCGGTGATCCGAGTCGATAGTCCGCAGTTCCTCTTCGTCTTAGCCTTAGCGGACCGTCTTTAGAATGAGGCATGCTCACTTGGTGATCCCCTTTTATACAGGATGTTGTTGGTTAATAGTAGTGATTATCCGGTGATAATAACTTGTTTTTTGTGGACTATCGACTCAGAACGTCGGCTCTGATGAAGATGAAGACGTCGAAATGTTAGCCGAAAAAAGCTGTCTACCAACATCGTGTAAGCTTAGCAAAGAATAAGTACATATCGATTCCTAGTGCTGAGGTTAAAGGAAAGTTGGTTTTGGAAATATTTATGTTTTGTGTTTTAAATCAGACTTTTTAAAATCGTTATCTTGCTCACAGTTTGTCAACAGCAATCAAATCTAGGTGATGGAAGTTTTTTTAGGAAATCACATTTCGTTTGATCCTTTGTAAAATTTCTGGTACCTTAACCATTGTATGACAGATTTAATAATTTTCGTCTTGAAGATCATCTAAAGCCAATTTTTTAAATTTTTAGTGTGGTGAAACAGCTGACACGAGTCTGAAAGTCGGCAAACTGAACGAGGGTCACGAGTACAAATTCCGAGTGAAGGCAGTGAATCGACAAGGCGTGTCAGCACCTCTGCAGACCGACCACCCCATAGTGGCTAAGAATCCTTTCGACGAGCCGGGCCCACCCACTGATGTCACACCTGTGGACTGGGACAAAGACCACGTAGATCTGGAGTGGAAGGTACGATGGTGCATCGAAATTCTTGTCACAATCATTCCTGCTGCTGTAATATACTTGCTAAAAGACTACTTATCGCAGTACCTCGAACTTTTCAAATTTCGTTGCTGTTCTAAGTGGAGCAAACTTTTCAGAAAGATAGAAAAATAACAAGCTATTTGGTCGAAGCTGCTTGAAAGGAACATGAGATTGCTTTGAGGTTTTTGAAAGCATCGAGAAGGCTTTATTAGAAGGCTGGTGCTTTTATTCGGGAAATTTCAACCGGTTATTTTCCAATTTCTCAAGATGACAATTTCCAGCAAAATTTCGGAACACTTTTAATGAATACCTCAAACCATTTAAAGCCCCTGTAGTGCATAGTTTTGAACATAGTAGTTATTCCTTGCCAAGGTCATACCATGTTTTCATACTTGCTGACATCAGCAGCACTTTTTGAGGCTCCTGAAAATACTGGTGGTGCTCCAATAGAGCAGTATATCGTGGAGAAGAAGGACAAGTACGGAGACTGGGTGCCGTGCGCGGTGGTCGACGGTAAGACCACTAAGGCGACTGCAGGCGATTTAGTGGCCGGTGAAACGTACCAGTTCCGAGTGAAAGCCGTCAACAAGGCTGGACCTGGTAAACCTTCAGATCCGACGGACAATATTGTCGCAAAAGCGAGAAAAAGTAAGTGATTTTTCCCTTATTATATTTTTCCTAAAGTCAGTCAAAGCTTGTGCCACCTGTGATTGCGATTGTAACCGTTAATTTTTAAGTTTGTAATTATTGCATTAACAACTTTCTAAGTTTCTTTATTAATGAGGAACAATGGCGAACCACCGAGAAATCAGCGTGGTGGCAGGTACTGGTTTGAGCGCGGGTGAGTTCAGTGCTTGTGCAACCGGCGACAGTTTGTTCCTGTCCAAAAGGTCATTTAAGCTGGAATTCCCTCGTCGTTAATTTGTCAGAAACTTTTACATTGTCTGTAAATTTGACCTGCGAAACTATGCTTTCGAAAGTCGCCAATACAATCAACAAATCGCTGTTAATCTTCCTTTTCGTAGACGACTTTGCCACATACTGAGTGACTTTGAGCGAAACTAAAGAGCTTGGTTTGGTCAAAAACAACAGCTGAACAAACGGTCATCTGCACACAATTAGTCTTTTATCTCCACAATTTCGAGCTGCTCTTAAATCCTTTCCTTAAGCTCCAGAATGTGAGGAACTTGAGTAGAAATAAAATGAAATGCGTTACAAAACCTTATTTCTCTCTTCATTTGCGAATTTGTAAAGCAGTAGCGAGGTTTGCAATGCGACGTGATGACAATTGATTGGTTATCGTTACTTCACTAAGTGGAATCCTTTTAAGTGAAATATTTCCTTATATTAGTTAACAAACTCAACATTATAATCATTAGTAATGGTATCGTTCTAGTGGCTCCTAAAATCAATGTTGCTGGTCTTCTGGATCTACGAATCAAAGCTGGCACACCGTTGAAGCTAGAGGTTTCTTTTGAAGGGGAGCCATCTCCGACCGCAGATTGGAAGGCAAATGATGTTTCAATGAATTCAAACAACAGAGCCGAAGTGACAACCACACCTACTACGTCTGAACTGCTTATCGCTTCTAGTGTGAGGAGCGATACTGGCTTATACACGGTCACGGTAGAAAATGAACATGGCAAGGACAAGGCTCAGTGTACAGTCACAGTGTTAGATGTGCCTGGAGTTCCAGAAGGTCCACTCAAAGTCAAAGAAATCCACAAAGAAGGATGTACACTCAATTGGAAACCACCGCTGGATAATGGAGGTTAGAAACCACTTTATCACAGAGAATTCTTTAGAATTTAAAAAAAACCAAATAATATGTATACATGGTTTCGTATCCAAGTTTAGTGCTCAGACCTTAACTGAGTTTGAAAACAACCAAATAGAAGAAATCGGTTCTCCACGAATTGTCAGTGCTTTTCAGGGACAGAGATTTTGCACTATCGAGTGGAAAAGATGGATACATCCAGGGGAACATGGCAAGAGGTTGGTCAATTTCCGGAATGCACCGCTAAAGTGAACAAACTGATCAACGGGAAGGAGTATCAGTTCCGAGTAATGGCCGTCAATTTGCAAGGAGAATCAAAGCCTCTCGAAACCACGGAGCCAATAATCGCCAAAAACGAATTCGGTTAGTCGAGTTTCACATCCAGTCCTCCAGATTCTGTTCTTTGCATACGAGTAGTACTTACTAGTTTACACCTTGCTAGATACGTTGGTTATTGGGAGGCATCTTGTTCACATGCGACAATCAGACAAAGCTTTGCTTTAGATCTGAAACCTAAGAAGTGGTTTTTGATGTTCTACAGTCGCTGTTAAGGATAAAAGGTTAAAGCTCTCGGCGTTGATCAATCCCTGAAGGATGCACCATGCATTCGACTTCATTAAGCATCGTTGGAGATGATTAAATGCATATCTGCCCTTTACAATGACTCGCGGTGGCCTACCGATGTATCGAGCCAGTGTTGCTATCCTCAAAGACAAGTCTGGTACCAATTTACCGACCCCGGTTGGACGGAAGGTTTGGCGAGCCATGAGCGCGGGGATCGATCCCATGTGTGCATCTCAAGGCGCCTCCGACCATTGCGCCACACACGCCCTGCAGTGGCTATTAGTTAAAGAAAAAAAATTTTAAGAAGAGAATTAGGTACATGACAGTGTAATCGTCCATGAAATTTCTGGTTTTGCAATACTTATTGCCACAATTTGGGTAGAAAAAATGGTTTGTGGCAGAAGTCTAGACCGATAGCGTTGTGATATATTTTATAGCAATTAGAAGCCGTTTAGATGAAAACTTTGTGAACACACTCTTGCGGTTGTTGTGTTGCAGACGTACCGGACGCTGTAGAAAAACCTGTTGTCGTTGACTGGGACAAGGATCGCATCGACATCCAATGGAAACCACCAGCGAACAACGGTGGAAGTCCAGTGAAAACGTACATCGTAGAGAAGAAGGAAAAGGGCAGCGCGTTCTGGAGCGAAGCCGGGAAGACGTCCGGCACGACGTTTTCGGCAAATCAGCTGAAGCCGGGAGTCGAATACGAGTTCCGTGTGATCGCCGTCAACGAAGCTGGTCCATCTGAGCCATCAGAGCCGACCGATCCTCAGATGGCAAAGGCGAGATATCGTGAGTTTACAGATCTTTTCAACAGTACCTGTCTTCCAATGAGTGAGTGATCGCAAGAAACAGTATGAATAGAGGAAGTACTTTCTGCCGAATGTTTGAAATAGATAATTCTTTAAAAATGAAAGATAAAAGAATGAAAATCTCAGATCAAACGGCTGCAAACTTGCTTTATATAAATCCGAAGTCATTTTTTCTATGATAACCTCGAAGGTTAAACTTAACTAAGTGACATTAATCAGAGGGATTGTTTTTGGGCACTGATTTAAATTATTAATACACGCTATTTTCAGTGAAACCTAGAATCTTGACCCAGAATCGCAAGATAAAGATCAAGGCCGGATACACTCATACCATGGAGGTGGAGTTTGATGGATCACCAGATCCGACTGTTAATTGGTCCTTTAAAGAAGGCCAAGCACTTCCGTCTGAGTTGTTAGTAGAGTATTCCAAACCTGGCTCTACTTCAATTTTCTTCCCTAGTGCTAAGAGAGCCGACAGTGGCCCATTCACGCTTAAGATCAAAAACGAAATTGGAGAAGATGAAGGCGTATTCGAAGTGATCGTGCAAGGTGAGCTGGCTACCTATGAGATTTTCTCTGGGACTGTTCACTGTTATTGGCTTAGATGTCTACGAAATTGATCTATTTTATCCTATCCACCATTACTGACGTATAAAAATGGGCCTCTAGCGTTTACTTCTGCAGTACTTTCTTTTTCTCAGCACTGTGTAATTTAACTATTTAATGATAAATGTGCACAACACTTCGATTTTTAGCCAATATGGGTCATCTTTGGATTTTAGATCGACCTGGAGCTCCTGAAGGACCATTAGAAGTATCAGATGTGACGAAAGACAGCTGCGTTATTAGCTGGAATCCACCGGCGGATGACGGTGGATCAGAAATCACTAACTACGTAGTGGAGAAGCGCGATACGAAGACAAACACTTGGGTTCCAGTGTCAACATTCGCTACTGGCACCACAATGACCGTGCCCAAACTTATTGAAGGCCACGAATATGAGCTGAGGGTGATGGCTGAGAACGCATTTGGTCGCTCAGATCCCCTGTGTACATCTAATCCGGTGCTTGCTAAGGATCCTTTCGGTGTTCCAGGAAAGCCTGAAAAGGTGAGTTATTCGGACCACTGTCAGTCGAATGAACAGTCTATGATTTGCGCGCAAAAAAAAACCCTCATACCATGTTGTATTTGTCAAAATAAGCCGCTGAAGCTAAATCGGACAGAAAAGAGAAAAAATATGTAGAAAATAAGAAGGAGATTAGATCAAACGTGTTCAAGAGCTGTAGCTCCTCTATTTTATCGTTTATTTCGTGAGAATTTCTAGTGGCGAATCTCGCAAAAGAATTGGAAGAGCCAGAATAAAAAACGGAAACTAAGTCGTTTTTGAGTATAAAAGGATAAAAATGGACAAAGCTTTCGGCGTTGAGCAATCTCTGAGGGAAACGCCATGCATTCGACTTCATCAAGCGTCGTTGGAGGTGATTTGAATGCATATCTGGACCTTGCAATGACTCGCGGTGGCCCACCGATGTATCGAGCCAGTGCTGTTATTCCTCCAGACAAGTATGGAGCTAACTTGCAGACCTCGGAGTGATGGAAGGTTCGGTGGGCCGTGGGCGCGGAGACCGATCCCGTGTGTCCGTTGCAGGGCGCCTCCGATCACTGCGCCACATGCACCCCTTGTCGTTCTTCAGTAGTCACGATATTAGTGCCCCACAATGTTGATAAGTTTTTTCATAGTTTACGATCATTAGAACATAAAATCAAAATAACATAGAATCATAAACCATCCTTCTTAGCTGGTTAGATTGAATGCTACCCTGGAAGTCATTCGTTCGCGAAAGAAAAGAAATAACTTGTTGCAGCAAATTGTCTGTTGCAGCACATCCTCCGCTAGTCACTGTGGCTGCAATCTTAACTGTTCTCTACTCTACCATTTAGCCACAAATCGTCGACACGGACAACGACCACATCGACATCAAATGGGAGCCACCACGCGACAACGGCGGTTCCCCCATCCAGCACTACGATGTGGAAAGGAAGGACCTTAAGACTGGTCGGTGGATCAAGGTAATCATGTTTTCGTCTAATTTCACAATGGGCTCAAAATTTTCCATTCTTCTCGCTTTTCACGTGAAAGTACAACGTACAACTTGAGATTGCTAATGAAATAGTGGAAACTTCCCGCTAAACGTATGTAGATTCATAGATTCGTTTTTACATGACTCTTGGATTGCTAAGTGCTAGTAATAGTTTTATTTAACAACAACGGTCGTCTTCATGAGAGCTTAGAGGTAGTGTGTAAGAGCTTTGCGTTTGTGGGTCGGCAGAGAATGAAATATTTAAGCAGTATTGGCTGTAGCTGAGGGACGCGCGAAATGAAGGACTCGCATGAAGTGGTGGTGAACGTGCTAGCCTCCAGAAAGAGTAATAGCATGTTCGATCCCCACCGCAGCCACCTGCGGTTTAGAATTTTAGAAATATCTCAGCACCATTGCGGTTGTATTCCACATAATACCCTACCGTGAAAAATTGTACTATGCAGTAAATAAAAAGGTAACATTGTGATTTCGACTACAGCCTCGGACTAGCCGGATTAAATGCCGATGTGGGCTCCCCAGACCAACCCTGTTGACGGGTGATTGCTGATGGCAGAGATCGATAGAACTAGCTGAGAGACAGGCGAAACGAAGGACCCGCATGGTGTGGTGGTGAACGCTTTACTCCCTGGAAAGGACAATAGCGCGTTCGTTCCCCACCGCAGGCAGCAGCGGTCTCGAGTTTTGCAAACATCTCAGCAGCATTATGGTTATGTTTCGCATAATACTCTGCTATTAAAAAGTAGTAAGCAGTAGATAAAAATTGATGACATTAAGCAGTATTATTGTCACTTTATGTGGTTATGAATTTATATTAGTGTTATTCCAGGTAAACACTGCTCCTGTTCACGGCACTACTTTCTCAGATATACGAGTACAAAAGGACCACATGTATGAGTACCGGATAGTGGCAGTGAATAAGAGCGGACCAGGAGCACCTTCAGATCCGTCAGACGTGGCCACCGCGAAGCCCATGTTTGAAGCTCCTGGTTTCGATTTAGACATTGACGGAAAGGAGTTCCGAGTGAAAGTTGGAGAGCCACTCGATATCACAATTCCAATGCACGGTTCTCCACAACCGGAAGTGAAATGGACCAAAGAAGGTATTGACTTGCCTGGTGTCGAGACTACGGATTCGCAAACACGATTGTTCATCAAGTCTTCACGAAAAAGTGATAACGGCTCACTCAAGATCAAAGCCAGCAACGAGTGTGGAATAGCTGAGGCGAATATTAAAATCACTGTTATCGATAGGCCAGGAGCACCGGAGAATCTTAGCTACGACGACATAACCAAACATTCCTGCGTCTTGAAATGGGAACCTCCAAAAGATGATGGTGGCTCAGAGGTTATCGGTTACAAAATAGAATACCAAGAAATAGACTCGTTGCTATGGGAAAAGATCCCTGGAACAATTTCGGGAACTTATTACACTGTTCGAGGACTCCACAATGGCCGACACTATCGATTTCGTATCAGAGCAGAGAATGCAGTTGGCCTTTCGGACTATGCAACCGGATCAACAGTACTAATTAAGGATCCGTTCGATCCGCCAGGACCTCCTTCCACTCCTGAAATAACCGATTATGATTCAAATCGAGTCTCATTGATGTGGAATCCGCCAAAGTACGATGGTGGTTCACCGATTCTCGGCTATGTCGTTGAGAAATTTGAGAAAAAAGGAGGAGGTGATTGGACACCAATAAAAATGCCTCTTATTAAAGGGACCGAAGCAACTATTTCGAATCTTCACCATGGCGAGACGTATCAATTCCGAGTAAGAGCCGTTAATGCTGCTGGTGAAGGAGAAGCCAGCAACGGTTCTGAGCCAATCACCTGTAGACAATTTATTGGTGAGCGGATCTTTAGTAGTAAAATAAGTAGCGACGATGGTTGTTTTAATATCTCTTTCTTTTTTTTCTGAAGGGATTCATTCCTTTTCAGGGCAACAAAAAGGGCAATATCTCTTGTTGTTAATGGACTTGATACTTATGTTACATTAATAAAAACTCAGTGAGCGGATATCGCAATGCTAGTGATCTCGTTTATTACATTGACGGCTTACGCTACCCAAGCGCGGGTTCGACGATGCTCGTGGTCAATTAAATCTTTCATCCCTCCGGAGTTGGTAAATTGGTACTATAGTAGTCTGGAATAAGTTGACACCCTCTAGGCCATGTGGAAACGCCGCAGCTCGGTTATCTCGTGTTTCAAGAGATCATCGACTCGACCAACATTGAACGACATTCGTGAAGAAGGCGAAAAAACTCCTCAAGCAGCACCCGAACCAAAACGCAAAATACTTTGACGACGTTCGTGCATAGTGAATGCGAGCAAAGAAATATAATTTAAGAAATTTTAAGATTTACAAGGTGTGACGCATGTGATATGAGATCACATGTCACACGTCGTCCCTTGATTGTTGATTGACCTGAGCGGGTGCCCATAAAGCACAAAGTATCCATTTCTCTTTGTCGGGTGTACAAGTGTTCCAATGAGTTGAGCTCGCCCTAGTGACTCGTTGAGCATCATATCTTCGTGGGAAACGGTTTCCGTGAGGAATTACGATCGTCGGGTCAATGATCTTTCTACTGTGTATTTGACATCCCAAGGAATCCAGTCGCTAACGATCTTGTCCATCTGTTACCGTCCATGGGCGTCATCTGTCCGACGTATGGTATCCTCGAAAACTTGGTGAATAGAGCACGATCGTCGATTTTTGATCGTTGACGCAGTTCGGAACGTCGAATCCACTCTTTCACTTTCGTGATACGAAATACTCCTATCACCCACCGTTTTTCTTCAGTCTGAGTAATCTTTCTTCTTGCCTCAGCAGATGCTTACGCAGCGGCCCCGTTTCTGACGTATACGTAAAGGCAGGAAGAATCGTGGAGTCGAAAGGGTGAACACGGAGTCAGGTGTTCTCATTCTTTTCACTACATTCTCGATACTCTTGAAAGCTCTTCAAACCGCTCGCTTTCTCCTGCTCAACTTTGGAGCTAGATCGTTTATCATGTTGTATTCCCCACCTAGGTAGATGTAGCTGGTCCATTCGGAGATATTCGTTCTGTTGAGCGTAAGTACGGCATACGTATCCGGTGTTCACGAACATCGTTTGTATAAGATTCCAACCGCTATCAAAGTCGGCTAGCAGTCATTCTTTCTGGGTAATCTTTGGTGTTATAAGAACGATACCATCAGCAAAGCGAAGATGGTGTAATTGTCACCATCGATTTTCACTCCCATGTTGTCCCATTCCAATGTTTGCATGCCGTTCTGGAGGGTGTTAAGCAAATAATTTTGGCCAGATCGTATTCGCCTTTCCTAACCCCTTTTTTACTTCGATGTTAATATCGTTGTCGAATCATGATATTTTTGCTGTAAAAGTTCTATATAGCTCGCGAAGAAAATTTTTGTACTGAGTAGGGACGCTCTGGCTGTCGAGGACTTCTAAGATTGCTTCTATTTCAACTGAGACCTTAAGTTTTTCTTAAAGTGTTGAAGGTAAAACAGAGCCGTCTCTTATACTCCCATGATACTTCTATGAGTCTTGTTGTCGTGTTTATGTGGTCTGTAGTACTAAATCCTTTTACAAACTCTGCTTACTCACACGGCTGTCGTTCGTGCAATGTTTTGCTGTCAGTACTGTTCAGGGTTACTCATGTGACGAGTTCGTAGACGACAGGCAACAAGGAGATTGGGCGATAGTTGTCGATATCGTTCTGGTTACGCAGATTGAACAATAGCAGTCTTTGCTGGCCTTCCATTGAGTGGGAAGCCTTCGTTTTGACAGAAAACGTGAGAAGAGTCGATTTAGTGTGTTGATGAGGATTAGTCGAAGGTTCTTAATGTGTTTAGGACTTATCCTGTCTGGTGCAAGCGTTTTTCGATTTCTCTTTTCCGAAATAGCATGTCGCATAGAGAACCCTTCGGACGACATATGCTTCCTTTTTTTTCCTGCGAGCGAAAAAAAAACATGGCTGCTGTAGAGTAATCGTGAATGATTTTCTCGATCGCCCCTTTCGTTTGGTCATAGGAATGCAATTACCTTGATCTTCTAATTGGGGAAGTTGCAGTGGGCGTTGGCAATGCCGTTTCCAGCCTTTGCAGCTCCGACCATAACTACTGCTCTTTTCTCTTTAAGGTCCTCTTTTGTAGCACTTCAGCATTGTTTTGCCAGTTCGGTCGCGAGTTGACGATTGCTTGCGACACGTACTCTTCCAATTTGGCGTATCAACTGGCGCGTTTCCGGAGACAGACGTCTCTTGTTAACTTTCGGACTCTCAGTTTCATAGCTCCAACGTGAAGATGTTGAATAAACTGGTCGTATTCCTGATGGGCGCCATTAGTAACGGCATCATACAAAGAGCTGTGAACGTAGCTGCTAGGTATAGTCACGGGTAGCTTGCCGGTCTCTCCCTGAGTACACGGAAATCTTATTTGTCGGAACCGACTCCTAACCGTCTCCCACGCACTTCCCAATCGCTTGATTGCATTCTGTTGGACGAATTGACTAATAGAATACAATCCGCATTAACTAGAACACACCCGCGAACGCATACATGAATGTAAACGAAGAAGCTACGCACCATATCGGCGCAGTGAAAAAATGAGTCCATACGCTAGACCACCTTTGTCTCAAGGAAGCATAAGGTCGCCTTTGGTCCGCGAATAGCACCCTATCCGTCACCTGGATGCGCCACGTTTGCTCTTGACTAAACCGCAGGATCCTTCCTTTAAGGAGTGAACTAGCAGTATAAGCAGGGCAAAAAATCCTTTTTTTGTAGACAAAATGCTTAAGATTAATTGAAGAATCCGTTTGGTTTCTTCAGCCTCGAGCGATGCAGGACTTCTTTCGCGCCGATTTCTTGTCCTTCTAGACCCACAAAAAAAATCCAAGAAAGTTTAAACTAAAGCATAGAGTAATACTAAAGGGCTATGATTGGAGGAAAGTGAGGAAATGATTGTGGCTTATAATCGATTTCAGCGCCTCCTGGTGCGCCTGATCAGCCAAGAATTGGAAGCGTTACGAAAAATTCAGCTGAAGTCATCTGGAGTCGGCCGATAAGAGATGGAGGGGCTCCGATTGATGGCTACTTCGTTGAGAAGAAGAAGATTGGTGATCCGGAATGGAGCAGAGTAAATGGAACACCGATAAAGGTGAAAGATTGGCTAGGTTTTCATCTTATTTTGCGAACAAGGCAGAGTGGGCCTGTTCAAGAGTAAAGAGATTGCCTCATATAATTGATCAAGTGATTTTGGCAGTTCTTCAGGATGTTGCGTACAGTTTTGAAATTGTTGGATCGATTCTTCCGTTGGAATACTTCGAGATCTTTCTCATAAAAAGCTCCAAATTCAATAATAAATTTAGCGTTCATTCCTATACAAGAAAAATTTTATCTTTCATTTTCAGGCAACAGCTCTAGTGGTGGCTGGCCTTGGTGAGAAAGAGGAGTATGAGTTCCGAGTAATTGCCGTCAATTCTGCTGGAGAGGGAGAACCGTCGAAGCCATCAGAGCTCGTGGTGATCCAAGAACAACCAGGAAGACCTGTTTTTGACCTCTCTAATCTCAAGGATATTACGGTTAGAGCCGGTGAGACAATTCAGATCAAGATTCCCTACACTGGTGGAAATCCGAAGCCAATGGTTGATCTGTTCAACAGTACTACACCGTTATTCGAGAACGACCGCACGGTAATTGATGTGAATCCAGATTCGATTATGATAACAACAACAGATTCAAAGCGAAGTGATGCTGGTCCATATAAAATCGTGATCTCCAACAGATTTGGCAAGGACACCGCTAAGCTGAATGTGAATGTATTGGACGTTCCTGGAAAGCCGACCGGACCAATACGCGCTACGGATATTCAGAGTGACGCCATGACCTTGCACTGGCTACCACCAAAGGACAACGGTGGCGATGATGTAACCAATTATGTTGTCGAAAAGAGAACACCTGGAGGTGAATGGGTTACCGTCGGTCACCCTGTGAGCACTTCACTTCGTGTCAGAAACCTGGACAAAAACCAGCCATACGAGTTCCGCGTATCTGCCGAGAATCAGTATGGTGTGGGACAACCACTCGAGACCGAAGATGTCATCGTCGCCAAAGACCCTTACAGTGAGTTTTTGAGTGCTGCTTCCAATAATCCGCATAAACTTTTTCTTTGGTCGCCACAAGTTGTGTGAAATGAATGAAGTCACAAGTTCCGAGGTTTCTGTGCAGAATAGTTTGAATCAAGCAAAACGAGAGCGTTATTCTAAGTACAAATCGTTGAGAATTTAAGCATTTCTAAAGATTCATTGTGCTGAGTTCTTACTGTAGGGGAACGCCGAATTACTCCAGCTTGTATTATATAAAACATTTAGTAAACTTGCTCTATCTATATTATAACTACTCGAGTTTTTATGGAAATGAAAATGAAAACCCTTGCGAAAGACAATGCACTGTTGCTTCCTTTCCACAGATACACCTAGCGCACCTGGTCAACCAGAGGCTATTGAGACCTCCGAGGAAGCTATAGTGCTTCAATGGACGCGACCACTCAGCGACGGTGGAGCCCCTATCCAGGGCTACGTGATTGAAAAGCGTGAGGTCGGCACCAAGGAATGGACTAAAGCAGCATTTGGACTAATCCCAGAGACTAAACACAGAGTAAGTCATTAATGGTCATGTAAAGGCGGCGCACTAATATGGATATCTAAAATTGGCCATCCTTAGGTAACGGGCCTCACTCCGAAGAAAGCTTACGAGTTCCGTGTCTGCGCAACAAATGCAGCCGGTAACGGAGACTGGAGCGACGCGAGCTTCCCTATCACAGCCGAGCGTGCACCATCGAGGCCTATCATCAACATGGGAATGCTTACTCGAGATGTTCTAGCCTACGCCGGTGAGACAGCCAAGGTATGTTTTCTTAAATAAACCTCTGAAATATTCTTTCTCGAATTCACTCCTACCATTCAACATCAAATGATAGCAAATCTATAGGCGGTACATTTTCCAAGCAATCTACAATATTTTTTGTATCCGCGTAAAAGAATTTAGGCTTAGTGGGCTAGTTTGAACTTAACCTCCTTCAGATATTGGTGCCGTACAGTGCATCGCCGATGCCGGAGATCACCTGGTTCAAAGGAGAGCTCAAACTGGACGAGCGCGATCATCGAAACAAGAGAGAAAGCAGCGACTACCTTGCTACGATGACCATTAACAAGTGTGAAATCGCTGACAGTGGACTCTTCACCATTACAGTAAGCAATTTTTCTACGCTCTTTTTTGGAAGGATCCACTTAATCAGGAATTCCTAGGAAGGATTACATAACTGATAACTCTTTCAGTTGGAAAACTCAATGGGGAAAGACAGTGCCACTGTGAAACTTCGTGTGGTCGACCGCCCTGAACCACCGACGGGACCTCTGGAGATAACAGATATTGCTCCTGATTGCTGCAAGCTTTCATGGAAACCACCAAAGTGCGATGGCGGATCCCCTATTACCAATTACATAGTGGAGAAGTTATGCATGAAAGGTCCCGATCCAAAATGGGAGAAAGTTTCGTCATTTGTGAGGAACTTCACCTATACTGTACCAAGTCTTGACTCCGGGCAACAGTATAAGTTCCGTGTTCGTGCTGAGAATCAATTCGGTATATCTGAGCCTCTCGAAAATCCTGACCTGATAATAGCTAAATATCAGTTCAGCGTACCATCACAGCCAGATGCCCCAACTGTCCACGATGTGGACGCGACATCTGCTCGAATCGAATGGGAGCCACCGGCGAATGGCGGGTCAAAGATCATCGGCTATCAAGCACAGTACCGAGAAGCATCTTCCTCCAAATGGATTAACGCGAGCGCTGACCTCGTCAGCGACACCTCACTGCAGGTCAACAACCTCCGAAACGGTGGTGAATATGAGTTCCGCGTCTCAGCTAAGAATGCTGCTGGATTTTCCAAGCCGTCATTACCATCGGAAAGAGTTAAACTCCGACCAAAGTTCGGACCACCAGGACCTCCCGGTCAAGCCAATGCGGTTTCAATTGGACGAAACCATGTGACACTAACCTGGGTTCCACCACTTGACGATGGCGGCTCACCGATTACTGGTTATATTGTCGAACAACGAGAGTATGGTAACACACTATGGACGAAGGTTAGTGACTACAATATTCGCGACCCCGAATTTACCGTACCTGGTCTGAAGGAGTTTCATGACTATGAGTTCCGCATTATTGCTACAAATGTGTCTGGAAAAGGACCGCCATCGTTACCAACCTCTCCAATTAAAATTCAAGATTTGAATGGTTCACGACCGACCATTGTCGTGAAACCGGAAGACACTGCCCAGCCGTACAACAGAAGAGCAGTATTCGTTTGTGAAGCTGTTGGAAGACCTGAGCCGGTCTGCCGATGGATGAGAAATGGTCGCGAACTTCCAGAAAGCAGTCGATACAGGTTCGAAGCGTATGACGGAACGTTTAAATTCACTATCAAAGAAGTTTGGGATATCGACGCTGGCGAATACACCTGCGAAGTGTCGAACGTTTACGGCAGCGATTCAGCCACGGCTAAACTAACAGTACAAGGTAAAATTTGTAGCGTTATAAATCGGCAATGAGTAAGAAATTTACGGAAAACTGAATAACTTTAAAATAATAGTGTGTAGAAAGAAACAAGATCTAAATTTTTTTAAAATTTATTTTATTTGACCCGTCTTCACGTCTACCATGCGGATCCCAGTACTTCTCACATTCGATTCGTTTCCTCGTATCCGTTGTCCGCGAAGATTTTCCAACTTTTCGTGTGGTATCGGTTGCTGTTTGACTGTTTTCATTTCATCTTGAATGTCGTAGAATGCTGATCGAGCAATTCTCTTTGGAGTCATGAGATAGCCGGGTTGAAGCGTTACCAATTGGATTGCAGAGAGCGGTTTTTTTTCCAGACAATTCAGATACCAATTTCCCGGCCCTGCTGGGATGAGAGGCTTGGTTGGGCAGGAGTGGAATCGAACTAGCACCATGCTCGCGGTGACGGGCATTTTTGCCACAATGCTATCCACCCCTGATTTAAATTATCACTGCTTTTATTTCATAATTTTTTAACCTTTTTTATGCAACCCAATTTCACATACTGCGTAGATCCTAGCACTTCGTTCTCTCGATTCTTTGTCTAGCACTCCTCATCTGCAATAGTGTTATGGTTTTTACGCGTTGTTTCGGCTTTCACTCAAAGAGTTTTCTTCTTAATGAACGCCGTTGAATACTCGACAAACTCATCATCGCTGGAATCTTGAGATAGCCATGCTAAAGAATTACAAGGCCTTCACAACAAGCAGTTGGCAACCTTTAATAGTTGGGATGCGCTTTTCCCAAACAAGTCTGGTTCGTCGATTTCGGAAGAGCTTGCAGCTTGATTGGCACTGGGTATGGTCGAACTAATAACCATCCTTGTATTTATAGCACAGCATCTTCAGTTTCGGCACCAATCGATTCTTTTTGTTCTTTGAAAATCGTTATGATTGCAATATTCTCCTTATTTAACACGACCCGTCTTCATATCTGCTGTGCGAATCTCATCACTCCATACATTCGATTCGTTTCCTCACATCCCCATCCATGGAGGTCATTGAACATTCTGCATTTGGGTTCGGCTGGTGCTTGAAGAGTTTCGCCTTCATTATGAATGTCGTTGGGTGCTGTCGACTCTGCTCTCCTGTAGTCCTGAGATAGCAGATATGGGGTGTTCCCCGTGGACTGCAGGTGAACTGTTCCAAAACAAATCTGATAGCAACTCCATGACCTCAAAAGGTGAGAGGTTTGATGATCTCGGTTGGTTGCAATATAGCAACAGAAAAACCACTACCGCATTTAGTGATATTAATGAAGTTCGGTCCATAAAAATTTTAGGATATTTGAATATTCTACTCCTTTTTTCTGGAGCAAATATATCCTTTGCAACTACTGGAGCAAACCAATGGTCATAATTCTTTTCGCTAAGGAATGCTTTAGCAATAATATAGTGCAAAATTTATGGACGTTTTGAATGGAAATTTCAGAACGCTAGCTCGGATCAAACAAAATTTGATTAACGAAGAGGGACCGTTAGAATCCACACGCCTTCCAATTGAAATACAACTCTACCTATTTACGCAGACGGCCGAGAAAGTTGAACTTCTAGGAGAATTGTGCAACGTTGCTGAAGATTTTCTTATCAAGTAGTTGTCGAGATGCTTGGAAAGAGTAATGTTTAGCTAGCATAAGTTCGATTAGTACAACGCTAGCAGGGTTTCGTAATCCTACTCTGACTGTTGCAGCTGTGCTTGAGCAATATGTGCCCGAACGCTTTTTGCAGGAGGAGGCTTTTTCTTTTGGCGATTTGTGAATGCACATACTGTAGTCTTTGTAAAATTTCGTCGATTTCGTGACACTTCTCTGCTGTGATGACTTCAGCAATATTAAAGACTTTGTATTACATGATTTGATCTGCCGCGGACGAAAAAGTCAGTCATTTTTTCATGCAAACTAGACTTTGAAAAATGCTTACAAGCTCACCTTTGGTCCAACCTTTTTGTTTATTTAGTATTTTGTAGTGTTGACGCTATACTTTGCAGTACCATAATTCGTTTGTGTTATACAAACGAAGCGAATAGTGCTCTCCTCAACAGCAATCCCTCTGCTCTTCATTCAATCCATGCCGCTGCATTCGTCAACCTTCACTTTTCCAGTTTCTTCCAAATAACGAAGGATTATTAGATTGCCAGTGTTGAGTTTTCGGAACCTGCTGAGTAGCTTTTGAAGGATCAGCTTCGATTACCGTCCTCAGACGGTTCTTCTCAATCATTCATGCGCTCACTCCACGTCTCCTTTGTGAAGTCTTATATCACTGGTACGAAACCTTCCGAAACATCTCCTTAGTTAGCGTTGGGAAGCTCTTAGCTGGCTGATGTTTCGATGGCATTTCGAGTTTGTGCCGTTTTTGAAAGTAAAACGGTTTTCATTTTTTGAGAGCGTCATTCCAAGCGTCCAGTTTAGAATCGTTTTGAAAAAAGTATCGGAAAAAGTATCGTACGAGAAATGAAAAAACTTTAAAATAATATGCATCAACAGTGCATGTATGAAATATTTGTTTCAAATTCGCTTGTAGACATCATTTTATACGTAATTTATTTACACTTGCTTACTTACTTGGATGGCTCGTGTTCACTGATTGTGCGGACCTCAGCATAACCATTTTCCTGACATTTGCTGAATTTAACAATTGTGATTCTCTGAAATCCCGAGGTCAGCCCGGCCAAAGTCTGCCCCCAGATCGTCACCACCACACGCAGCCGCTGCAATTATGGATCGGACGGACCGTGCGACTAGTTTTACACTAGGACGGTGGTTGATCCTGGTACTGGTTACTCTTAACTGGACTTCCTGATGTAAACGCCAGACTCCTTCTCAGCTTGGAAGACCCTGCCGGAGGATGAATCCCCACGCTGTACATCGCAGCCCCACACCCAGGAACACCTCCCAGCCACAATGAGGCGGTAAACCATTGGGAGAATAAGTTATTTTTGAATTTCATAATGTCGAAAACAGCGATTATTTTCGCTGACCTCGTACTTGACTTACAATGCTTCTCCATTTGGGCAAAAGAAAAAGAAGTTCATGGAAAAATGTCAATTTTGCCTGAAAAAGGTATACTGGTGTTTTATTTGCTTAGTAGATAATTTGTTTCCTGAATTTAAAATGTCGTAGAGACCCGAAATTGTACAAATAACCATGCTAATATTTGCTACTTCAGCTCCTCCAGTAATCGAGAAAGATGTGCCGAACACAATTCTACCCATGGGTGAAATGGTACGCCTGAAAATCTACTTCTCCGGGACGCCACCGTTTACACACTGCTTGACGCTGAACAAGGAGGAGATCAACGAAGACCATCCCACAATTCGAACTGTGGACTTTGACGATCACATACTAATTACCATATCATCGTTATCACCTCGTGAAGCTGGTCGTTTTGAGTACACAATAAGAAACGACAGCGGAGAGGCGTCCACCGGATTCTGGCTGAACGTCACTGGTTTGCCGTCTGCACCACAAGGACCACTGCACTTTAGCAATATCGGCCCTAATCAGGTGGCTCTAGCATGGCGGCCACCGGTGGACGATGGTGGTTCAAAAATCACCCACTACGTCATTGAGAAGAAGGATGCTGTTAAAGACGACTGGGTCGTTGTAGCCTCGAATGTGCATGATCTGTCTTTCGATGTACAGGGATTGTTCGAGAATCACGAATACGAGTTCCGCGTAAGCGCTGCAAATGAGAATGGTCAAGGAGCGCCTTTAGTTGGAGAAAACCCTATAATCACACGACTTCCATTCGATCCACCTGGTCCTCCAACTGATCTCGAAATAACCGAAAATGGAGATGATTTCCTCACATTGAGTTGGCATCGACCGATGTCAGATGGTGGAGGCCGTCTACGAGGATACTATATCGAGAAATGCGAAGATGATGAAGACACATGGGTGCGTTGCAATCAGAATCCATCGCCGCAGAACACATTCACCATCCCGCACCTCATCGATGGACGAAGGTACAAGTTCCGTGTTATCTCCACTAATGACGCTGGTTTGTCGCCACCTGCAGAAATGTAAGTTGCATCAGAGTTGGAAAAATATTTTGTCACCTTATACGCTCATCTATTATAACATCTTACTAGTGAAGTTTTTTTTCAAATGTCATAATTTCAGGGAGAAGATGGAGTTCCGCTCCACCAGTAACGGTACTCCGCCTGAGATCATCACACCACTTAGAGACCAAACAAGCGAATTGGGACGTAGTGCAACATTCGAATGTGAAATCACAGGCACGCCAAGACCAGAATACAGTTGGTTTAAAGGTGTAAAGGAACTCGCCGATACCTCTCGGTTCACCATATTTAGTAAGGGTGACGTGCAAGTGTTGATGGTAAATCATGTCAACCCTGACGATGCCGATGAGTATACCTGTCGAGCCGTGAATAAATTCGGTTCAAAAAGCACTCGTGCGCAACTGCAGATAATGTCGAAACCAAAAGTCTTCTTGCCTCCTCGCTATCATGGTGGACTGGAGGTGGAAAAAAACGAGAAGATACAGCTGAAGATACCATACAAAGCGTTCCCTCAGGCTCAGTCTCGATGGATGAAAGGCGATGAAAAAATTGAAAACGGTGGACGATACAACATTACTACTGATGATAAGTTCGCAACCTTGGAGATTGCTGACGCTACCAGAGATGACTATGGTCAATACCGAGTAATCGTGGAGAATTCTGTGGGGCAAGACTCAGCAACGGTAGCCGTCACTGTGGCCGATTGTCCAGAATCGCCTCGTTTTCCTATTGTGGAGAACGTTCTCGATGAAGCAGTTATTCTTTCATGGAAGCCACCGAATCTCGATGGTGGATCCTTGGTCACCCAATACATTGTGGAAAAAAGAGACGTGAACGGTGGAACATGGGAACCTTGTGCGAGTACTCGTTTCACATATCTCACTGTTGAAGGTTGTCGTCCAAAAACCAATTATGAGTTCCGAATCATTGCAAAAAATAAACATGGAGCTTCACAGCCTTGTGAGCCCACTGCTCCCGTACTTATCCCTGGAAGTGAACGAACTCGGCGAAAAGGCTATGATGTTGACGATACCGGTAAGATTATCCATGGTAAAGGTCCGGCTCTGTCCAACTACGATGCCTTTGTGATCGACGTCTGGAAGCAGTACTATCCGCAACCGGTGGAAATCAAGCACAATTCAGTGCTTGACAACTATGATATACACGAAGAAATTGGAACGTGAGTTAATTTGTAATCATTTGAACTCTCCACTTTTATTCTCCCTAATCATACCATTTTAAATAAATTTTTCGGATTGTTCAGCTTACTCAAGGTTGATATATTTATTTATGTGATCTTATAAACTGATCTTCTTAAGCTGACGCGAGGTTGGTACAGATCTTCGTTGTCGTTGTCGTTGTTTTTGATGTTATTGATCGATGGCTGACGTTTCGGCGACTTCGCCTTCCTCACAGCCTCAAACTTGGGCAATCTATCAACTATCTATGCCGAGGTTTATAGGAAGCCGGTCTTTCGAGTTGCTCAAGGTTGTTATACAACTTTTATTCGGCTAACGTTTCGCCGTCTTCGTCTTCCTCGGAACCAATGATCCGAGTCGATGGTCCACAGTTGTTGGCGTTCTTGATGTGACGTCTATCGTCATCGAATCGAGTTACATCTTATTCAGTGAAGCACCTTTCAAATAAGGCAACCTCATCCGGCAGCATTACATTTATGTAGGACGGTTGTCGAGTGATTTTCGACTGATAACGACTTCTTTTCATGTCGACAGTCTATCCTGCAAGTCTATGTCAGAACAGGTAGCACACAGCATAATGCTATTGCCTCATCGTGGACCACTGTGGACCATCGAATCGAATCATTATCTCTGAGGAAGACGAAAACGTCAGAATGTCAGCCGAATAAAAGTTGTACAACATCGTCGTGTAAGCTGAACAATCCAAAAAAACTTGTTGATTATCCAAGCCGAGGTTACGTGAAAGTCTGTTTAGTACAATACACGCTGTTTTCTATTGGTTGCTGTTTATATGAATTTTTTAAAATTGATTAATAGTCACTTATGTTTAACGTTTTGTTTTCTGCCTTCTATAATTTTCATGGCAGGTTACTAAGCGAAATACAACCACAACGTTGCTGAGATATTTGCAAAACTCTGGACCGCAGGTGTCTATGGTGGGGAATGAACGTTCCCCACCATAGACACCTGCGGTCCAGAGTTTTGCAAATATCTCAGTAATAGTCACTTAATTGTAAATAGTTGCCTTGGAAATCCCCTATCCATGTCCTCTAGAAAAATGTTTGAGTTCTTCTTGGCGCCTAGAAGCACAGCCTTCTGACCTCACACAGATGGTGACTTGAAATTCATGGCAACGAGCCTTTGAAGTGGTTCACAGTACTTCAAGCCGTCCGCTCTCCAATAGTCCAAATTAATATTGTCTGGTGTTCTGAAAACTTTACACCTAAAAAAGTGTCGATGCGCGTTAAACCGTCACTTGTTGATTCCTCTGAAAAAGACAGTAGTAGGATATTTCTTTGATAAAGTAAATAGCAGTAACAATTATAACTCTGAAACCGACCGTCATTTAACCTCGGTATTAACTAGATAGTATAGAGCAGTAGTAGTACACCATCGACTCGGATCGTCTGCTCTGATAAATATGAAGACGTCGAAACGTCAGCCGAATAAAACCATTCTATCAACCTCTTGTAAGCTCAACAATTTGAACAATTATAACCGTTATAACTAACTATAACCAACCATACAACTATTCGTATTAAATATGAATGATATTTTTATAAAAATATTGTTATGCTAACAATAATAACAATTTATAATCGAGAAATTTTCACAACAATAATTGTAGTAGAAATCACAAGTAGCAGTAATTATCAACTAATAAGACACCAGTAGTAGTAATATTGCCAACAAAAGGCATGCGTAGTTACTCTGTGTGATAAGAACGCAGAACATTCCTCGTTGAAAATTTCACTTTTCCCACCGCCGAACTGAGTCATACATGAGTCACTTTCTTTCTGGTCATTTACTTTGCCGCAAATGGCTCTTTTGCTGCACTTTTTGTAATAATTCGCTAGCTTATTCAGCACAAATGGAGTAGCCTTGGAAAGGGAAAGCTCTATTACTAGACAGAAAATCTCTTTCGAACAGGTTCATTGACAGTCAAAGACTCGTAATTGAGTGCTACATCAATCCTAACCGCTATAATGAATTACAATTCTCGTAAAAAATTGTTGAGTATAAGCAATACAGAAGTAGACTCAGCACTAGCTGAAAAACACTTGAAAATGCTAGTGGCAATATGGTTTGCAAGATTGACCGTACTAATGTAACATATAGTAAATAGTGGCATACATACCACACTCTTCCTACATATATGGGATCGATCTCGTTTCCAGGCTCACAAAGCCTTCCATCCCTCTACGGTCGCTAAATTGGTACCAGACTTGTCTGAGAAGATATCAGCATTGGTTCGGTACATCGTTAGGCCACCGCGAGTCATTTTAAAGGCCAAATATGCATTCAATCACCTCGAAACGTTGCTTAATGAAATCTAATGCATGGCGCATTCCCCAGGGATTGATCAACGCCAGAAGCTTTATCCTGTTCTTGTATACCATACCTACCCTAGGTCGATAGAATAAAGTTTATTCTGTAATTATATAGTACTCTTATCTGCTCAAATTCATTATCGAGAAATCACCGTCTGTTGCTTAGAAACCAACAAGGTCGTAACCGACTTGGTCTCCGCCGTACAAAATTAAGCGTTGGCGTCGTTTAACTGCTAATAAATGTGCTATATGAGTTTTTTTTGTTTTCTCTCCACAGAATCAAGAGCACAGTGCATTCAGCGGCGCTTTCGGTGTTGTACATCGTTGCACAGAACTGGCAACCGGGAACACGTTCGCAGCGAAATTCGTGAACACGCCGCATGAGGCGGACAAGGAGACCGTGCGCAAGGAGATCAGCACCATGTCCACGCTGCGCCACCCGACGCTCATCAACCTGCACGACGCGTATGAAGACGATAAAGAGATGGTCATGATCTACGAATTGTGAGTACTACTCGGTAAAACTCCGGACTAGAACAAATAGCTCAAGTAACCATTTTCCAGCATGTCTGGAGGTGAACTACTCGAAAAAATTGCTGATGACTCGAATCGAATGACCGAAGCTGAAGCGATTGATTATATCCGACAAGTGTGCAAAGCACTTTGTCATATGCACGAGATGAATTACGTACATCTTGACCTGAAGCCGGAGAATATCATGTTCACGACCAAGAAGAGCAATCAGTTGAAGTTGATTGACTTTGGCCTCACCTCTTACCTCAATCCAAAGGAAAGTGTCAAGGTGATTTGCCGTTCATTTTTTTCATTGCAGTTTTCTTAGTGAGAATACGAGGAAAACAGTGAAAATGAATTACAATCATAAGGATGCTAAGACATGAGCAAAACTCGGAACGTTAGTTGGGCTTCGAGTACCAGATTATCCTTACCGGAGGTCACGTGCTATCCACCACACCAATTGAGACCTTGCCCTGCCATCCTCTCAACTAAGTACTCACTTGGTTTTATCAGCAATCAGATAAAAGTTAAAACATTGTGACTTCGTCTGAAGCGTCATCATAATTATTTCAGAGCCAATTTATGCTCCCCAGATCAATTCCTTCGACGTGTGATCGCTAAAAGTATTGATAAAGTGGGAAAACTGACTAAAAGACATACAAAACAAGTGCCTCGGTTGGTGTGGTGGATAGAACGTGAGGCTAATCGCGAGGGGTTCGAAACCAACCTGAGGTTCCGAGTTTTCGAATTTTGTTCGTATCCCAGCATCCTCGTTATTGTACTTCACATCATACTCTGCCGTGAGAAGAGAATAGGCAACAAGTTAAAAGTTAGAACATCATGAAACAGTTTAACATTTTTTATTCCTTTCACGAAAATGTATTCACTGCGTTGTAGTAGAAGAACAATGCCCGTCCCGTTCTCATTCAAGGACTCGTATCCTGAATAACTTTGTATTAGTATATGTTTGACTAACCTCGATTACGTGCAATACGTCAGGCAATTCTTCTTCGTTATTCCAGGTGACGACGGGCACCGCTGAATTTGCAGCACCCGAAGTAGCGAAGGGTGAACCAGTTGGCTACTACACGGACATGTGGAGCGTTGGAGTGCTGGCGTATATCCTACTCTCAGGACTCTCTCCATTCGGCGGCGAGAATGACGACGAGACGTTGAGGAACGTGAAAAATTGCGACTGGAACATGGATGACCCCATGTTCAGTAAAGTTTCTGACAATGCCAAAGACTTCATTCGCAAACTGCTAATCGCCGAACCAGAGTAAGTCAACGTGATGCTGACTGAAACAGCCTTTCTGCATCGATAACTAGATCTGCATTTGCAGATCGTTGAGATAATTTAGCTTAATAGCTCACAAACTAGTGTTTTACGTCATTAAAGGGATTTTATTGATTTCTCATAGTTGTGCTCCGATTAGCTTCTGCTCTAACTTTTCCTTAAAGACCTGCAAAAGGGCGGTGCATACAGTCCCCTTGGAATTTCCTTGAAGCGTATTTGTATTTCTGTCTACTTTAAGAATTTTCGTGGATTAATGTTATACTGTACTCAATCTCTCGTATATCGACCAGTTGAGGTTGAGAGATACTTGGCACTTGATACTTGAATGGCCCGTCCTCACTAGTTGTGTGGGCCGAAGCATAATCTCAATTTTTCAGAGATTTTCTGGTTAAGCCATTGTGGTTCCCTGGAGTCTTGAGGTCAGCCTGGCCAAAGTTTGCCCCAGGTCGGCACCACCGCGGGCAGTCGCCGACCTAGTGAATCAGAAGGAAACTTGCCACCATGCGACCAGTTTGATACCAGGGCGGTGGTAGATCCTGGTGTTGGTTTTCTTTTAGCTGTGCTTCCTGATGGAAACTCCGGACTACCCAATTTGGGAGGTTCTGCTGGGGGATTAATCCCCCGTTGTACATCGCAATCCGATACCCAGGAACACCTCCTAGCCACGATGAGGCGATAAACCGTTGGAAAGAAGCTTGAGAGAAATCCTTTGAAAAAAAGAATCTAAAAGCGTTAAAAATTGAATTAGAATTGGGTTATGACTTTCATATAAAAACGACTAGAAGATTATACAAGTATGACGAAAAATGTTAAAACAAAAAAGAAATGCTGTGTGATATAGACAGTTTATAAAGTGGAAGACATCCGATTTGACGAAAAGGTCTTACGTTTAGAAAGAGAATTACCATTCATGAAGCCCTTGCTCATCCATGGCTGTCCGGTGGGGAAGTTAGTGACGGTGACGTAATCCCGAGCAGCCGATACCATTCGATGCGCGACTCGATCAGGCAAAAATATGTACGCTTCCTCCTTAGTTTCTCGTTCTTGATGATACCGATCACTACAAAGTTGTGTTTACAGGATGCATGGCCAGAGCCGTTTCCAGCGCTGGGTCGCATTTCGAATTTCAGCTCTCTACGAAAGCACCGTCCAGCCGAATACCATATGCACGATTCGTTCTTCGAGCGTTCGGAAGCGCAGCCACGGTTCATCATTAAACCCTACAGCACTTCGGTTACCGAGGGTCAGAACGCCGAATTCTATTGTAAAGTAATTGCCTCATCTCCTCCAATTGTTACTTGGCATCATGACATGGAAGAACTAAAGCAGAGTGTAAAGTACATGAAGAAGTATAATGGGAATGACTATGTGTTGACTATTAACAGAGTGAAGATGGATGATAAAGGAGAGTACACCGTGAGAGCGAAAAATTCATACGGATCTAAAGAAGAAGTCGTTTTTCTCAACGTTACAAAGAAGAGAGAAGAGTTCACTTCCGGGCCACTCGAACCGATGCGAAAGGCACCCAGTCCTCTTATCGTTGAAGAGTTCAAGGAGAAAGAAACTATGCCGAGCTTCACCTTCCACCTACGACCACGTCACATCCAGAAAAACCATCAATGCAAATTGATATGCACTTTGCAAGGAAACCCTACACCAAAAGTCGAATGGTTCAAGGATGGAGTGCCAGTCGATCAGGATCGTGTACAAACCACATTCCGAAGTGGAGTGTGTACTTTGGAGATTTTCAACACACGGCTAGATGACGCCGGCACGTACAGCTGTACTGCTACTAATCCACTGGGAGAAGTCACTACCGAGTGTACGCTCACCGTACAGAACAAAGGCGGCGAGCCTATGCCTCGTATCACGTCGCATCGTCCACGGAGGGCGTATGACTCGCTGAAGGTGAGCAACGTTGAGAGATCGCGATCGTATGCGGATATACGGTCGGACTCATTCTCACCTAAAGACTCCATCAAAAGCTCGGATAAACGGTCAACAGTTGATGATCTTAAGCTGCAAGTACCAACGGAGCCACCAAACTTCACAGCAAAACTGAAAGACGTCGTAGTCGATCAAGGGGAGCCAATTGAATTGTCATGTGAAGTACGTTCATGTTTTGTTTGTTGCTTTATTAGTACTAATATTTTTTATTTCTTTTACAAGACCTATTCTTTTAGTTTACACTCTTTGCATCTTTTATCACTGCTTACTACTTTGATTTTATTGAATCTTTTTGTAATTTATAATATTACTATTTATATTTTTACGCCTCATTTCGTGACGTAATCTTGTTATCCTGGTCTTCGTTTGAAAAAAGGACCAGAAAGGTTCCAAAACAACTATAATCTGGATTGGAAAACCGCGAACGCTTAGAAATAAGTAAACATACAGTATAACAGGGGTGACAGGTAGCATTCACTACACTCCCACAGCTTAGGAGAATCCTCTCAGCGTGATCTTAAGCGTGGGTTATCAAACTTTTACATAAGCAAAGAAACACTAAATGCATTGCTGCGGAGGGATTGTGCATTTCTATGGCAGCAGCGAGTTTTTCTAAACGTTCCATAATTGGCGCATCCTCCACAGCAATAGCAATAATAATGATAATAATATAAATACATATGTGTGTATATATTAAAATACTTAGACACTTGGATAACCCGCGTTCACATATCATGCGGATCTCAGCACTTTCTCCATTCGTTTCGTTTCCTCACGAATGTCATACTTAGTGCGGTGTTCGGGGTCCTAGCGTCGCTGTCCCAAAATTCCAAGAAAAATCGACTTAATCATCATTCAAAGACATTCGTGACCAGAATAAAAAATCCTCAGGCGGCAGCCGAATTCACACGCAAAACATTCGAAGATTTTCGTGGATGGTGGATGAAAGGAAAATAGACGAATGCAACTGCCGGGATCTGTCCAGTATAATATGTGATGTAGGACCATGTAAAACAAAAGGGTGCAATACTATAGCGATGTCGAATAGCCCCATTTTCCGTTGACAGAAATGTGATTAATCTCAGCCTAAGGTCTATCGTTTGGCGATTTCTATGTCTAGTGGTGACTAAGTCATTTTAGGTATACTACATTCCAAGAGAATATTGTTTTTATTACGTCTTCATTCCGTACCATTCTTTAAGCGCAGGGAAACCAATTTGTTGTCACAGTCATCAGTGATATTTAGGTCGATGCGTCCTCGTCTCCGCTCGTGGAATGGTTGCACAATGGCGAACGAGTGACGAATTCACGTTTGACCACTTCGTATTCTGGTGGAAAAGCGACGTTAAGAATCTCGGAATCCGATGCCGGGGACTCTGGTGAGTACGTCTGCCGAGCCAGCAACTCGGCAGGACAGGAATCCTGTCGAGCCAATGTCACTGTGCGGATGGCCGTCATAGAGAGTAATGGGAAAGCAGAGAACGGAGAAGTGAAGGAAGCACCGAGGTAACCACACATATATTCGAATTAGTGTTATTTTAAAAAATTCATCGTGAAGGGACTGGTAAGAACTAGACGAGAAAGAAGGAAGAGAAAGTATTTAGATAATTTGCATGAGTTCATGAAGCGTGTTGCCGCTTCCTTGAAAATTTGCTTGCAAATTGTCAAATTGTTATCTGACGATAGAAGTGGGACAAATGAATCCCATACACTTATTTCAGTGTGCCTACAACATGGAATCGGTGTATTTACTATGAGCCCGTTTCTTTGGGTATCCTGAAATAAGATATCCCGAAATAAGTTTCGTCGTCGAAGTTAACAGAAATCGGGATATAAATATTCTGCAAAATATGCTCATTAACTAAAATTCGAGAATTTTGCTGGATTTCTGTGCTTGCATTTTAGAAATTTAAAAAGGCTAGGCTTTATTATTACTGATACTACATTATTAATATTTGTTAATTCCATTTAAAATTGAGTTGAACTTTGAGGTGAGACGCTCTTTCAGAATAATTCAACATCTCACTGGTCAAATCGTCGACGCTGAATCCACCGCTGTGTTTGAAGCTTGCGTCTCAGGTGAACCTGAACAGATCATATGGACGAAGAATGGAGCAAAGGTGTGCATCGCAGCCGCTTTTGCTTACTTTTTGGTTTCCGCGCGGCTCACTTGATTAATTTCATAGCAAAAGCGTTCCATGAAAATAAATCATCTAATAAATTCCCTTAAGCTAGTTCTATATATTCTATTCTCTTGAGATAGGTCAACTGGGCGCATGTAGCGCAATGTTCGGAGGCGCATTGGCACACAAATACACATGGCATCGCTTCCCACCCCATTGACCCACCAGGGCTTCCATCTCTCCGGGGCCGGTAACTTGGTACCCGACTTGTCTGTGAGGATAGCAGCACTGACTCGGTGCATCGGTAGGCCGCTGCGAGTCATTCTGAAGGCTAGATATGCATTCAATAACCTCTAAACGATGCTTAATCAAGTCGAATACATGGCACATCCTCCATGGATTGGTCAACGCCGAGAGTTTTATCCGTTTTTAAGATAAATCAACGTTTAAAGTAAAACACATTCCTTTGCATTATTGTAACAAAGGAAAGCGAGGACTCACTTCAGTAACTCGAATTCATGTGTCATTTCAACAGCTATTTGCAGATCGAGAGCAATGATCGAACTGAAATCACAAGCGATGGTAAACGACTTCGACTATCGATTAGCGGTGCTTTACCGGCCGACGCTGGACAGTACCAGTTGAAAGTCCGTTTCGACGACGCTGAACTTATCTCAGTGGCTTCACTTATAGTATCTGGTAAATGATGTTCTGTTCATTTGAGTCCTTTTTCAAGCATTCCCTTTCACTCCAGGACGTCATCAGACAAATGTTCTTCTACCTAGTGATTTCTGGATACGAACATTACCTGACGTTGTCTATCACTATGACGGGTTACTTTCGATAAATACAGAATGATCCAACGTCCTTTTAACACGGATTACCTTGTCCTCGTTATTTTATTCTTTATCTTGATAAACTTATTGGTTTTCCGATCCTCATGGCTTTAAGTCACTCGGATTTCAGCGTTAAAAGCATGTCGTTTACAATCAGATGATTTAGAACGTCCGTTTCGAAATTCTGAACAGTGCCTGAGTAGAAATATTTCAGGAAATCCCAATGAACCTCCTGTCTGTAAATTACCATCATCCATGAGTGTTCAGTCCGGCTCAGCGGCAAATTTAATCCTTGAATTGACGAACCCCAAAAGTTACACCGTGCAGTGGTTCAAAGGAAGTGAAAAAGTGGAGAAATCGGAGCGGATAAAGTCTGTCAAGTCCGGAGGTGTATTTAAGCTTGACTTCAAGGTGAGTATTTTCCTCCTGAGATGTACTTCGCCTATATATCTACGCTATTTGCAGTATTATTTGATCGATCTCTACTGATAAGTCGTTCGCAGCAAGACATCATGTGTGCATTTTCAGCAAGTGGAACCAGCCGACGAAAGCGTGTATGTGGCGAAAGTGATCAAGGACAAGAAAGCAATCGCTAAATATGCCGCTGTTCTTCTTGTAGAGTTTTGAAGTGTCTAGTTTTTATTTAGCGCACTCGACAACTATTTATACTGAGCACAGTGATATTGCTTCATGCCTCATTCTCCCTACTCTAGTCCAGTTTTCCGCAATTCTTCCGACTCGTATAGACGGGACACTATACCCTTCGGAAGTATGTAGAACCCACAGGTGAGTGAGATGTCGGGTCTGGGACATCCCGGTTTCCTCATTCATCTTATTCGAATGCTAAATTCATTCGTAAGATCGAGTGTAAAGTATGATTACGTAATCCTGTACTTTCAATACCTTCTTAGGGTTTAATTGTATTAAAATTTCATGCTAAGTACTAGTAAGAGACTTATTGTGCTTTGTATCCTTTATCTGCATAAGTTTGTTACCGTTTACGAGACGGGGAACTCCGATACCTTCTCCTGAACGCATTGCTGTCGTCGTCGTGAGGCCAGAATGTGGACGATACTTGTTTGCCATTAGCACCAAAGAACATGTGAACAAAACAATCTATTGTCTTATCTGTTTATGAATGTTTATTGTGAATAAACCTGTGAATAATGTACTAAAAATGCTTCGTACTACAAAGTTTGTTCCACATTTACCGAAGCATCGCTATCATGTCGCATAATGCAAAAAGCTCTCGGTTATTGTGCGGGCACCAGTATAATTTCCGTTCTCCGGAAATTTGCTGGTTTAGCCATTGTGGTTCTTTGGACTCCCGAGGACAACCTGGTTAAAGTCTGCCCCATGTCGTCATCACCACATCCAGTCGTAGCCCTTGTGGATCATAGGGAGATTTGCCACCACTAGTTTGTTACCAGTACGATGGTGGATCATGTTATTGGTTTACTGAGGATTCTGTAGCTAACACCATTATCAATCAGAAGTAGACAGATGGAAGAGATTGATAACACAGAGATATATTAGATCGATGGGAGAGGAATTAAGCAAACTGACGCTTGGCTCGAGAAAGATTCTCAATGGCCATTATGTATAGATTTTTACCCTAGCAGGTGAACGATCCATCCTAATGTTAAATTTCAATATCCTATTTAAATTGCTAATATTAGGACCGGCATATAATAGATGTTAAGATTCATAAGAATAATTTTTATGTGACCTTGTGGAATTCGTTTTGCACGGCGTACCATCGATCCGAGATTTCTCCATTGATTCATCACCACCTTTTCCTCACCTGATTATCGAGGATCTTCCGAGCTGAGTTGCTGCCATCGATAAGAGGTCGCGGAACTAAACAAATAAACAGATAGTTTTCCGGATAAGCAGTGAGAATGTCGAGTTCTTTTTCGACCTTGATAATGATGGTGACCAATTTTTCAGGCAGTTGAAAAGTCTAGTTTGAGCTTTGCTGGATAAGGAGCTCGTAAATAGGTTTAATGGCATGACTGCAGAAAGAAAAGACGCCTATGTGGGCGCAGAGATATGTTGATTTCAATTTGTCAGCTTGCTGGCGTAAACGTGTAACGATCATGTTCGGCCATCTTTTTGAAAGCATGCTGTAATTCCTCAAAGATCTCGGTCTCCTCTTTTCGTCGAATGATTAGGTTATCGATTTTTATGCTTTCTATACGTGTTCTGCTGAACCCTGAGGATGAGATATTCTTCAAAGATCATACGTCATTTCCCCCATACTTCAGGTTGATTTTTTGATTTGAGACAGGCGCTTTCTTCACCCATGTAAGACCCTGTACGGCTGCTCTCCACCATTAAGTGCTACACAAAAAAACGGTAAGTATCTAAAGAAGTTGTTTCCAATGGGATTGAAATTTAGCTTTGGAATCTCTTCTGTTGGTTTTATGAAAGTATGTGGCTAAGTAGACTACGTATATATCAATTTGACCTTACAGGCTTTGAAGAAGACGAAACCGCTGAAACGTCGACCAATGTTGAATAAACACCGTTTCAACGACTTCGTGTTTGTTCGAGAAAACACACATAACATTAACTCATTGATCACTGAAGAGGATAATATAAAGTCGGTCTGGCGATTTGCTACATGGAGCACCAAAATGCCATAAAATGCCCTGACTTGTCATAGAAGTTCTGTCACTAAGACAGAGGATTGTTTCAGGTAGACAAATGATATTCTTTCTCGGCCGGTACCTGAAACACCGAAAAGTGCCGAATTTCATCAAACAAAGACGACTACACAATCTATGCCGTCTACTAGAGGACAGTTACCAAGTACTGGACATCGAGATGTGAAAGGTACTCATCTCTGTTCGGTGCATGCAGAACGAGATGTTCGCTCATCTGAAGTGCGCGTCGAAGAAAAGCTGTTGTGTTCGGTATTTAGTGGATCATCTCTGGAGGAGAATAATGGGTGGCTCAGTGTCTATCTGTAGCCTCCCATCGATAGGTTGGAAAACGGACACCCTCTAGTGCTATTGAGTTCGAAAAGACATCGTATTTTAAGTAAGGTGAGCGAAATAATTTGATGTAGTCCTTTCGCACCATAGGTATCTTGCAAGAGTGGGGATTCCCGGTCTCCCCAGATTGTATAAACATCGCTTTCAGTTAAGTTATTCCGTCTAGCTGTCTGGAACGGTTCCTAGTTTTCAGTATTTGCACTCGATTTGATGCGGCTACAAAGATCCAAAAGGCGAGAGCGACCGACCGCCTGTGGACAATCAACTCAGATCAACGCAACTCTGAAGAACTTGTAGACTCGGAGACGTTGACCAATAAAATCTTTGCAACAACCTCGTGTTGGTTCAATAATTAGGAAAATATTGCTTTCCTGTTCTTCATGTCAGCTTCCTCTTTGTAACGTCCTTACTTAAAGATCACACTATCACTCAAGCACTTTATTTACTATCGCGTTTCTCTCGTTGTATCGCGATGATTATAATGATGAAGTTTGGCATAGTCACGTATCGGAAAAGACCCACGTGTAAGAACACCATATAACTTAACCCGACAAGGCATCGCTCCAATACATATTACGTCAAATGGTACAGCAGCAATACGCGTAAGATCCGAAAACCAATTAAATGAATCGCATAGTTTATCCTGAGTAGAACGTAAACGCATCGCTTGCGAAAATCTTAAGAGTCGAGCTGGGATAGACAATATGTCAGAAAGCCGAGCATTTCCATGTGAGGCATGACTAACCCTGCTGATAGAGTGCGTTCACTGTTAGCAATGGGTCTGTTTTTAATTAGTTCAACATATGCTTAGAACTGCATGTATTCCACGCTTCAAGACATACTCCATTATAGAACTCGATTAGGGACATCAAGTAACAACGAGAAATAAGCGATAGGGATATTACCACAACCTCCTCCACTTTTCCCCTTCCTGGGAGGTCCACTATACAGCAAGAACGAAAAGATAAAATGGATGAGTTGCCGCATTTCTTCAGAAAATCCTCAAATTCTTAATCATTAGGGCCAGAAAGAGTTCAGTTACTCTCTAGCGGCAGCATAAAAAGGGGTAAGCGACTTATCCGAGAGGGCTTCTTGATGGTAATTTCGGACTTTTTCAGACTTTTGCTGAATTTCTAGGGCATGAACATTGCTCATCAACGTTCGACACCAAGGAATACCTCCAGCTACGACGAATGGGTAAATTCTCAGAGACCTCCAGTATACTAAGAAAAGTGTACATTTATTCAAAAATTCGTTCACCGATAATGATATGATGGATTTGAAGAAAATTACAGTGAAAAAAAACGAGGATTATAAAAACGTATATCAGACAATAACGATTGATGTTATATCCTTGTGGTGAAATTAACAGACAATGGTTACAGAAAATTGCTAAGATATTCGATTACATCGAATTACGAATTATAGCGAATTACCATGTCGAATATAAGAAATATAGGCAATCTTATATTTAAAAAAATTATGATTGGCTTTTTTCAAATCAGAAGTGAATAGATCTAGTGTAGTCGTACTCAATAGTCGGAATAACAGCCTGAAAACAAGCTGTAAAAATGGTTACTAAGTCGCTAAGTCGCAAGCGATAACCTTCAAATATTCCCTTATAATGTGTAACTTTTTATCTATTGCGCATTATTTTTTCACGGCACGGTGTTATGTGAAATACAACCACAATGATGCTGAGATTTTTGCAAGACGTGGACACCAGACCGGATTCGAACCCGCAATCACCCTCTCAGAGAGCCCACGTATTGTCTACTGCACCATTAAGGCTGTTGCTTCGCCTATCTTTTCTCAGTAGGTTTTTAACCCTAACGATGCTAGAAGAAATCACCTGTCAACGGCAAATCTGGGAAATCACAAATCGGCAATGAACTCATCGGCACCGTTAGGGCAAAAAAAACCGGCTGAGAGATAGGCAAAGCATCGGCCTCAGTGGTGCAGTAGGTAACAAGTGAAAGTTGCGGGTTCGAATCCGCGCTGGTGTCCAGATTTTGTAAAAATCTCAGCATCATTGTGGTTGTATTTCATTATACCCCATAGTACTAGTCTAGTTTGGAAGTACACTTCTTTTGTTAGAGAGCTAAAATGTGAGCGTCAAAGCTAAATGTCTTCCTACAATACCGTGAAATTGTGCTCAAACAGAAAAAAAGGGCTTTTCCTTACCATCAGAAAAACATGGAGCGCACAAAGTTGCAACCTTAATCAAACGTCAAGTTTTGTGCACCCAATCCTGTAGGTCACCTTAATCTTTGATTTCGCCAAGTGTCGAATACATCCCTCCCAACAGTTTACCGCCTCATCGTGGCTGGGAGGTGTTGCTGGGTGTCGGACTGCGATGTACAGCAGGGGGATTCTGAGAAGGGTTCCGGCGTTTCCACCAGGAAGCCTAGCTAGGAATAAACCAATACCAGGATCAACCACCGTCCTGGTATCAAAGTCGCATGGTAGCAAATCTCTCTCTGGTGCACAAGGGCTGCGACTGCTCATGGTGGTGAAGACCTGGGCAGACTTTAGCCAGGCTGACCTTTGGATTCCAGAGAACCACAATTGCTTAACCAGCAAATCTCCGAAAAACGGTGACTATGCTGGGGCCCTTACAACCAGTGAGGACGGGCCGTTCAAGTAACAAGTAAGTAAGTTAAATACATCACTCTGTGAAGAACTCAGGGCTACAATGCAAAGAAAAAAAAGAAAAAGGAAAGATAACCTGCACAAATTTGAGAAAAATGAGAAGATATTCGTGCACGCCCAGTTCTTTACCATTATCTTCTAACTGATCCAACAGTCGCTTCATCATCTGTGATTAAGCGCAGAGAATTCGGGCCATTATTCTCGGAAATGTGAAAGAAGAAAATAGTATAAAAATGACTACTTCGGCATGGCGGCACGGGTGCACTGTAGGCATATCACAGTTAATGTGAGGATGAGCTTCGACAGTAATCGTTTTATTGGCATGATCCTATAAAAACCAACGCGATAAAGTAATATTGATAAATGGTATGGAACAAATGAAAACAAACTCACAGCTGAAAAGTCTTCATATGTCTGCTGAACAGTCAAAGGTTTACGATTTTCATCATAACCCATAAGGAATAACCTAGGTACCTAAAAAAAACTCCAAAAAATCCTACACTGTAACACTAAACAAACAAACTTCACATCTGGTGGGTATTATAAAAATTTTTGTGAGTCCATGTAGAAAATTCACTCTAAATGCACAGTTCGAGGTGCTTACGACGTTCCAGTTTTTTGTTAGTAAACGATGCCTTGTACCGTAGATTAACAACAAGTAGATCAAACAAAATGACGGCTAAACCATTACACAACACGAGGCACCGGTTCGACCACGCCCCAGGCTCACTGCGCCTCCCATCCCTCCGTGAATACGAAATTAGCACCATACTTGTCCCGGACCAGCTTACTCTCTCCATTCCACAAAGGTTAACGACTGTCTATGGTGAAGATCTAGGCACCAGCAGAGCTATTTCAGGACTCCAGGGAGAATCGACTCGACCAGCATTAAATGACATTCATAAAGAAAATGAAAAGTCCTTAAGTAATAACCTAATCCACACGCAAAGCTACAAGACTTTCATGAAATATGGATGCAACAAAACATCGTTGTAAGAGGACTTTACGTCAGTACTTTCCTTTTTTATTTTACACGTTCCGTCTTCACATTTGCTATACGGATCCCAGTACTTTTTGCTTGTGGGTTGATCAGTTGCTGCTTGAAGAGTTTCGTCTTCGTTAACAAATATCAATCAAAGAGCGTTTATAAGTGGACTACAGGAATGGGCTCGTCTTAGACAAGTCTCCTTCCCATTGCGCCAGGCTGGAAACATGGGAGGCTTGGTAAGCACGGGCGAGATTGAACCAGCACCGTGCTCGTGATTAACCACATTACTACCATGCTCTACTCACCCTTCTACCGATATAAGAAGCAAAAATAGCTCAGAATGAAAACCTCAAAAACACATCCGGGACCTGCGAAAACATAACGTTCCGCTAACGACCATAGCGAACGAAGAAGAGGTCTCATTCATCCTGCCCAAAAAGAATGATAGAAGGAATCCTCGTAACTATACCCAGTTTGCTCACAGAGTGCACCCTACAACCTCAAAAAGTACTCTATTTCGCGTGATGAGGACACCCCAGAAACCCCAACAGGTTGAACAGACAAGATTTTGATAAATATCCTTTCAAACGAACCAAATCAAAACCGCGTCTAAGATCACAGAACTCTGTCGATGACAAATTTCTAACTGAAATAAACCAATGAACCGGTAATGACTCGCTGTACCACGTGAACAACACCCGGGTGGTCCCACAAGCAACAACACGGCTTTGAAGAAGGCGAAATTGCCGGAAGATCAGCTATCGAACTACAGCAACAACAACAACTTATAGCAACCTCGCATCACCTTAACGATGGCAGTTCGTAATTATATATATATATATATATGTATATATATATATATACGCATATATCGATTATTTATGGTGTTTTACAGAAAACTGGTTTTTTGAGTTACTTACTGGTGTATCGCTACGGATAGTGAGGTTAATAAAGTGACATAAGGACATATACATTGGTGGAAACTCCTGTCAAATATTCCTTTTGCTTACGACGTTATCTTTTCGAGGCGTACCAGTGATACAGGAGTAATGCTCAACGAGTTCGACGAGCGGAGAAAAAGGATCGGACTACGTATAAACAGGACGAAGACTCAGTCCATGAAGAACTTATACTGCCAAGGCGAACGAATCGAAATGAATGGTTCTCCGAGCACAAAGGTTTTCGTACATGAATCTTGGACGTTCAGTGTACATGGAGATCAACATGAAGGAGGAATCATATAGAAGTAGAGCAGCATGAGACCAGCACCACTCATGCCTTCAGGCTCGTTAGGAATTCAAATGAGTATGTATACTTTCACATCACAGAAGTCTCGCTTCCTCAACTACTACAGCGGTTCAACAATTATCGTCAGTTGTCGAAATGACACTGGAAGGATTAAATCACTTGGCAACAGTTTTGAAAACATCCATCACTTTATCGTCCACTTTTTATAAACCGAAGCAAAGTTTCTACAGGATCAAGAATGTGTCCCACAAAAGCATTATTCGTCCTTGTTTCTATACTCGGTTTTTAGTACTGGTTAGGAAGGTCTCAAAGGCTTTATGAACTGACACCACGTGGGATAAGTGCCATTTAGCAGCCTTGTGTATGTTCATAAAGAACTGGTAACTAGGTAGCAAGACAAGCAGTAAAAGCTCTGTCGAACATTGAACTACGACTCTCGAACCTTTTTTTGGTACTTCCTCCGATGTTTTCCGTCATAACAGTTAATCAGTAAGATGATAATAGGACGAAAATTGTGAATAAAAAAAAACGGAAGAGGAAGACGTGTACATGAACCCATGCAAAATTTGAAACAAATATTTACCTGGTAATACTTGTCGTATGTAATATGTAGGTCGTATGTCCGAGGTCTTTCCACTTCAGCCAGTCCTGTTGATCTCGGAATAATATATCTGAAAATATCGATCGTCGGTCGATGTACTGTGGAAGTGTATTCTAATATTTCAAAAGGTGATAAATAACCTGTTTGGGTCGATATCTTCCAATCCACCAGATTCAACAAGGTCATCAAGATCCATAGCTGTTTCATTCTCATCATCACCTTCACCACCTGCTAGCTCCGATCCCTGAACACGAATGACACAGATAAAGGCGACAACTTCGACATCACAGCGACATAAAACATAGTAAGAGCTTTAACTCGGCAGACAAACGAAGAAGACCCACAGCAACTAGTAAATCGACACTTTTCAACTGCTCGTTCATTTCGTGGGCGAAGTAGTGAGTGTCAACCCAGCCACTATCTTCGTCACCAGCAAATCCATCTTCGGCACCGACCTCTTCCGATGATAAAATCTGCAATGAATGTAATTTCGATTCCATAATGCTAGCTAGTAGGTGACAAAGAAATGGATGTCCCTTATCCGAGGTGCGTCGAGCGAGTTCGCTTCATGGACACGTGGCACATTGTAGAGTAAGATGGGTTCAACACAGATCAAAAGCGACTCTCGGTGGAAAGGTACGTGAACAAAGGCTGGGCGTCACATACAACATATGGGCCTCAGTTGTACCTCAAAAGAGCTCGGGAAGGAACACACAGTATCAAGCTCTCCACGGTAAGACTTACACAGCTGGATACTTGGACGGCCTGTCCTCACTGGTTGTGCAGGCGCTGGCATATTCTCCATTTTTTGGAGCTTTGCTGGTTTAGCCATTGCGTTTCTCTGGAGTCTCGAGGTTACCATAGCCAAACTTTGCTCACCACCACAGGCAGTCGCAGCCCTTGTGGATCAGAGGGAGATTTGCCAAAATGCGATTGGTTTGATACCAGGACGGTGGTGGATCCTGGTATTGGTTTACTCTTAGCTGGGCTTCCTAATGGAAACGCCGGACTCCTTCTCAGCTTGGAGGACTGCCGGGGGATCAATCCCCCGCTGCACAACGCAGTCCGACATTCAGGTTCGCCTCTCAGTAACGATAAGACGGTAAACCGTTGTGAGGCAACGGTGAGACATAGTGAGATATCTGTAAGCAGCACCCCACATTCAAAACATTTAAAATGCAGTGTCTCATAGAAAAACTGTGGAACTACTACCTTCCTTCGAGTGATGGAATCTTTTTGGAAAAGCCATATAGCGCGCTAATGTTCCGAGAGAAGATGTTGTCCCACCGGCTACTCTGTGACCAGTTTGAATGCATGTGTCAAAGCTTTGTGGTAAGAAAACGCACTTTCTCTTGACTGGGATCATATTCCATCTGGCGACATCTTTTATGACAAGGAACGTTCCGCACTATAAGAAACTGCTTGTCTTCAGGAAGGTAGGAGTGAATCCTTAAATTCTCTAATTAACCTATGACAATCAGATTCTCATGGACATAATCTACCTGCTACTATCAGCAGCCTTGGACCACTTCCACATCGAACAATGATGAACGAGGTGATCACCTGCAATGACAAACTCGTCTGGTGTCAAAACACCGGTCTCCCGAAATCTGCTCTGTTTCAGCACTGGAGTGAGCATTTCTCCGACGGTAAGTGCAGTGCTCTTCAGATTATTCACGAGATTCTGCATATCCATACGAGCCCTGGAATTATCCAAATAAAATATGAAAAAAGCTTTAAAGTGGAAGTAATAAAGATCTATTAAACAAGTAAAGAACAAAAACCCCAATTCTACGGCCTCTGTTGTGCAGTATGTAAAACGCGAATCCCCAGAAAGGATAATCCTAGTTCGATCTGGCCTAGGGTCCAAGTTTTGAGAATATTTCAGCATCGTTGTGGTTGTACTTCACATCAAAAAGCACGTAACACTCCACACGAAAAACGACAGTTGTTGGAAAGAAAAATGTAACAGCAAACTTCGTCATACCTGTAGGTCTACAAAATAAACAGCCCCGTCCACTCCATACAAAACATTTACATATTCAGGCACAACAAAATCTAGCCGTCGCATATAGTTGGAAAAAAGCGCCGTCCGTAATCACGTACGCGGTTACCCTAGGATTTTGTGACGTCTGTTGCTGAAGTTGTCCTACGCTTAATAGTTCGCTTAATTTTTTGTCATCCAGACCTATGTCACTTAACGACAGGCCTCCGTTCGTCATGATGGAGACCAGGTATGCCATAAACTTTTTAATTTTGCCGACTTTTCTCTAGTGTTGTGAGCTCAATGTTTCAGTATGGGCAAGATCTGTTTGGAGTTGTATTGGGATCATGCTCCGAAAACGTGTCGGAATTTCAGCGAGTTAGCTCGGAGAGGGTACTATAACGGAACGCTGTTCCATAGGATCATAGCCGACTTTATGATACAGGGAGGAGATCCAACCGGAACAGGTAGATGGCCTCATTAGAGCTCTCCATTATGGTCTCAATGTTAAGGATTTAGGCAGAGGTGGAGCTTCCATCTACGGTGATCGATTTGCAGACGAGATATCGGAGAAGCTGAAACATACAGGAGCTGGCATCTTGTCTATGGCGAATGCAGGTATCTTTTTTTCCGCGTCTTTTCATGGGTTCGAATCTCAGTTGAGGTTCTGATTTCTGCTCATATCTTAACATCCTTGTAGTTTTGTTTCAAATAATATCCTGTCACTAAAGAACCATTGGCGGGAGACAGTAAAAGTTAAACTTCACCTCTCGGTATTGTTATTTACACAGTTTCTGTTAAATGTTATATGCAGGTCCAAATACGAATGGGTCGCAGTTCTTTATAACCCTAGCTCCTACGCAACATCTTGATGGGAAGCATACAATTTTCGGACGAGTGGCGGCGGGAATGAAGGTTTCTTTTCGAAATAGGTATTTCACCGAAAGCTTGTTTCCAAAAACCACAATGCAGGTCGTGCAAAATATGGGAAAGGTTGACACGGACGGTCAAGATCGACCGAGAGCGGATGTACGGATAATAAAAGCGTTTCCCAGTGACGATTCTCGCTTCACTTGATGACGACCCGTCGAAATCGTAGTGCATTGTTATTTTTCATGATGAGTTTGTACCTCTGGCATTGCGGTACATGTTGCTATTTATTTATATGAACATGACTTTCTGAACCTAATGCATTCAACGGGAAGCTAGCTGGAAATCAATTTTCCAGCTTTCTTTTAGGATCTCTTGTGTTATTCGTTTTAAAGAGCGTTAACACATATATAATAAAGCAAAATATTACTTTTCTTAGGGATCTTGGATATCCACCTTGAGACCATGAATGACACCACCGGTTCCTAAGCTTCACCATGTTAGGGTTCTCAACACATATGATCTTCAGTAAATATGACAACAGATTGAACACTTTCGCGACTAATGACATCTATAGGTGTCGTAATCGTTTTATGGGAGTTGCCGATAATACACCTATGTGTCATTTTCTTTACGGTGGTTTATTTTGGTGCACGTGAATTTTCATCCTATACTTGTTGCAGTCTGGTACCAGACTTGTCTAGGAGGATAGCAGCACTGGATCAGTAGGCCATGGCGATTCATTGTAAAATGCCAGATATGCATTCGATCACCAACGATGTTTAATGAAGTCTAATGCATAGCGTATTCCTTAGGGATTGATCAACGCCGAGAGTTTTATTCTTTTATCCAATATAGATGCTATGGTGGTCGTCGTCCATGGAAGGATATCTTCTTCAGAGGAGGGACACAGGAATGTCTCTGCTTCGGAGAACTGACGAAGCATGCAGAGTGCAGTACCATTTTTGATAAGCAGCTCATTGTTTTCTAATTTTCAGTAGTTCTGATGACTTTTAGGTATTGTTTGTAATGAGACGATATCAAAAGTAAAAAGTGAACAATGTATTATTCTTTGCAGAACTTATAGAACTTCATTAAATGCCCACAGCAGTACGATTACATAGTGACCGAGTGTTTTTCTTCATACACAAGGGCTACATATGAACTGGAAATATGGGTGGGTGTGTAGAAGACATGGAGCATATATAAGATAAAAGAAGAGAAATTCTTCTAAAACGCAGAGAAGAGCGGATTGATAGGAGGAAATCACAACTAAAAGGGTGGGGCCACAAGAAGAAAACTGCTAGGGTGGCCGATGTTACACCCACAGGTGTCACAGTAAGCGCAGCGAAAAAATAGGCGTCGTCCACTCTGCAAAAAGTAGAAATTAGGCGATGTCGCGAAAGTGTTAAAGGACAACCATGTCAATGTTCAAAACACAATCATGAACGAGCATGTCCATACACTAACGTATGGGAAGAGCACAAAGATGCTAATCAGTTTTACTTTCATCGAATTAAAGTTCAGTATGTGGTCATCTAAGTGGTCATTGATACAGTCGTGAAGTTGGGACAATTTTAGATGCTACATACACGCAGGTTGTCCTACAATAGACGATATTTTTTCGATAAATAGAGGACTCAGGTAGTTAAAAACATCTGCATTTAACTATGCGAACAAGTAGGAGGAGGTTTTCCTCTATCGCTGTGGAGGTGTGCATGGTGTGCTACTGTTTACTATATTATGTTACTGTGCTTCACCATTCAAGTATATTGCTGTCACTAACTGAGTTCTTTGCAGACAATGATTAGTAATGCCATTCATCAAGAAGCAAGTTGCTGGTTCGACTCCCTCTCAATACTGTACTCCAGTTCAGGCGAGAATGCCTTAGCTCGACTATTTCCAACATTGCAAGGAGAATCGAATCGACCAGCATTCAACGACATTCACAGAGATGAAATTCTCAAGCAGCAGCTGATTGAACACGCTAGATGTTCGAAGACCATTCTGAAGAATAAATGCGAAGAAAATCGAATGCAAGAAGTGCTGTGATCCACATAGTACATGTGCTGACGGGTCATATTAAGTGTAAAATGTTTTTAAAAAAGCCTAACTAAACCGCCGGAAAGAATGTGACTAAAAGTTGTACCGGGTACAACGACCCCTCACAAACAATTCCTTGTAAATTGCATATCAGTGTATCCTTCCAAGCTCTGAAGAAAGCGGAACCAGCCGGAACGTAAACTTTAACAAAATAAAGAATAAAGTAACACCTCGTGTTTGCTGAACAGGAATATCGAGTTTTTCTCTATCGTCAAAAACGATAGATCCCGCAGCCGACAAAAAAGTGCTCATGTCCCATTGGGCCACTGGCAAAAATGGGGCGCCATCGCGAAAGCGTTAATCAACAGTAGCAATGGGAGCGAACACTGCTTGATTTCGAACACGCACGTAGAAAGATTCGTTTTCAGTGGAACCTAAAATAAACGATGTTCATGGGAAAGGATTTTTTCCTGACTCTGTATTCACCCTTAACGAAAGAAATGCATCTGTATGTTCCAGGTATATATGCCATGTTGAAAAATTTACCTTATGGATGACTTAACCTTATAGACGAACAGAAGGACAGAAGCGACTTGCGATGGAATGGTCACTTCTGCTAATGAACAATGTGAAAGAAGGTTGGGAGGCTCTTCCCTTCTCTCGAATGAGCAGAATCCATTGTTCGACGCTAGCTCGAAAATGGGAGTGATAGAGGCCGTACTTGTAACGCAGCTTTCATGCGGAGTTATGAGTAATAAGGATTGTTACCTTGCATGTCTGAGTGAGAAATATCCAGTTTATTTTTGCAAAACTCTGGACCACAGGCGTCTAAGGTGGAAAACGAACGCGCTATTGTCCTTTCCGGTGAGTAACGGGTTCACTACCACACCATTCGGGTCCTTCGTTTCGCCTGTCTCTCTGCTAGTTCTGTCGATCAGGGCCATCAGCAATCACCCGTCAACGGGATTGATCTGAACGCGTTATTCTCCGGAAAGGACAATAGCGCGTTCGTTCCCTAACTAAGACACCTGTGGTCCAGAGTTTTACAAATATCTAAGCAACATTGTGGTTGTATTTCGCTTAGAACCCTACCGTGAGAACTGTAGTGGGCAGAAAATAAAAAGTAAAACGTTGTGATATCCAGTTCTATTCTAAAAAAGTCATGCCAAAACTGAAGATGTGATTCTTGGGTTCTATCGTTTTCGGCTCTATTTTCTTTGAAACTGTAGATAACAAAACCAGAAAAATGACACTAACTTGCGTGGTTTTTTCCCTCTGAAACCTACGTGGACAAAGCCTCAAGTTTTCTGCATGCCTTCACGTGGCCGGAAATTCATCTAAATCATACTGAATACTCATGATGGTTCCTGTTGTTTAGTTTATGGCGATACGAGTAACCTCTTTTGCTTTGTTTTCATATTTATTTAACTCATTTCTCCTCTTTACATTCGAAGTTGCTCGATGTTTTCGATAGAGGGATAATTAAGAATATACAGATCTTATTGTTCACAAATTTATTCTTCACAAACAGTTAAGATCACCAGGACAGCTTTCGTATTCATATGAACTCATTCCAACCCTACTTCAATCCCCAACGAATCTTTCCAGTGCTAACCATCCTTTCTTTAACTAGAACTGATTATGAAGCTTACAGCTGTGTTATAAGGTGCTTCAACAAACAGATGATGGTGTGTATTGGTAATAGTGCATGTGTTGCTGGTCAAAGTTAACCATGTGCATTGATTCCAATGCACGCTATCTCCGACTGTTTTTAAACGGGTTTATTAGCTAAATTTCTTGTATTCAGTCGATAGCTTACATAACAGAGACGTTTTGCCACATGTGGTCCATGAAACGAATTCTTTCATGCGACCTCTCTTCGCATTTACTGTGCACTTTTGCATTCGATTTGCTTCCTCATGTCCATCATCCACCAAAGGTTTTGAATTTTGATTTAGCTATTGTTTGAGCATTTACCATCTTCGTTATGAATGTAGTTGAATACTGGTCAAGTCGATTCTCACTAGAGTCCTCAAATAGCGCTGGGCTAAAGCATTTCCACTTCTATTACAAGAAGTGGCTTGTTCTCAGGTAAGTCTGATGCCAATTTCCCGAGCCCAGAGGATGATAGGATTGGTGAGCACTGTGTGGCCTCGAACCAGCACCGTGCTCGTGATAAACGGCTATTTCTACTTCCAGTAAATTTCAAGAATCCTTTTCAGACGAATTGTTCAATACGGACCACGAGCGGCAAAAGAAATGAGGCTTTCTCCGTAGCGATCGCCAGAGGAAACTGAAGATATCCGCGCATGTATGCACAGTTACCGCAAAACCAGGGCAGGGCTTTTTCTTCGACAGTGTCCATTGGCCTCAATTCTTAGTTGTGCGACTTCGGACGAGGACAAGATGCCACGATTATGTATCGCCTTTAGAGATGGTTTCTAATTAAAGCATAGTGATCCAGTTCTGTTGAAGAATGGCATTATTGAGATCATAAAACATATTGAAAAATATAAATTGCTTCATTATCAAGTAGTCGAACGTAGTTGTAAAGGATGAAAGCAATACCTGCAGCTTAGTGTGTGGTACTGTCTTCTGTGAAAATCCACTGGCAGAGCTTTGTGTGAAAGAAACTTCGAGACGAAGTTGGTTTTTCGACAACAGACAGTGATTCGACCATCAAGAGTAGAGATGATGTGAACTTTACGTACTTGCAGAAGAGACTTTACTTGATCGTTCTAGTGATATTAAAAATTTTCATGAACTATTCGTGTACCTTTAAATTTGTTTAGGAATAAGATTCGTAAAAAACTGTAGAGGCTTCCATTTTCCGGGACTTCCAGCAGACAAGCGTCGGCGCGAACATCAAGGATTCATTGGAGAACATCATCGTCTTTACTTTTATAGGATTCTTCTTGTTCAATGTCCTTTGTGTTCGAAATCCAAGCGTTGACGAAGAAAAAGACGAAAATTAGATATCGTCGTAGGCCTAAGAACATGTACCTTATACGCAAAGGTCTTTAGATTCTAAGAGCTTTTACTCCAAACTAGAAAATTCTCTATGGACTGAAATACGCTTGTTTAAAATTGAAAGCGGTCATTATTTCACCTTATTTGACCGCATTTGAGGTCGTCGCGAATGTGTCAAAACTAAACCAGGCCTCTTTCCGGCATTCTGCAGTGCTCGATTGATCTTCTTCTTAAAGCAAATCTGGGTATAATGTTGGCGTTTCCAGAGTTCACTTGTTCACTTCCTCGGATCTCCGATCTCCGATGCTTCAGTGTGATTCTTCGCATGCTTATTTCTGTCATTGAAATGGTTTATCGTCCCATTGTTACCGAATGGCGCTCATGGGAGGTTGACTGAATTGTACAGCAAGAATTTCATTCATTTTCGGCAGGTTCTTACAGGCTGAGGAAGGGTCTTACATCCCGGCAACTTCAACTCAAGGCGCAAATTTTGCTCCATTACCCAAAGGGCATCTTGTAGGGCTAGCAAATTTTCATTCAAGTGGAAATAATAGCGAAGCTCACCGGATTACTCCAGGATATCATCAAAGGTATCTTCCCTCCCATTTTACTAGTGTAAGAGTCGTAAGTTGACCATGGAAAACAGACATTTTCGCGGATTTGCTCCCGTTTCTTCCTATCAAAGATGGAAGCGTTGCCTAGTTCACCTTGATATCTTTGAAAAACCGTGTTCCTTTTGTAATTTTAACCAAATTAAACTAGCAGTAATCTTGTTACAATATAAGACAATTTCTTTTAGTTATACGTTGCTTCAAAGTTAAATAGAAATAAGCAAATCGGCAGCTGAATTCCAAAGGTGTGCAATACGATATGCTTAGAGGAAGATCAGGTTTGATAGATGCTCCTAATACTTCATTAATTCCTACGAGTATTAAGCATCAGAGAAGACCTTTGGCCAGTGCTGTGCAACGAAAACGTACTGATCGTTATTTCCATGCTGAGAATATGAGGTGAACCGCGTGATGTGGACAGCGTCGTCCAATTTCGACTAGGATGAGATTCAAGAGAACCGGTTCTGCGTGCGTGAGCTAGTTCGATCACTGACTTCATCACTGACGATCTGCAGTAGATCCACCGATATCCTAGCCTTTCTCTCGAGAATTCTTTATGAATTAGAAGCGAAATCTTTGCTCTGAAACATTTGTAATCATTTTAAGAGATGAAATTAATGAATTCTCTCATGTGCTATCGTCGTGAAACGATTGGGACTTTAACGTATTTAACATAGTTGAAATTTCCAGATCTCTAGACATAGTGTAGTTGAAATTTCCGAAAGAAACCGAAACAACTTTTCTCTTCCCAGCTTCATTTTAGCATCTCTACCGATGATATCCGGTGCGCAGACTACAGTAAGTTCCCGTAGTCTCTTCTTTTCAAACCTTAGCTCATGATTCTCCTGTCATCTGACCTTATCTTATCATACCTCCACCATGGTCAGACGGCAACTGTTTTGGTAGTAAATGGTTAAAGAAAATGTAGAAGTTGCAGAAGCACACATGCTTATATCAGTTTATACGCTTGTACCGATATTAATAAAGACGCGTGTGGCGCAGTGGTCGGAGGCGCCCTGCAACACACACGTGGAATCCTTCCCCGCGCCCATGGCCCACCAAGCCTTCCATCTCTCTGGAGTAGGTAAACTAGTACCAGGCTTGTCTGGGAGGATAGCAGCACTTCCTTGATACATTGGTAGGCCACCGCGAGTCATTGTTAAGGCCAGATATGCATTCAATCACCTCCAACGATGCTTACTGAAGTTGAATGCATGGCGCACCCCTCTCAGGGATTGATCAACGCCGAGAGCTTTGTGCTTTATTTTGTTTATTGATATTATGCGCAGCAAGGAAGTTTAATGGAAAGCTTTTGTTTAGCTTATATTTAACTAAATGAATTAACGTGGGTGAGAAATAGTCCACTGCCGCTTCTAAGATGGTGTTTAATCTTCTAAACTATTTGGAGTTCAGTGATTTTTGTTCTGTGAAGATAACAAATCACGAAGAGCTGTCTAACCAATCTCTGCAGAATAGAAAATCTGAGAAGACACATTCTGTTTGTTCTTCTGTTTCAAAAATGTTCGATTTTTAGTCTCTGCTTATTGTCACTGGCATTCTAGCTGCTTCGTTCTACCTGTACAGTAACCATTGGTATCTTACCTATGTCGAGACTTCAGAATCCTTCGACCAGTTTTACTTTCCACTGTCGCAGGAAGGTAATGCCATCGTGACAATATTCATACATTACTGCAAATTATCGAAATGATAATGAAAATGAGCCATTTAAGCACTAACGAGCATTATGGAGAACGAATGCAGGTGGCCAATACTGCCTACCTTCGACATGAACGTGGACAGCAGCGTTTCTCGCATCAGGTAGATATAGCCAACCATTACCAACTACACTTGTTTGTTTGATTATTTCGTGAGAAGTACGTTGTCAGCAATCATCGACACTGTCTTGTTTATAACTGGCAACTTCTATAGTGTTCTTAAATCATTCGCATTACTTTTTAAAGACTGCTCGAAAGTTCTCCGTTTTTGTTGAAAGAAAAAAGGCAAAGTTCATAGCACTGACCGCTCTACATGGAGTTATAGGGTCACATTAGGGATTTATTTGTCAGTTTTCAGAGACCGTAAGTGTGATTTTTTTCATTCACAGTGACTGTTGTGGAGCCTAGTCAATAGCTCAACTCAGCTCGAGTTTAGGCTTAATCTTCGATAGGAATGTAAATTCGTTTAGTGAAAAAGATGAACATGCTGTGCAACGAAATCGCTGCCACTACTTACTATACTTTTCAGGATGGCAGATATGAGCCATTTGTTATCTTTTGGAGTGGGGGTAATATAGATCAACGTCTAGCTCTTGGACATTTTATCTACGCAATACGCAACCAACATAGGGCACTCTCGCTTCTGACTGACAAGCCATTGGACGAATTCTTAATTAGGCGTTCTTCAGTGCACACCTTTAAAATACAATAAACTTCATTTGGCCAAGATCAATGACAGTATTTCAAAACCGACTTTCTTTTAACCTCGGTATCACTAATCAGCATATATTCTTTCCTTGATGAGCTTATACGAGGTTAATAAAGATATTTATTTTCACCTAACGTCTCGACGTCATCGTCTTTATCAGAGCCGATGATCCGAGTCGATGGCCCACGCTTGTTCATTCGAGGAGATGGTCCGCTGAAGAAGACCTGACTCGACACGAAGGCGAAGCCGCTACATCGAGACGAAGAACAAGCGTGGACCGTGGACTCGGATCATCAGCTCTGATAAAGACGATGACGTCGAGACGTTAGCGGAAAATAAATGTCTTTATTAACCTCGTGTAAGCTCATCAAAGAAGGGATACTAGAAACTTCATAGATACCTGTACGAAACTGTATTTAAACCTCTATGCCTCTATGACTTTCTCCACCTATCCGTCCTGGCAGCCTAAAATAGCAGACAGTTACTGAGTTAGAAGTATTTTGATGATTTAGGAAATGGAAAGCAGGCACGAAAGAAGAATCTGCTTATAGAAAGTACACTTATTCACATTCAATTCTGGAGACTGATTTACTCTAGCAATATTTGCAAAAAAGGCAGATAAAACATAGGAAATTGTAATCTATCCTAAGCAACATAAATAGTTTCTCTCAATATAAAAATAATCCTGACCTAAGAGTTCTTATAAAGGGAATGGCATCTAGCTACAAACTCTGTAAACTATATCAGAACCTCGATGTTTTCTTGAATGGGAGTACTTGAAAATGTTCTGAACGTTTCACAAAATAATTGTGGAATTCCTAAACTTCGAAAAATTTCGGCAACTAATCTCGTCTGAACAGCGAGGGTACATCTTATAAACTTAGGATTTGTAAAATTTCCTTAAAAATTTAAAAACAGGAAAATTTTTCTCGTGGGAATATATTCTGTTCCAGATCAATAGTTAATAACATTCCAGGAATATTATGTGTGTCCCAGCAATGCGCCCTTTCGTATCCCTCGACGAGTACGGATATCTCGAACTGTCTCAGCCCACCGGTGATGGGGACTCGTTCGTCGACACGAACATGACGTACGTCCAGTTATTTTTAGCAAACGACCACTAACCAACGGGTTTTATTGGGGCCGTGGCCAAATATCCCTGTCTACTCACCGCCTGTTGGAATCCGTTATGAATTCGTTGGTCGAACTTCAGTTATATGATAAATTTATGATAACTGTTTGCATATTAGTCTAGGTGAGCGCCTATATGCATTTTTGTACAGACAAATATGTCGATTACATTCTTCCTGCTGATATCAGGCAAATGTCTGGGTTTTATCAACTAAGAGCACTCAAAAACCGATTTTGTGGTTTCATCCAAAAATCGGGTTTTATGTTTTTTGACATCGATAACCTGCCAAGGAACTGTCACTCAGGAAGCATCGTCCCTTCACTTCCTTCAGATCCTTCGACGATAAAAATTCTATTTCGCTCTGTCACGAAAGGTGTCGCTGGTACGGCAACTTTCGGCGAGGATAGCGAAGATATATTTGGAATGTTAGGAGAAAATGCGCGATAAACTGCAAAAAGACCACCACGAAGGGGTTTACGTTCAGTGTCTCCACCGTGGCGTTCAAAAACGTTCGTCAGAGTCCTGTTCAAATTTGGAAACGAAAAGCAAGCGTTGCTTCATTGGAATACCGAAAAGCAAACGCGGAATCTGACGCACATCTTTTTTTTAAAGCAATAGAGACTTTCTTCGAAATCTCTAACAACAAGACGTTTCATTAAATCTGTAATCTCGTTAACACTTCCACAACCGTTGACTTAGTTCTGCTAAAGGTCTTAGCAATGTCGATAAGAAGAAGCAAGTTAAATACATGGTAGATGTAATTCATCTTTAGACTGCTCGTATAAGAATGAAGATTGCATTTGTAATGAACAAAAATTAATCACTGCAGTTTGAACCGGGACTTTCTCGATTGCAACGAACTTAGCTGTTGCGTTCACTGAAATTTGTGTCAAAGGATATGTGTGCTATTTGCTCAAGGTTAACTGCGACCGATCAACAAGATCGCCTTCTTCAGTTTCCGAGACCGAGAAAGGCGTCATTCTTTCAATTTTTTGTGGTTTACATAAATCTCAGACCGACTTTTTCAACAGTATTATACTATCCTCATCAAATTTAGCTAACTGCACTAATTGTTATAGGTATTTTAAGCTTATTATTCATCAGCAGATGGGAAGGACATGGCAACATTGAGAAGCCGTTTCTGAGAAATGTTTCACTTTTAAGGTGTTCTTATCAACCGCTACTTAATAACAATGTGGGCGAAGTTCTTCTTGGGGAAGAGACGAAGGTAAATCTGTATTTTCTCACGAAATGACGCTACTTTTAGCATAAGCTTCGTAGTTTGAATGAAAGGTTTTCGTTGGTTAGATCGAGTTCAACCAGCTCACTCTCATCAAAGACAGTCAGATCGTAGTGAAATGCCATCGAAATTCTCCATCTAAGGAAATCGTCTACGAGAAGGCGTTTGTAAATGTACCTTACGCTTCGGTGAGATATCCTATGATTTTATGAAGATGGTTGTTCGATATTGGCTTCTTCCATGTGTTCTACTGAAAATATTCTACTGCTAGAATCACACTCAAGATTACTCTTTAGGGTCCAGCGGCGAAGCCGAAATTCAAGAGAAGTGATCCGGTAAGTTTCATTATGAGATTTTTTTCAAATCCTTCCTGTCCATTCTATATAATATCTCAGTGACACATTTTCCCGAAATCATTTCCTCACGCTACAAATCAGACCACCTCATCTTGATACATCACTCTTTTCTTGTCACAATTTTTTCGCAAACGAGAGAAATAAAGTCTCAAAACCTTATTTGGAAGTCTGTAGAAATATAGTATGATAGCCCTGCTCATAAGTATCTAGCCGACTGTGTTGACTCCAGGAGTTTCCATCAATGGCGTTGCTCGTCTTCGACCCAGTGTCACCATACCACTTCAGACGAAGCATGCCTCGAACAGCGAAATTTCTTGTTGACAACGACTTCTTCACATTCAATATGTACAATGAGGTTCTTAGTTTATGTTATTAGTGATATCAAAGATTACACGTCTGTATAAGACATTGCTATAAAGCACCGAAACATTTGCTGGTTCGCCCCTTTGGCCTGTAACTAAGCCATTCATTCTACATTGGTGGACTTCTAGAATACTCATTTGTGAATTCTAGAATAAGGGTGGAGTATATATCCTAGTTACTGGTATAGAATTCATCACTGCAGGAGTTTTGAGCAAATCATTCTTGTAACTCCTTCAAATCAATTCGCTGATCAATGTTGACTTTTTATTTATTGCCTATTACAATTTCTCACGGCAGCGTATTACGTGTGACTCAGCCATAGGGATGCTGAGTTATTTGCAAAACTCTGGACTGCAGGTGTCTGCGATGTAGACGATGTAGAACGAACGCGCCTGCAAAGTACCTTTTCCGGAGGATAACGCGTTCACCACCACACCATGTGGGTTCTTCGTTTAAAAAGTTAACATTGTGATTTAGATTACAGCCACAGCTTAACTGGGTTCACTTGCCGATTTGAGCTCCCCAGATCAATCCCGTTGATGGGTGACTGCTGATGGCAAGGATCGATAAAATTAACTGAGATGCAGACGAAACGAAAGACCATCCTGATTTGGTGGTGAACGCGTTAGCGCCCGGAAAGACTTATAACGAGTTCGTTCCCCACCGAAGACACATGCGGTTCGGAGTTTTGCAATTATCTCAGCATCATTTTGGTTGAATTCCTTGGTCGTTGACAGGTAAAACACTGTAAAACACTGTCAGCTTGGGGAACCACTCTAACGTGCTCTGTAAAAAAAACCTGTACGCAGTTTGTTTTTCTGTACTAAAACGAGTATTTTGAATGGTTCAACAAAATTTAAAAGGTATTGTTAACAGCTTGTTCGTCACCACAATGAAACAATATTAACACATTCATGAACGTGTGAATCATATACGATTCATTCTTTCTGGCTGCTTATTTTGAGCTATCAGGTTATTTTTCTATGGTTTCCATATCCACCCGATAACTTCTTCAACGCAGATGTTGGCAATAGCTACGATTTCTTAACGATTATAAGATGACAAGTCGCTGTGGAGACTTTTATAGATGTAATTGTAGCAAAGTCGCATCCTTGGCGTTGCCAAAGTATTGCCTAGGTGTTTACAGAGAAATCCGTAATGAAAGGAATTGATCTCACAGCTGTGAATTCTTACAACTTACAGTGCATTTGAATCTTACGAAGTACTATTGTTGAGCTGATGCGAGATTGTTATCAAGCCCTGTCTTTGCAACCTTAAAAAGGTTGTGACTCTTCTGAAGAAGGCAAAACGCGGCTAGGACAGTTGGCATTTTCTTTTTACATTTTTACATGACCCGTTATCACATCAACTGTGTGGGTCCCAGAACTTCTTGCATTCGCTTCACTTCCTCGCTTCCAACATCGGCAGTGGCCTTCGAACATTCTGCGTGTTGCTTCAGCTGCTGCTTGAAGATTTCCTCTTCATTATAAACGTCGTAGAATGCTGGTCGAGTAAATTCGTCTGCAATCTTGGTGATAGCGCTAGGGCGTTCCCATGTCGGTTGAAGGACTGCGTTGGTGAGGAAATCAAACTACCGTTTTTGCTTTCTGATCGACAGCATCACTAACCACTGCGCTTCTCTTTTTTAGGCAATTAGAAAAAGCGGTAAATAAAAATTAAACATTGTGATTTCAACTGCAGCTTCAGCCTGTGTTCAATACCGATTTGTGCTCCTCAAACTATTCCCGTTCACGGGTGATTAACTGATTGCACTGCTATAATAAAAAACTGGGTTATAGAAAGTCAAATCAAGAGCCCCAACTAGTGTAGTGGATAGTGCGATTGCGCCTGATTAGGATGATCGAATAGTTCGAAGCCAAACTGAGCATCTGAATTTTGCTCATATCTCAGCATCCTTGTGTTATAATTAACATCGTACCCTACCACGAAAAAGAATAGGCAGTAAATTAAGGTTAAGTTACTGCTCCAAAGGATTTCTTGCGGTAAGGAGCAATGAACCATATGGAACGCATATAATTCACAGCGTGCTCCGAAAAAACTAGTCGTGAATATGTTTAGCAGGAGCCATGATTGACAAGTTATTTTTGAAGCGGATCACCTTGAATGGATAGTAGAGATAGCCGTACTTTGAATTAGGCTAGGCACGCGAACTGTATGAAGCCGTATAAAGACGTTTTGTAATGTCGAAGTGGAATTAGTGGAGTACAGTGGTGTTTTCCTTAAGAACAGTGTGTGTGTGTGTGTGTGTGTGTGTGTTTGTGTGTGTGTGTGTTTGTGTGTGTTTGTGTGTGTCTGTGTGTGTGTGCGTGTTTGCGCGTGTTTGTGTGTGTTTGTGTGTGTGAAATGTGTGAAATATGTGGAATGTGCTCATAGGTAGAATAAATGATGAGGGTAAACCGTTCAGTGTAGGAAAATCCCTGAGGAACGCACCATTCATACGATTTTATTAAGCATTGTTAGAAGTGATTGAATGCATAGGAAGCCTATGCAATGAGCTTTGACGACCTAGCGATGTATCAAGTAAGTGCTGCAATCCTCCTACACAGTCTAGTACTAATTTTCTGACCCCGTAGGGATGTAAGGTTTCGTGAACCCCGGGAGCGGGATTGAACCAAGGACCATATGTGTGTTTCAGGGCACCTATTACTGCTGCGCTAGATGGAAATATGTGGAATAAAAGTGTTAAATATTTGTCAAGATTGTCATGCTCACCGAGGTTTCGTAACAGACTTAACACCGTCGTTGTTGACAAGGTGAAACACTGAACAAAACTTGGTACTATTCAAGAGATTATAGCTGAATTCTAAAGAGTAGTAGTAGAAAAACAGTATTCATTCGACCATGCAAAACTCGGACCTCTGGCCAGATTCGAAACCAAGATTACTCTTTCCGGGTGCTCACGTCATACTCACTGCACCACTGAGGCCCTGGTTTTGCCTTTCATTAAACTAGTTTTTATCCTAATCAGCAATCGTTCATCAACAGGATCGGTCTTGTGGGCACAAATCGGCACTCGGCAATCAGCAATTTCTGTTCCGTGATCCTCAGATTCCATATTCTATGCCGATTTGTGTTTTCCAGATCATTCTCGTTGGCAGATGATTGTAGATGACACCGTTAGAGCAAAAAGCTGGCTGAGAGAAAGTCAACGCCATGGCCTCAGTGGTGCAGTGGGTTACAGATGAGTCCCCGAAAAGGGTAATCAGGGGTTCGAATCTGGTCTGAGGTCTGGATTTTGCAAATATCTCAGCATCATTGCGGTTGTATTTCCTTAATACCCTTTCATGAAAAAATGGTAGGCAGTAAATAAACAGCTATACATAGTGTCCAATAACAGAAGATTTGAGTCCAAAATTGCAGATATCGGTTGATTCCAATGCGAACATAATGTCGATAATGAGAGGAGGAGGAGAACAATCGGGCAACGAAACCTACTTGTGGAATGTGATGAAAGGCTCGTATGCGCTAATACTCATAATTACTTTCCATTAGCTAACCAACATTAAAAAACGTGTTTGACTCCAACTGGACCTTCAAATTATTTACTGAAGTCTTAATAACTATCACTGTTTCCTGCTGTAGAATCTTCACGCCACCCACCCCACCTTTTTGGAAATCTGCTACTGAATTCATTTCAAGATAAATATCAGAATAGTAATGATTTTAGCTTGCCTTTCAGATCGTCAGTGTATGACGTACATGAGCGAGGAAATAGGTGACTTTCCTAGCTTACTTGGAAACATGAGTCTCGATGTAGAACACGATCTGCGACCTTTCTTTGAGTACAGCCGGCAGACAACGAGAGGGCGTTGTACTCCCGATGGTCAAGTATGATTTCTATTTCCTATATATATATATATATATATATATATATACATATATATATATATCTGCTTCCATTTCTGTTTATCGTCAATTGACTCGACCTGGCGCCGGTCTGCATCTCTCCGGGTCACGTAAAAGGGTTTTAGATCGTATTTAGATGTACAATCAGACTAAGTGAGTTTTGCTCTCTTTAGGAATTCGAAGAAGGTCATTCTTATAGGATTCCCTAGTGGTCTTCATTTATGTGTTTGAGTTCCCGTGGTACTTAGTAGCTAACGTCACTCTCTTTCATTGGCATAGTAAGCCTATCAAATCCTCTCCGTAATGAACATGTGTTTATATTGTTGAGCTTGCACGACGTTGATAAAGTTGTTTATTCGGCTAACATTTCGACGATTTCGTCTTCATCAGAGTCGATGGTCTACAGTAGTTCGTTTTCTCGAGGTGGCATCTTCGTCGCGCATCGAGTTGGGTCTCCCTTAGTGGAGCATCACTCTCGAATGAGCCATACTCGCTCGGTGATGCTTTTTTATCTTTATATCACTCTTTATATATCCTCTCCACAATATTTTCGATAAAATGCGTAATATTTTACCCTGCGTACATAGCGTCCAGGTATCCGACGCGTCCGATAAATTAGGAGAAATCGCGAGTGGGTTTTTTTCTTGTCGCTTCACTCTATCCTCGATGCTCTTATCAGCTACTCATCTGCTCGTCTTTTAGTAGAAAGAAGCGAAACACGACATCGGCAACTATCCCATAATTTGCCTGTTGCTATCGTCTAAAAACTACCCACTCTAGACGTCCTCGTCAGGACTGGCAGAACACCAGGTGAAGGGCGGCAACCATGTGAGCAAACACGTTTCGAAGAATATTCGTCATGGTGATTTATAGCCAGGCGGCAGTGATGCTAATCGAAAACCAATCGGAAGCACAGCGATAATTCCAGACTCTACTGTTTTCGATGAGCATTATTACAGTATCGATATAAATCACATAATGAAATACTCTTCGAAACGTTTGCTCACATGGTTGTCCTTCACCTTGTGTTCTGCCAGTCCTGATGTGGACGTCTAGAATGGAGAGTTTCTAGGTGACGGCGGCAAGCAGATCGTGGGATAGTTGCCGATATCGTTCACTTCTTTCTCCTCGTAAAACAACGAGGTCCTGCTGGTTTTCCACTGACTAGGAATCTTGCATTCTCACAGGGACGTGTAGAGAACGCAGCTAGAACGTTGATGCCGATTGCTTGTAGGTTCTTCAGATGTTCGACCTTAATTCTATCTTGACTGGGTGCCGTATGGCTGATCAACGATATTGCGTATCATATTTCGGAAAGGGGAATTATGATGATATATCCACCATACCTGATCTGATATTAAGGCAATCGTAAATCGAGCCTCTTTGTCTCGTAATTGGCTAAGTTTCGGTGGGCGTTTCGAATGCTGTTCGAGACTTCTGCAGCTAGAGCCATTGCTGCTACTTTTCTCTCCAGAGCCCTTTTTTTATCGCTTTCTGCAAAACTTTACGAGTTCTCGAGTTAGTAGTGGGCGGTTGTCAGTGGCTGGTGAGAGTCCACGTTCGCGTATTAGTTCAAGCATTTCTCAAGATAGAAGTCTCTTGGTGATTTCCGATTTTCTGATTTTTAGCACTACCTTAAAGATGTTGCATATATCGATCACATTCTTCACCGATGTTATCGATAAGGCATCTTCCCAAAAGTGAAGCAATGATCTGAACAAACTCGAACTTGCAATGGTTTCGGGATTTGTCTACTTAAACATTGCGATTTTCTCTTCTTTCTGCTATAACAACAGATTGCTCCGCATAAGGGACAATGGTTTAATGTCGTGCGAAACTTTTAAAAAACATCGACCTCGTTTATGGAAAACCTTCGACTTATTTTGAAGTGATTGGTTGAGCTAACACGTTGTTTCAAACCTAACGTTTTGGTCCTTCGCATTCCTCGGAACCGCACTGATCCGAATCGATGATTCATGGCTCTGAGGAAGGCGAAGGCCCCCAAACGTTAGCCGAATAAAAGTTTTTACCAAGCTCGTGTTAGCTTAATCATCTAGAGAAAAATATTACGATAAATTGGAGGTTTTCGGTAACCGACGTCGCTGTTTTCCAAAAGCTTCGCACAGGATCCACTAAGCATAATGACCTCTGACGCCGGTATTGAGTTTATTAAAGATTCTTTGCCATCTCCCATTTACCATTCAACTACTTGGATGCAAGAAATTGATGAAATTGATATGTATGATACAGTCCTCATATAAACATACACATTCATGCACTCATACACCAATGTATACATTCACGAGATGAAATAGTCGCTTGAAGTCCACATTTTGGTTAATCCTTATTCTCTAGCTGATATCGTGCTACATAGCCTCAGGACTAGGTGGTTGGTGATCCACTAACCATTAGCACTATGTGTATATAGCAGGGATCTCCCATACGACTTACTTGGTAGTGGAAAAAAAAGCAAAATCTAGACTAAATGTGAGCATTCAGTTGGACCGAAACGCTATGGGATTGACGTCGATCAGATTGCTAATACCTTCCCTGTACATGAAGTCGGATTCACCTGTGCGTTGTCGTGTTAAACTTCGTACATACAGATTATATTCCTTTGCGTCAGACTGACTTGTACCTTTTATATACACAAAGACAGATTCGTCTATACGTCTATGCCTTGTGTACATGAGGACTAAATCCTGTTTATCAATTCAGTAAAAGCCCACATTGGGAGCGTGATAGAAGACGACTGAGGGTCGTTTTAGAAAAAATAAGCTCATCTCTCATGTCGAGCCATCGGTGCGTTAACTTTCTAAAAGTAATAGAAAAATAATGGGTCTAGTATAAGTGTGCTGATGTTCGCGTTTTTCGATAGTGAACTGTCATTCCTGAACCCATTGTGGTCTAGTGGTTAGGTTTGTGAAGAGATTTCATATCACAACATAGACAGCGGTGATCGTTGTGACCTATGTGGTTTAGTTATTCAATTTCTCGGTATTCTCCTGCGAAGATACCGGAAATACTCTAGCAAGAACCAGTTCAGGTCAACATTCTTCGCGTTTTGAAAATTTAGTACTTCTTGATACGGCTATAGAAACGACCATCGTTTTACTGGTAATGATTGACTTGCGGAGAAAATTCACACCAAACCCTAAAAAACGTCGAATCTTGTGTTCTTTGTGGTCTAGCGGAACTCACTTGGTACTTTAAACTCCATCGCACTGGCTATACAGAATCTCTCTCATCAAGGTGTATATACATACATACATATATATACATATATATACATATATATATACATATATAATTACTGCATTATTCGTGAAAACGTAGTCAGCCTTTTCAGAGCAGCATTATTTCCTCCAATCTTTAAGGTTGCGTCTCACGATAATCTTGACAATTGGAAAAAAGCAATTCTACATTCAAAAAGATATTGTCATTTTTCGATACACTACATGAAAACATTAACAGAGGACAACTCGGACTATCTGACATTACTCGATAAGAAGATGAGGTAAGATTAACTTTAATTATGTAGATGTGAAGGTAATACGAATAAAAAAGAGATGCCGAAAATAACACAGAACCTTCTGAAATCAATCATACAATATATGCGAAGAACTGGATTGGATGAGAGAGCACTGGAATGTTAAGAAAACTGAGGCTATACACCTTTATAAAGTCCTTATAGAGTGCTGGCTAATACGAAACGATAATAATATCCTTATGCCATGTATGAATCACTCGATTGTATGCCATCGACATGTCGTACATAAGAGACGATCTTAATGAACTTAACTCAGCTTTAGGATGTTTACTGCTAAATTTGCTAACAATCCAGTCCGTACTTGTTTATTTCGCTCCTCAGGCTGTTTACTGCGCTTTGATTATTCGACGACTTTCCATTTGGAAGTCCAGCTGAGAGTAAACCAACATCAAGAGTCATCACCGTTCTGGCATCAAATTAGTTCCATGGTAGTCGCATGGAAATCTGCCTCTGATCCACAAAGGCCGGCGACTGCATGGGGTGGTGACGAGCAGAGGAAGGCTTTGGCTACACTGACCTCGAGATTCGGGGAACCACAAAGGCTAGACCAGAAAATCTCCGAGAAATGTAAATTGTGCTGGGACCCACACAACCAATGAAGACGGGCCACCCAAGTATTCAAGTAAGTAATTACCCATGTTTGATATCTAACATGGCATAAAAGTAACTCAATAAAACCCGCGTAACTAAGCAGCAAACAACTTTGCAGATATCTCACATCTTCATACGCACCTCCACTGTGAAACACTTCTTCATGAATATGGTTTAACGTTGGTTGAGCTGATTATATTTGTATTTCTGTGATGGTTCTGTCACACCGTTTCAAGATTTTTACCAAAGAGAGTCAGTGGACGTGGCGGATTAGAAAGAGCCTTTCTCAAACGAGTCTGGCACTAATTTGCTGACTGAGACAGCTGCCTATTTGGATCAGGGCGAGGTCAAATAAACAACTATTTGTTCATTACACGACACCAATGGTTTTTCCGTATATTTTATACAGAACAAACAAAAGGTCTAGAAGAAAATCTTGGCATTATGTTAATCTGGCTTGTTCATAAGAGTTAAATCTGATTTACAATGGGTCTTCTTAACCACAGCGATGCTCAGATATTCGCAAAAGAACCACCGGGTCAGATCGAACCACTATTTCCCTTTCCGGGAGCTTGCGCATTACAGACTGCGTCATTAAAGTCCTTGCTCTGCGTTTCTCTGAGCCAGTTTTCTATCTACATCCAGGCTTTTCTTAAGTTATGCATCTTCGAATAGATCAGCAATGAGTTATTCTCTAGGCTGCGTGTTTAGCGTAAGGACACGTAGTTGAGAGTAATGCACTTCTTGCATATAGAGTATAGTCGAAACTCTTTAGATTTTCCTAAACCCTGCAAATCGTCTGAATTCTGATTAAGCCCATTGCTTTATTAAAATATGACACTTTTTGGTTTACAATTATTTTAAAAAGAACAGAACCATTGCGGCTGATTACAAAGAGATGCAATTTGATAGGTGAATGGTGTGAAGCTTAACTAATAAATGGTTCGTTAACATTTAGGAACTCTCTGGAAACACTGAAAGCAAATGAGGTATTTGAGAATACCGTAATCGTTCTTCTATCCGGAACTGGAAATCGACGAACGTAAGAGAACTACACTCATGCTGGCTTTTCTGCTACTCACGATAATTTCTCTCCCGACAGAGTCGTTCAGGAGTTGAGAACCTCAATAGAACGTTTTATTTCGGAAAGACTTTACTCTCCCATCATCTTATCGGTGTATATATAGCTTTTGTAAGGTATTCTTTCTATTTTAAATTCGAGTAGAATCGAAGCCCCAGATGAAAATGTAGGAGAAATTTAAACTTTTAAAACTTCCAGTACAAATGGAGAAGACGAAAACTAACGATACCTTGCGGAATGCTTCACGAAATCTAGTTTTCCCAAATTCTTTGAGGTTCGAGGTAGATCCTCAACTTCAGAAAAAGGAAAAATACGTATCGTAGGCTTCCCAAAATCAGCATTTGGTCGTAGAAGAATGGAACAAGTTGTCTCTTGTAAGAACAGATCTTTGTATTCTAAAGAATCTTGTTGAAATTGATAAAGTTCAACGCGAACTGAGATGTGTTGGGACAAAGTTGAAAGCTGGCATTACCTTCACTCTGCATACATTGTTATCAATTCATGTTGAGCATTGTGTGTCAGATTTGCGCACTATTCTTCCTTGGTAGAAAAGTGAATTTTAGTGTGGGCGATCAGCTCTTCACCTCACAAGTGGAGGAACGGTCGCCTCTTCTGTCTATAAAATTGCCAGAGAAATTCCGAAGGAAGTACCACACGCAAGATAGGAACATTGGTATAAATGTTAACAGGTAGGGACGCTACCATAGAAAAGTTCTATTCATTGATCAGCAATGTAGTGATTTATCTTAGAACCACATCATTCCTTTTCTCGTGTAAGGCCGGAAATAAAGCATAGAAAAGGGAGCAGAAACTCGCCTTTAAGTCCTTGAATTAATGTAGCCGTTGGTGATTACATTTAGCAGCACATTTATCATTTGACGGAAGAAAAACATCCATTGATCCAGACAAGAAAATCAATTGGCTACCTCCTTGTTAGATAATATGCCTCAGAACAGACGCACCACTAGGCCCTGCTCCTTACTACATGCGCTTTCGAGCGGCCAGAATTTGAATTCAAATCAAAAGTCGAAGAACTTTAAGGCGTTCCTCCGTTTTTCTACGAATATATGTATTTATGAAAGTAGAAATCGTGCTGCTCCTCAGATTGATCACCACCTCGGATGTCGGTAAGACGCTCATGAACATTGCCTCAGTTAAAGCACTACATAACCTTACTCTCGAATCGTCTGCCGAAGCAGGTGAATTTCCTTTTGAACTCTATTGATGAATACCTCTAAATTATAGAATTCTTTCTCACTGCAATCTTCTGATCTGTGCTGACCCGAACTTTTATTGTGCACTTGTTAGTCGCCTTCCTTTTAAAACAGTAACCTTCTTGAAGATAATCTAATTTCAGCTAGGAGTTCTTCACTGCTTCAGTATTTTCATCCGAATAATCGTTCCTGTAAGGACGCGAACATTCCTGCGCATTTATGCCTTTGTATGGACGAAGAGATTCCACAGGAGTACACGAAGTTTGTCAACTATTCTTGAAACAACATTTAATTTCTGACTCGGGTCCCTTGTCTTGGTGAACCTTGCAACTTTAAACATAATTTCCGCCTAGCTGGATTTACTCTTAACTGAGTCTCTGTGTGAAAATTTCGAAATCCTTCTCCGCATGGGTGATTCTGCTGGAAAGTAAATCCTTATCGAGCATCACATTTAAACACCCAAACAACGATTAGGTGGCATGCCACTGAATAGCCAAGGAAATTTAGTCCTTACAGAATTTTTAAGATATATATAATGCTAAATTTGTGTTAATTTTAGATGTTTCAAATTAAAAAGCTTTAGTGACACCAAAGGATTCCAACAAATGTTCAACTACGTGCGAGCGGAGGCTCTACGGCACGACTGTGTCCAGGATGTCACCTACCATCCTAGATACTCCTCTGTCAAAGTTTTCTCTCTGAGCCCTATCCTTCAGCATAAAATTAGTGAACAAACAGGGTAGGTAACCATTTGTCTAACAAATTCCTTGTTCTAAAAGATATATAGATATATATATATATATGTATACGCACATAAAAGATACATATATATATATATATATATATATATATGTATACGCACATAGGATCGATCCCCGCGTCCTAGGTTCACCAAGCCCTTCATCCGTCCGTGGTTGGCAAATTGGTACCAGACTTGTCTGGCAGCATGGCAGCACCGACTCGACACATCGGTAAGCTACCGTAAATTATCATAAAGGCCAGATATGCATCTAGTCACCTCTAACGATGCTTAATGGAGTCAAATGAATGGCGCCCTCACGGACTGATTAACGTCAAGAGCATCAGACTTGAATGGTATGGCGGTGAACGCGTTACTCTCTGGAAAGGACAATACCACGTTCGTTCCCACCACAGATACCTGTGGTCCGGAGTTTTGCAAATATCTCAGCATTATAAAAGTTATATTAACTTTGTTTTTTATTAACTTTATTAACGTTAGCTTTGTTTATTCACAAAAAAGGTGACGTTTCGACAGATTTCGTCTTTTTCGGAACATGGAATGGTCAAATTTACTGCAATCTAGTTAGCCAAATTCCTCTATAACCAAGACAGAAAGATCATAGTTTCTGCGCACACATACAGCTCTCAATATGCTCTCCACTGAGTGTTTCACATATAGACCAATCGCACAGTGCTTACATGGATGAGTATGCACTGATGATCTTACGTCTACCGAACCCTCAAAGTTCAAGGTTAGAACCACCATTAGCTGTGTATACGGGCCAATGGGTAGAATAACATGGGTGTTAACCCTAATACTTACCCAGTTGTTGAAACACATTCCAGCCCATCATACGAACACCTAGATCTTGCTGGATCGTCTACGTAACGCGCGACCCAACAGCGCGCACGTGATGAAGTCCTTCGACGTCACCGCCCTCTATACAAACGTCTCGAATGACTCCGCTATGGAAACCATCCGCGAGCTCCTTATACAACACGAAGGAGCAATAAACATGTATGGCTGCAGCAGGTGATGACTGTCTCAAATGAGTGTTTAAACTACTCAGTCCTCAAATGGTTCGAGAAGTCCTCAGAAATCACAGGGTTGGCAGTGGGAGGGCGACTGGAACTAAGCCTTGTCATTGCCTTTATGTCCAAGATGAATACTTCAGCAATCAGTCTTTTCGCCATTATTCTACTGTAAATATATAAATGATTCCGTAATCATTTGCTCAACACGAGAGAACATGGACAAATGTTTTTGAAATCGGTGCGGCAAACAGGCATTCCAATGGTTACGAAAGTGTAGCTCATCGAGATACGTGTAAGGGAAACTCAGGGCCCTAACTTGTAACTCCAGCGAGAATTAGGTCCCGTTTATACTGACCTTCATTTCCAACTAAATACATGCAGCTATAAGAGGCTGCTTAGAAATGGCCAGTCTAGAGAATTCGCCAGCAATGACTGAAATATTAATGAGCACTCTAAGACCCCAGCTAGTTTGTAACCGCTTGTGGGACAGTCTATCTACAACCCAAAAGTGTATAGTATGCCGTAATTCTATGGATGGTGAACGCATGAGTTTGGGTACGGTTTGTCTGATCTTTTGCAAAGCGTGCGGGGACGAATACATTGACGAAACTGGTAGAGCATTGTGCGTCTGTATGAAGGAACATTTTCTTGGTAAATTTAAATTGGAACCTAGTACTCCACTAGGCGCATAGGACACAGAGCCATAACGGGGAAGATTTTGCGGTAGAAGTCACCATCCTTGTACAGGAATCTAATATTTCAGCGCAAGAAACCCTCTAAGCATTCTGGATAAATTCCAAGAATCCAAAAGTCAACCGAAGAGAGGAATGCCTCGTAATTACACGTGATTTCACACAGTATTTAAGATATTTTTTAATGTGAGAGAGGCAAATTGAGCTCCTACGTGAACTGGGTGGGGTTGGCCTCCAATGAAATACTCACTGGAAGACTCACAGAAAGCGGTGAGCGTGCAAACAAGCTATCGTGTCTTCAATGTGACTGAAATCCTGATTTTGTGATTTTTCTGTTTTGGTATGTTTCGCTGAGTGAAGCGCATGTTAATTTGACCTTTTCAAGCTTTGAAGAAGGCGAAACCGCCCAAAAGTCGGCTATTGTGTGCTAATAAATGCTGCTTTACCAATCCCGTGCTTGCTCATCAAGAAAACGACGAATTGTTCGACTGACGTCGAAGTTAATATAAAGTCGGTCTTGGGTTCTTCTGTTGTTACAAATTCTTCTTTGGATTCATGCATGGTTGTTAACACATTTTAATTTATAATAACTAATTCCTTCTACTTCTGTTTAGCAAACGCGAGGTGTTATTTTATTCTTTATTCACCAACAAGCTGACGTTAATGCGCATTTCGCATTTCTCAGAGCCTGGAAGGGTCAAGTTGACAGCAATCTATTCGGCCAAACGCCTCCTGCTATAAGCAGCTAAACAGCTATAAAACGCTGCTTAAGAAGGGCGGGTCTAGAGAATTCGGTAAATATAGTTGAAATGCCACCGAGTAATCTAAGACGCCAGCTAGTTCGTAACCGCCTATATAACCGTCTATGTGCAACTCATAATTGCATTATTTGCCCGAATGGTAGAGACGGTGATTGCATGAGCTCGAGTATAGTTTATCTGATCTCCTGTAAGACGTGCGGAGACGAATACATTGGCGAAACGGGCAGACCCCTCTGTCCGCATAAAGGAACACCTAGCCGGCGAACATAAACCAAATACCCCGCTAGGCACACATAGGACCCAGAGACATAACGGGGAGGACTTTGAAGTTCGTTTCACGATCCTCGCTCAAAAATCGAGGACACAAGCGCACAAAACTCTCAAGGCGTTCTGGATTAATTCCAGAAATCCGAAAATGAACCGCAGAGAAGAATGCCTCATTATCACGCGTGATATTGGGCAGTAGATAAGCTTGTTGCTCTGATGGGATGGGCACAATACGTGTGAACTCTGTGCAGTTGGTCTCCACGTGACATATTTAGTGGAAAACTCATAGAAAGCAGTGAGTGTGCAAAGACTCTGTGTTCAATGTGTTTGAAATTTTGGTTTAGGGTTTTCTTTGTTTGGTTATGGAGGTGTTTGGCCGAATAGATTGCTGTCAACTTGACCAATCCAGGCTCTGAGAAAGGCGAAATCCGCCGAAACGTCAGTTTGTACGTAAATAAAAAAATAAAATAACACATCGTTTGCTGAACGGAAGTAGAAAGAATTATTCAATCAATTCCGAGGTTAAAAGAAAGTCGGTCGTGGGAGCAACCGCACAGAGTTCACATGGAGGTGTAATGTGCCTCTCCCATGAGAATAACAGGCTTACATACTGCCCAATATCTCGTGTGATAACGAGGCATTCCTCCCTGCGGTTCATTTCCGGATTCTTGGAATTGATCCAGAATGCCTCTAGAATTCTGCGCGCAAGTGTTCTCGATTCCTGCGCGAGGATCGTAACCCCTACTGCAAAATCTCCGTTATGTCTCTGCGTCCAGTACATACCTAGTGGAGTATTTGGTTTACGTTTGCCGACTAGGTGTTCTTTTATACGAATGCAGAGTGGTCTACCCATTTCGTAAGCGCATTCGTCCCCGCACGATTTACAAGAGATCAGATAGACTGTACCCGAACTCATGCAGTCACCGTCTCTACCATTGAGGCAAATTATGCAATTTTGCGTTGCACATAGACGGTCGTATACGTAGACGGTTACAATCTAGCTGGCGTCTTAGATTACTCGGTGGCATTTTAATTAACGTTACCGAACCGTTGCACGCTAGTAGCTGCTCGAAACATGTTTCTCACAAGCACCCTTTTCGTGTGAGAGGGGTGAGAGGAGGGGTAATGAGCCAAGATGTTTTTCCTACTCGGTTTTCGATATCATTTCGTATTTTACCCGTTTTCTGACAGGTTAATTTGCACGTTCAGAAATGGAAGCCGGCTTTCTTTTGGTTTCTCTCGTGTGAGTTTAATATACTCTGACTGTTCGTTCAACAACTCGAACCATTTGTCAATTTCCTCTCGTGTTGAACAAATGACCAAGCAGTCGTCTATATATCTACAGTAGAGTAACGGCCCGAGATCGGTCACTGGTGCTTCCACCTTAAACATGAATGCAATGGCAAGGCTTGGTGCTAGTCGTTGTCCCATTGCCAACTCTCTCATTTGTGCGTAATACCTAACGGACCATCTGAAGATTGAGCAGTTTAGGCACTCCTTTAAGAGTGCCATCAACTACTAAATCGAGAAGCCATACATTTTTACTGCTCCTTCGTGTTGCATAAGGAACTCGCGAATGGCTTGCATAGCGGAGTCATTCGACACATTCGTATAGAAGGCAGTGACGTCGAAAGACTCCACCACGTATGCACTATTGGGTCACGCGTTACGTAGTCGATCCAGGAAAATTTGGGTGTTCGTTAGATGAGCTGGAATGTGCTTCAACAAGTGAGTAAGTATTAGGGTTATTAACCACATTATTCTATCCGTTGGTCCGTCCACGCAGCTAATGATAGGTCTAACCTTAAATAACGATGGATCGGTAGACACGAGATTATCGATGGATACTAGCTTATGGGTTTTGATAAGTAAGTGCGGAATGGGGCATGTTGGTAAGTCAACTTTGAGTTGAGAGATAGTTGATGATTTTAACCCCCAGCCGCTCTTGCCATTTAAACCCATTCGTTGTTTACTTTCGATATTGGCTTGAAAATTCCTTCTCAGACGACGGACGATAAAGGGAAGCATCTTCAAGGTGATTTTCCGTTATCTCAACATCTAACTAATCGGGAATTACACCGAACTCTCCACCCTTATCACTAACCGATAGTCTTATGTCTTTCGATCTTATCAGCTCTCGTACCTCCTGCATACCACGTTTTTGTATTTCAGTGACGTTGGAGCAGTATCTCTTGGCGCCATAGTGATTAAGGACTTTGAAAGTTTCATTCGTAAACGTCCGATATTTAACGTCAACTTCATTATTGGGCTCTTGTTGTCTAAAGAACGGTTGAGGAAATGGTGCTATTTGCAGGCCCCCACTTGTTATTGCTCGCATCTATTTAGCGCTTCGTCTCTAGCTTTTTTTGCGGAGTTTGCCTTGAAGCTCATGTAAACTACATGCAACCCTACGCAAGATTACCTTAGAAATGGGTTTAGATGATGGGAAACTCGGTCCCAATTCTAATAACGAGCGTACACCGTCAGGGAGAGTAATGCCTCTCCCTGACGGTGTGCGCTCGCATTAGACCTAGTAGAATTGCAAATCAACACTGACCCACCCACTATTCTCCTCCAGAGGCGGTCCTCCAAGTACTGAGCACGGAAGTTTTCCTTTGTCTCGCACTTTTTCCACTTGGCGAACATCTTGTTTTGTTTGCTTCGTAGACAGGTGCGTAGTATTCGCAATTCGATGTCCAGTACTTGGTGACTTTATTTGCTAGTATTAATAATAATATGTAATATTTTTTTCGAATAATAATATAATAATAATATTTTGGCGAATTTTGGTTTTTGGAAAATCTGTAAAAGGCATATTTTTGTGTTACGACTCTACAAGTTAGTATAGTTTTAAAATCTCAGTAATACTCAAAGCCTAAACTTTAATCACAGGTGGGACCAGCCTCACTGAGGTCACAGCAAATGACAAATTATACTTCGACCAAAAAATTTCTTCAGGATGTGTTGCTGAGTCGCATGAGATGAGATATTCGTCATTTTGGTTGCTTTTTCGATTCTCTACCAATACGATTCTATTCGAACTCCCTCATCGAAAACACATCACATGTTCTGCGGATTGAGGTTCCTGGACCGTGTGCTAGAACTGTGACGTTGCTTTCAAAACCTCCACTGTTACAATTTTCTCCGCGGATCGGCCCCAATAAGGGATATCCGGCCTATTAGTACTGGTATCCTTCAAGGAGGACCTGGTGATACGACCTAAGAAGATTAAGCAAACTTCGTGACACCAAAATCTTTAAGCTCAACAATATAAACACATGTTGATTATTGTATTACCGAGGTTTAATGACGGTCGGTTTCAAGAGTATCTTAAAGCAATTTCAATTAATAATTAGAATTTGACGTGAGTTCTGCACTTATACGATGAGAAGATGACTATTCCTATCACCCTTAAACCACCACCTCTCAGGTCAAAGTACACATTATTAATTGCAATAACAAGCATTAGAATCTGCAAATCTTTCCCTACAGGATAAAAGCTCCCCTAGTCCAATGCGATGAAGTTACGAATTCTTGGAACCGACCAGACATATGTTGTACACTTTTTTCCGTCGAGGCTCGTATTTCGAAAGTGAAGCCAATTGAACAAACGGCACTTCAGCCAGTAGAACCCGATAATGTCTACGAACGCGCCGTTGATGTTTGCTGCTGACGGGATTTCGTTTGGAATTATAAAAGTTTGAATTCCTCTTCAATTTCTTTTGAGAATTTTAGTTCTGAACAACTTTAAAAGCCAAATAACAATTTTAAAGCATCACACTTATTCTTAAACGGGAAGAACAAATTCTCTTTTATAAGCCGATCGCGTTTGGAATTTCATTCTAGCTATCGAAAAATTTTCAGCAGTTTGCAAAAAACAAGCTTCAGTCACTATTTGTTAATTACCTGGATACTTGGATGTTCCATCCTCACTGGTTGTGTGGGCCCCAGCATAATCTCCACTTTGTCGGAGTTTTTCGGCACTCCCACGGGCAATCAACGTCCTAGTGGATCGGAGAGTGATTTGCCACTATGCGACCATTTTGATACCAGGACAGTGATGGATCCTGATATTGGTTTATTCTTAGCGGGGCTTCCTGATGGAAACGCTGGACTACTCAGCTTGAGAGATCCTGCCAGGTGGATGGATCCCCCGGATGGAAATCGCAGTCCGACACCCAGGAACACTTCCCAGCTACGATTAGGCGATGAACCGTTAGGAGGAATTGTTAATTGAATCTACGAAATCTCGATTCCATCTATTTACAAAGTTTTATCAGTTAAAATTTGTCGGTTCATTTACTACTTGTTTCAGCATCATTTTAATGTGCGCACACTATTTCGACACTTTCTAAAAGGTCATTTCGAGCCGATCGGAAGTCCACTGGTGACCTCGTCAAGCTTGAAATGTTTGGCGAAAAGACTGGAGCAATTCTGCGAGATGTGCTATTACAACAGTCGGCTAACAAAGTAGCATATACTACAAATGCGTGTTTTCCAGACAGCTACTGACAAGTTCACTATGTTTATTGATCCACTTTGTTCACCAACTCAATGCGCTATTCGTTTTTACGCACAAACCCTGTTGATGTGCTACATTTGTGGAGATGTTAGAAGTCCGTGGAACCCGAAGTAGAAATATTACTCCAAGAGTTACAATCCTACCTCAGGAACCGTTGATTGTAATGTATACTCTGTTCAAAATTCCCCCAAAGCTTCCACAATTAACAACAGTACTTCTGTAGAAAGGAGGTGATCGAAGTGTGGATTATGGAAACGAATAAACTCGTCCTAATTCTTTTCTCCACGAATTGAAATGACAAGAAAACAACCTTCATCGGAACACATTGAGTATAACACTTTGTTAGGGGAGCTTCGTGCAAATAATAAACCAATTCATTGAAAAAATATGATAGCCATAATAAACGACAACGCTATGCACAGGTTAAGCTCAAGGATACTGGGAGGGCTATGAGGTGCTGTCTATCTACAGTACGTCGATAACAAGATAAGTTCTTTACAGTCGAGTTTTTGAATTGTATAACAGCATGTTTTGGTCTACGTTTAGTCCAAGTCGCCATCTTTAGAGCCGCATCGACAAAAATCACTCGTTTGGTTTTCCACTCCTCAAACTCGACTCTCTGCATTTATGAAGACTGAGACGTCACTGTAGCGACTACATTTTATTTCTTTTTTATTTTACATGAGCCTTCTTTTAAATCTACTGTATCAATCCCACTGCACCCGATTCGTTTCCATGAATCTATCATCCATGAAGATCTTCTTCAGCTACTCGCCTTTTTTATGAACGTCGTCGAATGCTGGTCAAATTGATTCTCCCTGGAGTACTGGCATTGCCGAGCCACAGCGCTCCCATTTGGTTCGCACAGAGGGTTCCTTCCCAGACAGATCTGATACCAATTTCACCACCCCAGAGGGATGAAAGATTTCGCGAACCTGCTGCGGAACTGTAAGTCCTGTGAAGATGTCAATATCGCCAAAACGTCGGCCACTATAAAAATGAAACAGTCTGCCTAATAAGAACTAAAGACACTCTCAAAATACCCTGAGGCAGAACGACGACCGTTTCTAAACATACACAGGTTGTGTAGAAAAGTGGCACCAGTCATCAACGCTGACAAATTTTGAACGAACCCTCGTCTGATGGCACACATTGAGGACATCTATGTCAGTAATGTATTACGTATCTTGTTCCTATATGAAGCCGAAGAGTGTTCACCACTACTACGGATAAACTCGTCAGCTACATCCAGTTAAGGTGGTCCAAATTTGAACCCCTACATCATTGCTATATCCCAAGTACCAATATGCTTTTACTATGAGTAAAGTGAATATTTACTCTAAAGAACAGTTTGCCAAACATCTTCACATTAAACTATGGTATTATTTATTCTAACAAGACCTGATATTCTTTGAATGAGTGAGTGCACTACTGCGGTTGGATCGACTCAGCCTCACGCTAACCAAACCTTCCACCACTCAAAACTGGTAGACTGATACCAGATAAGGTGATAAAAACCCTTTATTCACCGGCAGGCCACCGCGCGCAATTATATGGGCTAGAATTCAGTCAACTCCACGATACTCGTTGATGTAGACTCCATGGCCCATCCCTCAGAGATTGACCAGTGGCGAAAATTCGATCCCTTACCTTTTATTTGCTGAATACTTATACAGTGTACAGTAATAATGGAGGAAATCTTCAAAGAGTGTCATGAATTTACCCGAGACGACAATTGGTATAAACAAAGACATCTATGGCTACGAAGGCTGAACTCATTTAAATACATTAAAGCATATCACATGTTTAAAACGATGGTGTGTGTAATATAAAGTATCGTTGTTCATGATATTTCAACGTCTTCAGTAAGCGATCAACTAAGGCAGTTGCCGTCACCGCCGAAGTCAGAGGGCTAAAGACGCACTGCAACTCGAATTTATCGGTCACCTGAAAGTATAAGTTCCAAATGTAAACCTTATTCTTACGGAAGAAAATTAACGTTACTAACCCATACTAAGATATTGTCCTGATTACGCCTCACAAACAAACAGCGCATATGAGGTTCTTCTCGAACCAGATGAGTAATCCTTTCGTACAACCTACGAGTGTCGTTACGCTCTTCACGTGAAACTAAAGGAATTCTGAAAATAAGAAAAATATGGAAACATTGTTTTCAGGACGTCCAAAGTAAAATGCTGATGCCTTGGTTTATAATTTCTTTCACAACACAACCAAATCTGCTCAGATTTTATCTAATGTTGGGGTCCACAGCGTTCTTCATATTTTATTTTCGAGCGCTATTTTGAAACAGATTGATGATGACGCTGGTTTCCATAATTGCTGACAATTTCTCGATAATATGAACATTTGGGGGCCGAGAATTTGACGGACTCCCCTGCGGATCGAAGGGTACAAATGGTTCTTCTAAAACGTTCTCTATGTTTTAAATCTGTTCAATGTTCAAACTTTTCGGAAGTTCAGCAAGAAATTAAAAACCGCTTGGAAGATTAAACATTAACGAACGACGTTTTCAAGGATTTCGTTTCATTCTAATGTGCGACGCCTTGTTTGTTAATTAATGCATTTTCTGGAAATACGTGCATCCGTGAAGAAAAGCAAAAAAGCGTCCTCCAGAAAATCAAAACATTATCGTGGAACAACAAGAAGACTTCGGACCTGCTGATAAAGTCCTCCTGATTCTATTTATTTCTATTTCAACTATTAAAGCTCAATATAGAAAACGAAGTACGTTCGCCTACAGCTGAGATGCTAAAGCCTGGATTAATCTCGAGAACGTATGCATTATATCGTTATAAGTTCGCATTGTCCCGACACTTTAAAATACTCAATGGGTTCAAGTGAGATGGAACCTTAACCGGACTTATCTTCTGAAATTTCTTGAAATTTTCAACACGGTGTGTTTCAACAGTAAACACATGCCCCACTACAAACTAAGCATTCCACGCTTTATGAACTACACCATGAAAGTTCCTATAGGATCTCTCTAACATTGGTTTGTTCGAGTGAGCCATTTAGATATGACAGATGTACAGAAAATTCCTCAAGGCTTATTTGTAAAAATGACTCGAAATAAAGTTGTAGATCTATTATACATAGAAATAATATGTGGTATATCCATAACTTTATTCCGAGCTATTCACATAGATAATATGTAAGCATATTTACATATACATGTATATGTATATATACACATCCGCATATATATAATGTATATATATATATATATCCTTCTTACGGTTTACCGCTTCGCCGTGGCTAGGAGGTGTTCCTGGGTGTCAGGCTGCGATGGAGGATGTAGGAGGATGAAACCTCCCAAAACGGTCTCCTAAGCTGAGAAGGGGCCCGGCATTTCCATCAGGACTCCTTGCTAAGAGTAAACCATTACCAGGATTTACCATCGTCGTGGTATCAAGCTAGTCGCATGGTGACAAATCTCCCTTTGATCCACAGGGACGGCGACTGCCCGTGATGGTGAAGACCTGGGACAGATTTTGGCCTGGCTGACCTCGGGACTCCAAAGAACCACAACGGCTGAACCAGCAAAACTCCGAAAAAGTGGAAATAATGCTGAGGCCTGCACATGCATTAAAGACGGGCCATCCAAGTATATGTGTATATATGCACTCACTTCATAGCTGAAATGCACACTTGTCGAGAAGCCCGATTTTTATAAAGGAACGACCATAATAGATCACTGCCACTACCAACCTAAAACTTAATGCAAATAGCAAAGGTATCATAACATGTAGATTAATGGGGCAAACCTGTGATATACTAAAGGCAACAGGAGAATCAATACACGACTGAAAACTGGAAAAGAACTTTGAGTTGCTCTCTATTTTCTCCACAATTCTTTTCTTCACCTAAAACACTCGACTTTAAATCTGAACTGCATGATGAAGCGATGGTACATTATGAGTGAGAAATTACGACGAACCTCGTTCAATAGATCGAAGTGATCCTTCTTAACAGAAAGTAGAATGAGGCAGGCCGCGCTTTCTTCCCAAGGAAAGGAAATATATGCATAGATAAATCCTCTGGATACAGATTTCATTGATTCCAAAGATCGAAGATTACAAATACCGCAGAAGAAAGAATGAATGTTGAAGAACTACCTATCATTGAAGTTTGGTAAACAAATCGGTGTCCACGTCTGTGCCTCAGTGATTCGTAGAGAACTATTCCCAGAAATCAGATTGAGAAGAATATGTGTGTCACGCGGATGCAAGATGTACTTCTTAAGTCGAACAAGTGCTGCCACTTGCCTATGAGCTATTATCAAACCAAAAAGAACTCCCTAAAGCAAAAGAACTCTGGTTTTTCTCATATATACCAAAATGTCTCTTCAAAAGAAAAAGAAAGCAGTAAACCAAACATCGAATTTAGAGGCCGTCAAACATGAAATCATCGTTGAGGATAAATATTCCCGGTCGGTTGACGACATTGGTAAAATTCGAATAGCTGACTGCAACAGAGAAATATCGCTACGCCAAGCCGACACACTACTGTCTATGTACCTAAAAAACAATTCCACTGACACCAGTAGAGTTTCCAACGAAGTAATACTTTTAAATACACCTAACAGATGACTACGTATAAACGGGAATCTTCGATGAACAATACAACTTGTTCCACACCTGGGAAATATTTCGTACGACGGTCTCGCATCGTGGTTACCATACTAGCTTGAGAACCTCTCAAAAGCACTTTATTCCAAAATTTATGTAAAATGTGGTTAACAATGGGTCCCACGAAAGGATAGTCGTGGGTTCGAATCTGGTCTAGATTTCCGGGTTTTCAAATATCTCAGCACCATTGTGGTTATATTTCACAAATACACAGTGCCATGAAAAAATATGTAGCAAATAAAATGTTAAACACGATGTAAAATTACTGAGAGTTCACCAATTATAAAGAATTGCCTAGAAAAGAACGCGGAAACATTTTTCTTCGTTAATGAAATATAGAAGCTCATGCAAAGCTCCTCCCTGTCCAAATTACTGCTTTCGTTTCACACCGGGTAACCACGAAAAAAAGCTAAATCAAACTTAATTCGTAAAACTACGTACCCAATAGAGAACTGCGCTTTAACGAGCTGCTATTTTATGTAATAATTAAATAAGAGTTTCATTTTAAAGCTCTACTAGGAGGAAGATTTTGATTTCAAGCAATGTTATAAAAAGTAATTTATTCATAAATCATCTCAACAGAGCTTTCTTCTACCTACTTGTCAGTCCCTCTCAATAAACGTCGCAAATCATAGTTATCTCCTTTCTTTTTATAAACAATATCAAGCTGTGATCTGGATAAGGTTGACACGATCTGGTCAAAAAGTATGTTCAACTGCTCATCAAGCTGTTCATAGGAGCGCGATACTGAAAGTACAACATACTCTCTCAGTGTTAAACATTAGGAAAAAAGGAACAAAAGATAAAACAAAAATCTGATGTGGATATGAAGCTAAGAATACATTTGGAAGTTAACTTCCTTAGTAGAACTAAGTCTAAAACCTAATGTTTGCTTCAACTATCACGCAAACATAGACATCAAGTGCAAAAACCACAGCTTACCAATGCATAGGATTAGAGAGGACCGATGGCAAAAACGCACATGAACGTCACCAGATGAGAACTGCAACAGACGGTCACCCCACAATTTAACCCTCGACACGAAAATCCCGATCAGAGCAAAAAGTGAGCAGAGCTGATCTTCATGACCACACCGGAAATAGCAATGAGAAATGCGACGATACATCGAGATGGGATAGAATCAAAGTGGAAATATTGTCTAATGTCAAGTGACCAATACCCTTAACACGAGCTAATTATGTAGGCTCCAAAGTGCGTAGCTTTCAAAAGACAATTTGAAGACGAATGATCAGCAAAGTGTGTAAAAAAAAATGGAACTTCCAACAGCAACGCATTACAATGGAGCAAAGACCAAAAAAGAACAAGATTTTGGAACTCACGAAACAAAAATAGGCCTTCCAAATTCCGATAAGACAAAGACTTGATATGGGAACATTGATAAACGATCAAGGACAGATTCAGCACTCATTTGCGTCTCAAAGTTGCTTTCTTCCGTCAGCTCAATCTAAAACTAACGGTTTTTATCCTGATTAAGCAATAACAACTGGCAAAACCGAGAAGCAATATTAAACTATATGAAAAAAAAGTAATGTCAGGATATGAAGTACATGTAGTCTTACTTGATTAACTGCCACAGTGGAGCTGTTCAAGCCCTGCTCGGATTGAGGTAGATCCACAGATTCATCGCCCCCCGGCGTAACATCTACCTCCAGCATAGTTAAGGAGGATAGTAAACCTTCTAGCAAACCGAGAAACTACCACATTTTGTCGGAGTGTCGACCATAATTTAAAAAAACTTCAAGTAGTATCGGAAACCGCTCATGTATTTCGAACAAAAAAAGAAAATGCAATTTATTGCATTCAGCATAGAGAAACATAAAGAAGTGAGATATCGAAAGTCTACCATTTAAGTGACATCCATACAGAATTTAAATTTTTGTCCAAATTGTAACTATTGTACGGTACTTTTCAGGACTCACAATTGGTGAAAAGTCACAGAGAGAAGTATTCCCTACAAAAATTTAGCTGGAGCACCACTGGAGCAAGCAACTGTTTTAAAATAGTCATAAACCGAAAGTTAAAACTGTTGGTCGCATCATAAACATTATTCGCTTAAGACATGCACCGCTATCAGTACTATTTCAACATAGTATTTAACTAACGTACGCTCTCGCACAAGAACTTGGAATTTCGATCACAACGAAAATCAAGCCATCGCTGTGGTGTTTTTGTTCTCTGGCTACTTCTGTGTTCAACGTATTGCTTTACCATCACTGGTTACTAATCGACGATACTTCTCGTTGTCCACTAGTCTGTAAATTGTTCAATAAACGATAGGATTCAGAAGAAATCAACAGAATAAGAACCCGCAGTCCAAAATACATTGTGTACATGAAACATGTAAAAGTTAGAAACATGAAAGATCTAAAGCGGACGTCGTGAAAAATGTTAAGTTCTTTACCGCGAGATTCTACCACAGACACCAATCACAATTCTGTACGCTCGAGTAGCGTTTGAAGATCCTAAACATATTGCATAAGAAATTAGTCCTCATTTAACTAATTTAAAGCACTGCTGAGAATTTTACTGGTCGGACATTTTTTTCTTTTCAGTTTCAAAAGGTATGACGATAAAAGCAGTTAGTTTGCTATCGCTTGAAAACTTTTGCGCCAAAACACTTTGTAGCAACCCCGTAATTCTATTTTTAGCGAGAGACTCGAATGAAAGGGTCCCCTGCGTCACCTCTGCGCACTAAAATGACCTACTTCTGAGCAGTGTGGACCGATATCATTACACTTATTGCATAAACCTTCCATCCTTAGTGAATAGGAGATATGGCATCTCCGAGTATCCCATCAGACTTTACCATGTAGACAACAGGTATGCCCACGGAGTTCCCCAAAGTGAACTAGTTTAAATTTAATTGTACCTCTGGTTAAGCTAACGGTTACTTCTGGTTCGCTTTCCACACTCTATCCTCCATGTCAGTATACAGTGTTGAAACCTACTAATAATCGCTCACAGATTACCTTTGGCCCGAGTTTAAGAACACGAACTTTCTATCCAGTAAGACAAAATTTTAACTTCTCAACAAAGACATACTCTTTGAAGAATGATATTCTTTGATAACGTTTCCTCTAGCATTCGTTGTAGTTTCTTATTCATTTCTTTGATGTCGTTTGAAGCATCATCCCCAGTTAAAGTTGTGGAAAGAAACTTCCGAAGCACACCTTAAAATGTTGCCAAGTGTCATTTAAAGGCATGGATACAATTTAAGAACGAAGAAAGCATCCGTGATATTTCAAAGACCGACTTTCCTATAAACTTGCTATGATTAATGAATATGTATTCTTCCATTGATAAGCTAATACGATGCAGATAAAGCAGTTTTATTCGGCTGACGTTTCGACGTCTTCGTCTTCTTCAGAGCTGGAGACCCAAGTCGAAAGTCCACAGTCGTTCGTACTCTCGATGTGGCGTGTTCGTCTTTGTACCAAGTCGGACCTTTCTTCAATGAGCACCGCTCGAATGAAACAATCTCATCCGGCAGTGCTACTTTATACAGAACGGTTGTTAATGATACTAATTGCCCACTGACAACAATTTATTTTTCAATGGAAAATCTATCCTCTAGCAATCTTAACCCTTTTATTTACCGCCTTTTTCTTTTTAATGGCAGGAGAGACAGGCAAAACGAAGGACCCGGATGGTGTGGTGGTGAAGTGCGCTACTCCCCGGTAAGGACAACATCGCGCGTTCGTTCCCCACCGCATACACCTGCGGTCCGGAGTTTTGCAAATATCTCAGCATTATATCCGAGTTATATCCTCTAGCAGTTACTTAGCACATAGCTAATCACTGTTTCAAAACCGAATTTCTTTTAAGCTCAGCATAACTAACCTATTCTTTCATTACGAAGAAGACGACGAAACAAGCGAATAAATCTTTTTGTCAACCTCGTGTTAGCTCATCAATGAAGGAATACTGACTAATCGTGCCGAGGTTAAGGGAAAATCGGTTCTCGAAGTACTAATTTGCTTTGTGCTAACTGATACAATGCCAACTGCAGGTGGATGGATTGTCCGTAGAAAAACAAATTATTATCAGTGGGTAGTCAGTTTCACTAATAACCATTCTATATCAAAGACAATCGCCAAGTGAAGCTACCTTATTCATGCGGTGCCCCATCGACTCGATACGACGACGAAAGCACCACATCAAGAGTACGAACGACTGTGAACCATCGACTTGGGTCAACAGCTCTGAGGAACATGACGACGTCGAGAGGTTAGCCGAATAAACCTTTTTGACAGACTTGTGTTAGCTTACCAGTAAAAGAATACAACTACAATATCATAAGAAAGGACGAGAAGTAGCGTTCCGGCCATTATGTCGTACTGAAATTAAACTACGTGGATTAATCTTTAAATCAGCAAGAAATCCCATATACTGACAAAACGCAGGAGTTTTCTTATGTTACATAACAAAAACTGGTCGATGTAAAAAAAACTAGTCTGAGCTCCCATGTCGCCGAAAACTTTGTTATTCCAATTTTACCACACATGTGGCAATGCTAGTTTTCGGAAAACTCCTAAGCTGTTTCAAATTCAAATTCAACTGCTAATAATATAAAAGAGTCAAAAAATAATTAGATCATGAGCGGCAGCAGCAAATACTAACGATGTATTGCGGGTAGTCGTCATGTTCTGCTTAATAAAACCCCACTTGTCCAGTCGCTTAGATATATGAGTGTAAACAAGTAAAAAGAAAAAAACTTCTATGGGCTTCTGACAACTGTGGTTTCATCGTGGCATAGTGCAGAAACTTCTTCCTTGTTTACAAAAACCTGTCTATTCTAATATTTTTATTCCAATTAGTTCATGAGTTGACAAGTCTGCCTAAAGCTCAATGGCGAAACTACTTCCAGCTACGTATGACTTCAAACCAATACATATCAGTTATTACTTATCGAATTAACATATATCAATTCATACTAAATTCAACAATTATAGTAAAAACCGTAACAATATATGTCTACTTGTCAGCTACAAATTTTCTTTTCCCGTCAAGATTATATTCAGGCCTCCTGAAGCTCACAAAATGTATACTTGTTTCTATTTCCCACCGCGGTGAAAGGGTGAAAGTTTCAAACAGCGGATAGACTGAACAAGCGGAATTTTGCTCAGAAAAAAATGATGTCCCCAAAAATAACAATGCCTGCACATCCCATGTTTGTGCTGAAATCCTTAAAAACAAAATTTCGCCTTTATTTTTCTCAAAAAATGAATTTTTAACGGACTTAAGGAGAGAACATGTCAGCAGCACTGACGTGCCCCGTTAGGACGATGTAGTAAATCTTCTTCTATAGGTTTGCCGTCTTTGAATTACACCCTCTCACTCAGAAATCATGAGAAATTATTTTAAAAAAAATCAGTAGTCTACTATGTACTCATTTTGCACTTCCTTTTCACCATATTCCTTGGTTACCTTCCTTTTTTCAATTCAGTCGGCGTTAACGTAGTTGCATCGTACAAACTCCTCTTCAGTTCCTAACACAGACAAAAACTACTACAAATATTAATGGAAACCATATAGCAGTACCTTCTGATTTTCTTGGTGATTCAAATCCAGTTCCAAACTTTAAAGGTTTCTTTCGTATCCAGTGTTCGATAATTTCGCTCTTCTCTTCGATTTCGCGACATAAACGAGCATTTTCACTTTCAAGTGTGCTAACCTGAATATGATTTAGAAACCGGTGGTGGTGAGATACAAACGTTTGTCACAGTACCTGCTATTTGATAAATAATATCCTCACCTTTAACTGGAAAATTGGAATTTACCTTGTCAAGAGTATCCGCATGTGTTTTTTGCAGTGATGTCAGCCTATTAATCAGTTCAACATTGTCCGACTCCAGAGCACTTGCAGACGACACACTCCGACTGCCAACACCATCCAGTGTCTAAACAATAAGGATCCAGTTATATAACCATTAGTTATCTGCTATATTGGTGTAACGGTTTATTACTACTTCACAAAATGCCACTGTGATATTGCCAACTAAGTTTTGCATATGGACACACATAGCATGTCTTCACGTGTCGTATGGAGCACAACATTGCTTCATTTCGATTTGCTTGACAACCGCCAACAATTTAGGTGATGACTCATCTACCTCATGGGCAGGCAGCGACCTGAGTACAAATTTACAAACTCCAGTAGTCACTGACATTTAGAGTTCTGATCGAGTGCGACTTTTCCCTGGCATCCCCTGATGCTAACAAGACCTGTTTTTTTTTTATTTTTACAATTTTAAATGACTCGTCGACATATCCACTGTGGGATTCGTTTTCTCTTCTGATTTTCTCTCACATTTGTCGTCTCTATAATATATATATATATATATATATGTATACATATATACGTATGTACATGTACTTATATGTCCCCCTAACGGCTTAGCGCCTCATCATGGTCAGGAGGTGTTCCTGGGTGACGGGCTGCAATGTACAACGGGGTGAATCATCCACCATCAAGGTTTCCCAAACTGAGGAGTCAGGCATTTCCACCAGGAAGCCCAGCTAGGAGTAAACCGATACCAGGATCAACCACAATCCTGGTATCACACTAGTTGCGTGCTGGCAAATCTCGCTCTGATCCACAAGGACAGCAACTGCCTGTGGTGGTGACGACCTGGGGCACACTTCGACATGGTTGACTTCGGGACTCCAGGTAAACACAATGGCTAAACCAGTGAAGCACCGAAGAAGTGGAAATTATGCTGGGACCTGCACAATAAGTGAGGACGGGCCATACAAGTATCCAAGTAGGTAATCTAAAGTGCTCGGCCTTCTTAAAGAAGGAATAAATCTCGACGACAAGTTCGTTTTCGAGTACTTATTTTGTTTTTAACGTCATTCTAAAATAGGGTATCATTTGATAACCTACTCTCAAGTGCTACTTGATAAGCACACCTGTGCGCTTTTCGCATCCATTTCGTCAACAAGGTGCCACTCCTTCTCTTCGTAGGAGCAGCGTCCAAATCTTTCCATAGAATCTGCTCGCTTCTTTTCTTCTCTTATAGCACGTTGCAACTCTTTTATTACCGCAGCCTGTTTCTTCAAGGACAAAGCCTAAAATGGACAACTCCTAGATTTTCAGGGAGATTTCCGGATGGAAATCCTGGTACAATCGCTATTTGGTAAAACGTCACCTTATCTTCTTCTTTAGCACTTAAAGAGGATTCCAAAGAAACTATCTTTTGCCTCATTTCTTCCCTCTCACTTTCGAAGCGCTCTAAACGATCCTCCAACTCCTAAATCAAATAATATTAATATAAATGATTGATGTTGACTTTTTATTTACTGCCTATTACAATTTTCTTTTGGGCTCTCCAGATCGATCCCGTTGACGCGATTGTTGATGGCGCCGATCGATAGAACTAGCTGAGAGGCAGGCGAACGAAGAACCCGCATGGTGTGGTGGTGAACGCGTTACTCCCCGGAAAGGACAATAGCGCGCTCGTTCCCTACCGCAGACACCTGCGATCCGGAGTTTTGTAAATATCTCAGCATAATTGTGGCTGAGTCACACATAAATGATTGAGTTATTGAAATGCAATGTCAAGCAAATTTATGAGCTCACCAGCTTATACCGGGCCTCAATTAGTACTCTTCCTTCGAACTCCTTTTTAGTGGCCTCTTCCAACACAGCAATTTTTCTTTTCAACTAAACAAAAACAAATCGAATTTTAAAAAGGAAGAATAATAGAACCGATACTCACTTCATCGCAAAGGATAGCAGATTCATTTTTTAACACTTGAACTTCATTCTCATGGTTCTCTTTCAGCGAATGCAACTTCCTCAGTAGTGACTCTGCCTCCTTAAAAAACGAAAGAGATTGATCTAGTTCGTTCGCGTGAAGAACAACAACGAAGTGAAAAGGAACGGACAGCATCCATTTCCAGTTTTTCTTTTTTCCGAGCTTTTTCTACTTCAGCAAGTCTTGCTTTAGTTTCTTCCAGACATGCTTCAATGGACGATATATTTTGTAAATTCTGAAAGCAGAGACTAAATAAATTAGTAACCTCAAATTCGATTTCGATACCTTTGTATGACACTGCAAATAAGTTTTACTACATCACCTTTTCACTAGTAAGTTTCCTCACTTCCTCTTCATTAAGAGAGATCCTATCCATTATCGAAGAAATCTCCTTCTCTAATAAGTCTCTGTCGAACAAAGACTGGGAGTCGCTAACATTTTCACACATGATCCTCTTGCTAATTGAAGAGATACAGTTCAAAACATAGGATAAAAAACTGTCCTTCTGAAAAATGGAGAAAGTTAAACAAAATTGGTTATTTCGCAATGATTAAAATAAAGGTGAAGGAAATTCGGATTTCCCAGGTTCTACCCGCCTCTTCTACATACTGATTGGAAAGCTGGAGCTCCTCTTTTAACCTAGCGATTTGTTCTTGCTGTTCTTGAATAAGCGAAGAAAATCTACCGTTGTCCAAACGAGACCCTTCCACAGCATGAGTAAGCTCGTCCACTCTTAATACATCACATATGTGATAAAGAATGAAACTTTCAGCAATTTAACCGCTGATAATTCACTGCACGAGATTGCCAAAATTTCATCAAACTTATAATCAAGCGCAAAAGAACATTTTAACAGATAACCACTCACTTGTCTTTGTGCTCAAGAGCTGATACCAATGTTTCCTTCTCTAGCAAATTCAATTCCGCTTGTTCCAATTTTGCAACGATGTCAGCCTTTCCTTCTATGAATGACATATTAGAAAATCACGCACGATAATAAAGTGACGTAAATGGATAATAAAAAAACAAACCACTTTCGCAAGTCTGGTTATCGCAGGATACACGCTGCAACGAAGCATTTTCGATACTACCACCTTCAGAAAGTGAAAGATCTAATTCAGATGAAAGTCCTGATTAGAGAAAAAATCAGTTAGGTGCTAAAACGCAAATTATTCTAAAAATATTGACATTCTACTAAAGTAATTAAAAACATGCTAGCAAATTAAGAGAGAACATAAAAAGAAACAAGAAGTCAAAATTCACTGGGATCAAAACCACTTTAAGAGTTATTTTTAAAAATCCTATAGAATGGCCTTTCAAGCTGTGAAGTAGGTCAAAATTCTCGACTGAACGCTCAACTAGAAGTAAATGAGGGTCTGGAATCACTGCCATACTGAGAATAAGACAGCCAGTAGATGTAAAGTGCTGACGACTGGAGCCGGAACTAAGCGCAAACAACATTTCCGATTCCAGGAGAATAAAATCTTGTTCAACTAGTGAACTATTAATCAGACTGAAAACACCCGGAGCTTTTACGATGACTTGTGAATCGTAAACTTCAATTTAAAAAGTCTACATTATAACCTCAACCAATACTCAGTATATCCTCAGATTGCCAGCCTTTTAGTTTCAAATAGCCTAAAACAAAACACACCTTCTTGAGGGCAAAACGACCCGGCAGCCCTGGACTGTTGAAGTTCCTTATGCATGTCTTCATTCTGACAGACGACCTGATACGGAGTGTTATAAAATACACATTCCATTAAACGAGAATATGTTAAAGCTCGCTAGAAAATATAAATAGAACTCAAAAACTGTTAATACGATATTCATTCACTATAGCCAACAATTGTGAAGGCTTCGTTTTCGCAAACGCTGGCTAGCGTCATGTTAATGTGCAGTCTACTCGGTCTAATACTTCCATAATCTTAACGCAAAAAACTCAAGACTTAGTTACCAAACGCATGGTAGGCGGAGTTAACACAATCACGGCAACTCGGAGAAATTATCCAGTCACAGTTCACATGGGATGAAGGATGTTGGTATGCCAGGTCAAAAAATTAGCCTTACATATAGGGTGTGGACAAGCGTAATCACCACACCCTTGGTTGTTATGTCTTTGTCTCCTTTACATTTTTACGCAATTCCTTCCTCTTCTGGATTTTTTTTCTACTTTTACCCACATTTCTCAGCCACTATGCAGTGGAGTAATTTTACTATGTTTAGGATTTCTATGCAGATGTTATTTTGTATGAACACAGAATGGTCTACCCGTTTCGCCAATATAGCTGTCGCCATGTAGTATGGATCCATTTTTTAGACATTTTTCATTGCAAATGAACTAACTCCACAAATGTGTTCTTTCTTTGATAAGCTTATAGGAAGCTGATAAACACTTCTTATTCCGCCAACGTTTCGACGTCTTCGAGCCGATCGATGATTTGAGACGATAGTCCACGGTTGTCTCAATGTGGGGGCTTGGCCTTGGTATCGAGTTGTGTCTTCCTCAGCGGATCATCTCCCGAATGAGGCGTACTCATTCGGTGATGCTCTTTTATACAGAATGCTGCTGGCTGCTAGTGGTGATTGTCCGGTTACAATAACTTGTTTTTTGCGGACAATCCATCCTGCAAAAGTCGGTGTCATTTTCAGCTAGCAAAGATTTTCCTTTAACGTCGGTATGAATAGTCAACACGTATTGTTTCCTTTGTTAAGCTTAGATGAGGTTAATAAACAATCTTTATTCGGTTAACGTTTCGAAGTCTTCGTCTTTATCAGAGCCAACGGTCCAGTTCTGATGAAGACGAATGCTGTGCTCCAATGAGGAGTATCCAACTCGATACGAAGATGAAAACGCCATATCGAGAAGGCGAACAACTGTGGACCATCGACTCGGATCGTCGGCTCTGATAAAGACGAAGACGTCGAAGCGCTAGCCGAATAAAAACTGCTTATCAACCTCGTGTAACCTTATCAAAGAAAGAATACATGTTCATTAGTAATACCGAGGTTAAAGAAAAGTCAGTTTTGAGATAACACCACACAGGTGGTCTTCCTTAGTAAACAAATGGTTGATACCCAAACAGCGGTGGATGTTTTTGACCATGACGAGTAGTTTCGTATAGCGGACACATGGAAACACGCGCAATTCTTTGCGGCGCGCATTAGAATCGGTGCGAGCCAGCCACAATACCCTTTTCTTGTTCCTTTCTAACAGACTACCTGATAAGTAGTTCTACGATACGGCTGTTCCGTGTACGTTATCGCTGATTCCCGTTAAACTTACATTCTACGTGTGCAATATGTTTCCTTATGATCTTTGTACCCTTCCACATTTTTTGAACAGCTTTTACAAAAAGGACAAGAAAAGCGTACATAATATAACCTCTAGAATATCGTTCTTTGAGTGTTTGTATGATATGAGGAGTCTGTACCGCTGTTTTTTACATTACCACCACCGGCTAAATATTGGTATTGCGAAACACAACCACAACGTTGAATTATTTCCAAGAGTTGGCCACAAACCAGGCTTGAACACCCGATTACCCTTTCTGGTAGCAGAAAGGGAAAGCAACGGCTTCAGTGGTGCAGTGGGTAACACGCGAGCCCCCGAAGAGGGTAACCGCTGGTTTAAGTCTGGTTTGGGGTCGAAGTTTTGCAAATATTTCAGCATCACTGTGGTTTTATTTCACATAATACCCTGCCATGAAAAAAAACAATGGGCAATCGATATAAAGTTAAACAGCTATTATGATTCATGAGAGTAATTCCAAAGGAAATAATTACCAATTACTGGCTAAGAACCTGTGTAGGCCTAAACAATGTCAACAGAAAACGGGAAGTTCTTATCGAGAATGAATAGGAAGAAGCTGAAGATGCTAAGGAATCTCTTGAGGTATGCGTTGATCAATGTAAAGGAATGGAATCGAAAGATGAGTAGACAGATGGTTACGATTAGCAGGAAAGAAGAATATTATTTAGCATTATATCGCAAACCGCGCGTACATCGCAGTGATTGGAGACGCCCTGCAATACAAATGGGATCGAACCCCCCGCGCACCAGGCTCACCAAGTCTTCAATCCCTCTGGAGTTGGCAAACTGGTACTAGACCTGTCCGGTAAGATAGCAGCATTGACTCGATACAACAGTAGGCCAGTCATTCTATGGGCCAGAAATGCAACCAGTCATCTCTGCGGTGCTTGATGAAGTCGAATACGAATACATCCTCAGGGATTAATCAACACAGAGCTTTTTCCTTTTTTATACTTTATGGTGGATATTAAAAATGCTCGATACTTCTTGCTACGTTCCATTCTGGATTCGCCTTGTTGTATAAACCTCGAGCGCTTGGTTAACTAATCGGGCCAATCACCTCCGTCACAGGGATTGTTGTCGTCCTTGAATAATCCGAGTGCAAAGCAGCGAATTTCCCTTCGATTCACAACGGCATGCAACTCTTTGTTGTGACGACCTGAGAACGCCCTAGTTAGGTTGTAGCGGGTTTCCAAGGAAAACCGCGCTCGACCAGTACTTCACATGTTGGAGAGAGAAAATAGAGGATGATTCAAGCATTAGCTAGTGCGCCACATACGAGCCGGGACATTACCGGTTGGATGACGGTAGCAAAATAAGGAAACAAAAGGAAAGTATGAAGACGGAACCATGTATGTGGACCTGTTACAATCTATACGACCACGATCCATCTTTGGAGATCGCCTGGAGTAGAACAACGAACAGTTGCACAAACAGGATGTTTGTAGTACGAAATAATGAGCGAGAACCTTCATATGTTAAGCACTGTTTTGGTTCACCTGCGTTTAGAAACGCTCTTTTTCCTTGTTAACTTTTAATTTTCTCCCTACTATAATTTTTCACGGCAGGGTATGACGTGGAATACACCCACAACAATGCTGAGATATTCGCAAAACTTGGACTCTGGGCCAGAGCGAACCATGATTACCATTTGCGAGTGCTCGCGTATTACACATTACACCACGAAGGCCTCTAGTCTGCGTTGGCATTCTTCTTCTACTTCATCTTAATCTTTTCTTTAGCACCAATTTGCACCAGTCCGCTCAAGTGTAGAATTTTACAGATTTGAATCATACCGGTGAAAAACTGTAATTTTTCTTCGATCGACTTCTCGTATACAGGGATAACGTAGAGGTTGAGGACGCGTAAGACGTTATCACGATAATATTAGCAGTGAGTGGTCAAATTTAACTTCTTACGGGACCATGATCTTTGATGGCGGATACCAACCACTGGTGAACGGGTTGATATATAGACTGTAACTTTGAAAGAAACGAATAGATGTGTACAAAAGACTAATGGTGGAGAGCAACTCTTGAAGAGACGAAGAAATTCTTTACTTTGAAAGAAACGAATATATGAGTACAAAAGACTAGTGAAGGTAAGCAACAACTCTTAAGGAGATGAAGAAATTCATTATTCTGTTCCCTCAGATGGAAATTAGATCATCACGATTGCAGGATTATTGGATCTCCACTGCAGCTTCTAGAAATCCTGCGGGACCCTACTTCGTGTATCAGGCCGGCCTTTTTTTACAACTACGTGAAAAATGAATAATAAAAATACAAATATTCTTTCACCTAGTCGCTCAAATATGTTTGGAGAACGGATGGAGGATATACGACTATAATGTGCAGGACATCGCAATGAACAACTTAACGGGTAAGCCTAAGTGATATTCCGAAAGTTAGGTGGGCCGAACACATTATCCAACGATAATCGGTGGAAAGAAACCGATATCGACGGGATGACGTCAAGTGCACAAGAATAACGACCTAATGGCAGCGCTCCGTCACAAATATCGTAAATAAAAGAAATATGCTTTTCGAACCATTCGAGCACCAAAACCTAACATGACTCTTGCGTACGACATGAGGAAATGGAGAATGAATCGATGATCAACGAGATGAAGGTGGTATAAAATTTATTTATAACACTTCTATCAGCTCTCGCGTTAAACTCTTCTGGGAACCAGGAAATCAGTGGCCGCGTAGATCAACAGTTTGCATGCACACATCCACCTAAGTGCCGAAGCAATGCAAGCTACACAGCATCTATAAGGAAAAACAAAGGATAAAGCTCTCGGTGTTGATAAGTCCCTGAGGGATGCGCCATGCATTCGACTTCATTAAGAATCGTTTGAAGGTGACTGAATGCATATTTATCCCTAACAGTGCCGCGGTGGCATACTAATGTATCGAGCCAGTGCTGCTATCCTCTCAGACAAGTCTAGTACCAATTTGCCGACCCCGGAGGGATTGAAGGCTCGGTGAGCCACGGGCTCGGGGATCGATCCTATATATGCATGACTCCCTCGACCACTGTGTTACACGCGCTCTTGTATGCGTACTATGCATGTACATAACATTGACAGCGACTTTATGAGATATTAAAGTAATTTCAAAAACCTCCAATCAAATGGGCGAAATAGAAGAAAACCACCTTATTCAATTCTGATAGAAGGGTTTCTTGCTGCAGACGGAATTCCTCTTCCTGCGTGGTTAACTTCATCCTAAGCGCATCCAACTGTGTCTCATATTTCTGAGCGAGCTCCTTCTCTTTCTCACGTCGATTCATGAGCTGTAACAACACCATTGAATTTAAGTGACATTTCTTCAGAAGGAAAGGAAAAAACCTAGCTAACGCTACCTTAGTCGCAAATTGCAACGCCTCCGACTTTGGCGACATTAAGGTGGCGATTTCTTGATTCTTCTTTTGCAAGCTCTCTTGCAGTTCATAATTCCTGTTTCGCAGGGCAATCAATTGTTCTTGAAGGACCAAAAATTCCGCTCTTGACAGACCTCCACTTTCATCCATAGGCTTGCAATACACTCATAGGAACACAATCGTGGCTTCCGGATATGGTAGTTCGACGAGAAACCTCAAGCGTAATCTATGTATACATACATCCACCACATTTACATATATGTGACATGCGTGTACACTATGCGAATATGAATACACACATACACATGGGCACACAAACATATACGTATATAGATTAAAAAAATACGTATATACACAGGATTGAAATGCACAGCAGGAAGATTCATCCCACAGCAGGGTCTCCCAAGCTAAAAAGGAGGCCGATGTTTCCATCAGGAAGACTAGCTAAGAATAAACCAATACCAGAACCCACCACCGTTCTGGTACCAAACTAGTTGCATGCTCGCAAATTTCCCTTTGATCCACAAAAGCGGCGACTACCTGAGGTGGTGACGACCTGAGACCTTGGTCAGGTTGTCCTTAGGACTCCAGTGAACCACAATGGCTAGACCAGCAAAACTCCGAAAAAATGGAGATTATTCTGCGGCCCGTACAAGAAGTGAGTACGGGTCATCCAAATATCCTAATAAGTATATATACACATGCATATACATATGCGAACATATAAATAAATTAAAAATAAAGAATTAAGTTCTCGGCGGTGATCAATCCCTGAGGGATGCGCCATGCATTCCACTCCATCAAGCATCGCTGGAGGTGAATGAATGCATATCTGGCCTTTACAATGACTCGCGGAAGACTACCGATGTATCGAGCCAGTGCCGCTATCCACTCAGACAAGTCTGGCACCAATTTGCTGACCCCGGAGGGATAGAACGCTTGGTGAGCCACGGGCGTGGGAATCGATTCTATATGCATGACGCCCTCGACCACTGCGCCATACGCACCCTTCGTGTACATATACCTATATATAATTCGTGCACTACATATTACATGTATGTATACACGCGTATATACACATGTATACACTACAAGTGAAGTCCACCTAATTAAAATCAAATTTTAAAAGCTTTTGTGTAATAAAACAACATCACCACCTCCATCAACAACGAAGCATAAATCACACATGTATTATTGTTCAGAACATACACGCAAAGCCTAACAAATCAGTCAGCTCGCGTCCCTGTTAAGCCAACGGGAAGTTCGAATCGTCACCAATTCGCCCTATTGAAGGATGTCCACACTCAGACAAATGAAGTAAACATACAAAGCACGGAAGAATGATATCTTGTCTGCAATTACGGACAACATTATAGCCATATCAGCGATGCTGACGCAGTCCACTCTGATCATGACAGTTGTCGCTGGGCTGCTGCTAAACCCACTGTCCGGGTATGTGTGGTCTTTAAATTTCCATTTTCCGTAAAGTTGAGTGTTGAGGTCATGAGAGATACCTACAGAAATGGTGTTTGTATTCGAGGGGTTTATATCGCGAAAAGTTTTTATGGTTGTCTGAATAAGGTTATCTACTGTTGCATCGCCTACATTTGCCAGATAGATAGCTATCCTTAATACTTTCGAATTCCTCTATCGTTTGTCCATACGCTGTTCTATTGAGACTTCTCTTCCAGGCTGTAGTGTCCGCGATGGACGAACCAATAGTGATTCAGCTCAGTCGTCCTGAGGTATTCTTATTAAACTCACTTGCATTAGTATCACTACTGCACTTGCCCTTGTGAATTCGTTCTCAGATTACCTACTTTGTTAGAATATTTTAAGGTGTATGTGAACCATATATCTTTTGGTGGAAGGGATGCTGTTGCGGCGACACTCAGCAATGACTTCATACACTTAGTAGACTTGGAAGCAAGGAAATCGAAACAAACTTTGGATGTTGCGAAAAGAGTTGTTGGGATTCACTTCGATCTCACTGGAAACCCGAGTGGGTGATTTTTATCGTAGTGTTTAGTACTTATTCTGCTATGTATCATTATTTACCTGTGGATGACAACTAGGTAGTCGTGAAGGTGTTTAGTTCTTCGTGCTGTTGATGATTCATTCGGAATCCACTTATTCGACGTCCGTGCAGGCTCTAAGAAGAAGTCGAGGTATGTGAGAACTGCATCTTTTTCTGTTTGTTCTTTTACGTATCCATCTAATTGGATGATTAACACTCAGTGGACGTCACTCACGTAACTTGGACTTTTAAAAGTTATGAAGCCATCAGATACGAAAATCTTCGAACCGCTCGTGAATCGAACCGTGAATTGATTATAGCATTAATAACCAGCACTGAAAAAGTATTCTTTTTGCTTAGTGCAAAAGTAGAGCGTGAGTCTTGACTCGGCTATCTCCAACATTGCGAGAAGAACCGCATTTCACGACTTTCATAAAGAAGACAAAAGCCTCAACTAGCATCCGAACCTTACTTGGATAATTGAGTGGCCTTTCTTCACTGGTTATGCGGGTCCCAGTATAAACCCCATTTTTTAGAAGTGTTGCTGGCTTAGCCGTTGTAGTTGCGTGGATTCCTGAGATCGGCTAGATCGTCTGCCCCAGGTCGTTACCACCACCAACAGGTGCAGCCCTTCTGGATCAGAGAGAGATTTGCACCATACAACTAGTTCGTTGCCAGGACAGTAGTGGATCCTGGTATTGGTTTACTCTTAGCTGGGCTTCCTGGTGAAAATTCTGGACTCCTTTTCAATTTGGAAGACTCTGCCGGAGGAATGAATCGCCACGCTGTACATCGCAACTCCACACCCAGAAACACCTCCAGACCGCGATAAGACGGCAAACTGTTTAGAAAGCGTCTGAAACAATGGACGAAATGTTCAAAGACCTTTGTGGACGATAATGCAAGGAAAACGAATCGAATACAAGAAATGCTGGGACCGGCATAATATATATGATGAGGATCATGTTAAAAAAAAAAGAGCCGTTAGAATATACATTTTTGCTCGTAAGTTGCAAGTTTATTTGTCCTGGTGACTTAAAGTTCTAATTTGCTGGAAGCGACTTGCGACTTTTTCGACGTTGTTTGTGTTCGTGTTGTCGAGCTTTTTCATACCAGAAGCTTGGATTTTCCTTGTTCGCCGTGTCTGGATGAATACGTTGCAATGTTTATGAGGCTCAATCGAATTCGTGGCATTGCTGATCTGTTGTGGTCACTTCGCTGTTTTAGAAGGCGTTGTATCATGTCATTTCCTTTACCGAAAACGAGAAAGCGAAAGCGATCTTTAGTGCAAATTGGGCGTTAGGGAATACCGAAGACCTTAGCGTCTCTCCAGTCACTGGATTGAAATCATCTATTGTCATAGAGCATCCGTTTGAAGTCATATATTACAAATATTTGGGGAGTCTTCGCCTCCATCTTGTAAAAGAAATGTGGCGGTCCTAGTTACAATCTCGCTGCCGTTTATTCATTTCAAGCGCCACGCATGTAGCAAGTGACCACCATCTTCTCTACGGTACGAAACTTAAGGAGCTATGCGTTCGAAAGCTCTTCCCTGTTCCACGCTTTGACGACATTTCGAGTTGCTGCGGTTGCTTCATTACAACTCATATGGCTGAGCCACACAACTTCCATGATTAAGAGGAATTTTTAACCAACTTAGAATAATTTCCAAATTTAGGTGAACTTAATAAATAATTTACATGCTAAGTAGAACGGTTTATAGACAACAAGTTCACGCGAAGACGGGGCGAGGGATATCCATATAAGCAAGTACGGTTTCATTAAAGATTTATTGCGGTAAGCCTAACCACCCAAAAACGAGCCTCCTTTGAAGAATCGCCGGACTGCAAGAGACCGCTCAATCTCGCTGTCAAAAGCTTGTAAAAAGAGTTCTACTCAAGGTAGAAGCGGTGATGGAAACTCTGGATAACCCGACATCGCTATTCAATGCATGCAGATTATTCGCGAGTTATATAACACTTAAACAACCAGACTATTACCATTCTTAGGCTTTCTTCCTTTGAGGGTCACAAAGTGTATCTTTTTGGTAGGACCTTTCCACTCTTGGACAGTCAAGTAACCAGTACTAGTTCTACGGGGTCTGCCATAGCGTGTTTTGACTGGCCTTTCATTGTCTCATTTCCAGAAATTTCGATTTCCCTAACTTAGATGAGACTCCTGAAGAATAATTCCTCAGCAACATGACGCAGTTCGCTACACAAACGCGTCCACGTTGAGGTGGTATATCATAGGTGGGAAGAAAATATTCGTAGTGGCGATAATTGGAGAATCTTTATATCTATACTATCTAGGTGTGCTATCTATGCTAGTATCTGTGCCAGTAATAAATTTCTCCAACTTCCCTTGAAGATACTAGGAGAAGACCCTTAAGGTTTCAGCTTTTAAGGTGTTGGATTATAACATAACCAATAATTTTGTTTACGTTCATCATTTATCTGTACTATCTAGGTGTACTCTACACTACCTACCCTATACCCTTGCGTATTTTCGTTAACTCGTTCGCCTACAGTTTTCGAATGTTAGGTCTGTCATGTTAGCCGTGTATTTTTGCAGTGTTTATTTAGAGCTCCGTTTTTCAAAATTAAGATAACGTCCGTACTTCTATTTTCAATCACCAAAAATTGTTCGTCGTTGTATTTTAGTGTCTCGCAAGTCTGGTCTTATTTACATGTGTAAGACAGCTGAGCTACCTCAATTGCTTACTCACTCACTTAACTGAACTACTGCGAATATCCTCAGCTGCATTAAGCATTTTTTTCTCCCGAATGAAAACACCAGCTAGTGGAAATCTGCTTGCTGTTCACACATGTGAGGCTCTTTTACGGAAACATTTTTAATTAACACATTTAGGAATTTGTTTTGTCGCTCTGAGAGTGCACAATTTCTTCTGAAATGTTTTTTTTTTCGAAATTCAAGCTTTAAAATAACTGGAAAGTAAATTTAAGTTTTAAATTTTTAGGGCAAGCGCGGTTGTCGAAAACCAATATATACTGAGCTGCACCTTCGTGTTTTAATAGACGGAATCCCTTCCACAAAAGTTGTTTGACGTTCGAAATGTGCAAGCAAAAGCGATGGAATTCAAACAAATTATGTTTTCATCATGCTAGAAAAAGAAAATTTTTATTTCGCAGGCAAATATTTGTTGTTAGTAGCGTTTTTGTCTTAGTCAGTAGAACCATTATTTTTGGATACTTAATGAATTAAAGTGAATGTTTATAACAATAAAAAAAGAGGCTGTCGGCATTGATCAATCTCTGAGAGATGCGCTATGCGTTCGACTTCGTCAACCGTCGTTACAGGATATCGAGTGCATATCTAAACTAAATAATGAATCATTATGAAACAGAAGAGAATTTCGCGTATTTCTTCATTACCAGTATGTTATGTGTTCAGGACTATTTGAGATTGTAAATTCGTAACCTTTTGCCACCATGTCACTTCAGTTAAAACGAAGTTTCTCATTGAAGGTAATGTAGTTGGCCTATTTCCACAAATTATTTTGATTATGCGGATTTCCCATTCGCTTTAACCCATCGCACCTGTTTTTAATGGAGATAGTTGTCTTAATGCATGTTAGTTGATGTTATCCACAGAACGTCTTCTGTATGCTAATAACTCTGTCTCCTCTTTGTCGTCGTGCTAAGAGGTAACAGTGACAGAATGAAAGACTGATGTACCGTCGGTCACTTCAGTTTACTAGGCGTGTATGTCATTTCACACATTGATCATCATTTCGTAGCTCGTTCCTTAGATTTTGAAAATCGCGCTCCACAGTTCTTAACCTTACATTAATTATTAGAGCTGGTCATGAGTTCGGCGAATGTACACAATGTCTCGGCAAGTTGCAACGAAATTCGATTGTAGTTCTATAGTTCGGTGACATGTAAAGGTTTTGCTATTCACTACTCGTATGTTAAGCATCATTATTCATATGACGGTTTAGGAAACTATGTTGTGGAATCGATCACAAAATTCCAACAAAAACATTTATATAGCGGATAATCTTTCTTGTGCCAAAGGAAAAAGTCCAAAATGTTTCAAAAGCATGGAAAAATCTATGGAAGATTCTAAACATAAGATATATAGAGGAGGATTCATAAGGAAAAGCACGATGAAAATAGTGAAGCCATTTGCTTGGTAGGGTGTAATGACCGGTACGAGTTCCTATCCACTCATAGTCAGTGAGCCGAAGAACTGAACGTTAAGTAGACGAAATGCTTCTTATAAACTACAGTAAAAGGCTTTCTATAAACTATTAAGTGTAGAGCATAACCGTTACTCCATTGGGAGTCGTTTTAATTGCGTCATCGCTGAAATGATATGCAAATTATCAGATCATTCTCAATCATTGTTGAATTGTGGAATTAATACATCATAGTAAAAAAAGGAACTTAAGTCGGTTGATTGCCTAGTTTGAATTTATCGTTGGTATGGAAATGCTTTTTTATCGAATCATGACATCGTTTCAGAGTAAATCCCATTATGGAAAATCATGAGGTGGTTTGTTCGGCTTGTTCGGAACAGTACATTGCCTTGGGTAGCTCCACTTTCGTTTTGGAAAATGAGGAAAAGAAGAAATCTAAGGTATTTTATTCAGTCGACCTCTATGCTTGTTGTTATCAAGGACTGTAATCGTCTTTTGGCTTTTTGTAGAAAGCGGAAGCATGTGGTGATGTTGAAACGGATGATGAGGACGATGAACAAAGTGAAGCGGAAGTAAATTTTCATTTTTACAATCATTCTCGAGAGCTTTCTATTGGTTTCGTTCAGGTCGATCCGAATGCTAATCCCCATGTAATTTCTGTTTTTGATCTGAGAAAATGTACTGATCCTGTTTTAACGATTAAGGTTCGTTTTTGTCTTTTTATCATTTTTTTGTTAATACATTCGCGACGACGTAACCTGCATGGAGGTCGAATGTGACATAGTGAGCCACTATAACCTCAACTGAGGTCTTTCCGGTGGTTTATTTTGGTTGACAGAAGTTTTGTCTAAACTTATTTTAATTAGTTGATGGCTTATCCAATGCAGATGTAAGGCCACAGCTCGTCCATGAGAGAGTGTCATGCTAATAATTCATTTACTCTTTCATTCAGTGGCGAGAAACTATTGCTGTTGAAGAGAGTGTGGTCATTAATGAGGCGGAGAAATGTCTGTGCCTTGAAGAACTGGTATCGCATGCAGTGTATAACGGCGTTTTTGGGAAACGGTTCTTTGTTTTCCAATTTTTGTTCGCTCTGATGATTTCGGGAATTTTTTTGAATGAAGGTATATGAAAACGGAAAGGTAAATATTGTAGTATTCCTTGTAGAACTTGTACAACTTCCAACGACGGACTTTATATTAACCTTGGTATTGATCAAATGATCCACTATATTCTTGAGGAGCAAACACGAGGTGTTACTTTGTTTCTCTATTGACGAATAAGCTGACGTTTCAGCGGATTTCGCCTTCTCGACAAACTGGAAAGTTCAGGTTGACTGCAACCTACCCAGTCAAACACCTTCATAACTAAACAGAAAACACTGAATCAAGATTTCAATCGCTTTGTAAACAAAGTAGCTTCTTCACACACTCTAGTCGTCCACTGCATATCCCACATGGAGATCAATCGCGGAGTTCACATGGGAGCGTAATATGCCTCTCACATTAAAACATCAGCCTTAAATACTGTACGAGATCTTAAATGATAACGAGGCGTTCCTCCTTGCAGTTCATTTTTGTATTCCTGGAATCCATCCAGAATACTTCGAGAGTTCTGCGCGCTGAAGTTTTCGATTCCTGTCCGAGACGATAACTTCTATATCGAAATTTCCTCTATTATCTCTGTGTGTGGAGTATCTTGTTTAAGGTTGCATACCAGGTTTTCTTTCATACGGACGCAAAGAAGTGTATCCCTCTCGCCAATACTCTCAGCACGCTTTACAAGAGGTCAGATAAACTGCGCCCGAACTCATGCGACCACGGCTTGTACCGTTAGGGCAAAAAACTACGCAATTTTGTGTTGTACATAGACGGTCATGCAGACGGTTGCCAACTCTGCTGGCGTCTTAGAGTACTCGGTGGTATTTCAATTACTGTTACCGAATTCTTTAGGTCGACCCTACTTAAGCAAAGTTTTACAGGTGCACTTATCTTACTTGAAATGAAGGGCAGGACAAACGGGACCTTATTATCGCTAGGATTGTCGCTTGGAGGCTTGGGTTTTTCTTTACAGCTATTCCGCGGAGCTACAGTTTTGCAGCCATTAAGAATGGTTGTTTGTCGCACCAGTTTCAGGAATTCCTCGCTCTGCTTTCTTCTTTTGCACACACTGATGGCTGTTCGAAACATGTCTCTCCCAAGCGCCCTTTTCGTGCGTGAAGGGTGAGGTAATGGACCAGTATGTTTTTACTACTTGGCTTTCGGTACCATTTGGTGATGTAGCCGTTTTCGGATAGTTTAATTTGAATGTTCAATAGTGATAGCCAGTTTCCTCTTGGTTTCTCTCGGATAAACTTAATGTGCCTTTATCGTTTGTACGATAACTCAAAACATTTGCTCATTTTACCTTGTGTGGAGCAAATGACAAAGCGAGATTAGGGCGCGTATGACGCAGTGGTCGGAGACACACTACAACACACGCGTGGAATCGATCTCCGCGCCCATGATTCACCAAGCTTTCCATCTCTCTGGGGTCGGGAAATTGGTACCAAACTTGTCTGGAAGGATAACCGCACTGTCTCGATACATTGGTATGCCACCGCGGGATTGTAAACGCTAGATATGCATTCAGTTCCTCCAAACGATGCTTAATGAAGTCGAATGCATGGCGCATCCCTCAGGGATTTATCAACACCGAAAGCTTTATTTAGTTATTTATTATGCAAGTGTATATATGTGTACATGAATTTACTTATACATATACGTATATATATGTACATGCATGTATACATAATTTACGGTCGGTCATTATATATATATACATACACATATATACATGTATATATATGTAGGAGTAATGGCCGGTCGTAAATTACTGGACCTTTCATCTTGGATATAAAGGCAATGGCAAGGCTTGGTGCCAGTCGCTGTTCCGTTGCCAACCCTGTCATTTGTGCGTAATGTTTTCCGAACCATTCGAACATTGAACAGTTTAGGCACACTTTTAAGAGGGTCATCATCTGCTGAACAGGGAAGCCATAAATGTGTCTTGCTTCTTCGCGTTGTATAAGCAGTTTGAGGATGGCTTGCATATCAGAGTCACTGGACGCGTTTGTATAAGGGGCAGTGGTGTCAAAGGACTCCCTCACCTGGGGAGGACGCGCATTTCATAGGCCATCAAAAAATATATGGGTGTTCGTAAGATGAGACTAGTGCTTTAACAACTGGTAGATGTTAGGGTTAAAACCATGTTATTCTGCCCGTTGGTCCGTCTACACAGCTAGCGATAGGTCTAACCTTGAATATTGATGGAACAGCAGGCACAAGATCATCAGTCGATACTAACTTCTGAGTTCTGATAAATAAGTATAAGATGAGGCATGTTCGTAATTCGGCTTTGAGTTGAGAGATGACTAATGGTTTCAAACCAGCCGTTTTTGCCACTTTAACCTACTCGTTGTTAAATTTTCGGTATTGACTTTTGACTTCCTTTTCAAATGATGGACGGTAAATGGAAGCATCTTCAAAATGCTCATTCGTCATCTCAGCATCTAAATGATGAAGGATTATTACAATTACTGCGGGCTCTCCATTCTTCTCATTAACAGATAGTTTGATGTTTTTTGACTCTTTTAATTCTCGTACCTCATACCACATTTTTGGATTTCTGTGAAGCTGGAGCCAAAGCATATTTTCTGTTTGGTTATATAGATGTTTTTTAGGTAGATTGCAGTCAATTTGACCTTTTCAGGTCCTGAAGAATGCCGAATCCTCTGAAACGTCAGCTTTTCCGTCAATAAAGAGTAAAGTAACATCTCGTGTTTGCTCATCAATAATAAAGTGTATTATACGACTTCGTTAAATGCTGAATTCAGTATGGTCGCTTAGTGAACGAGTGTTTTTTTTTCACACACAAGAGTTTTAGATGGACCAAAAACATGAGAGGATGTATAGAATAACTTAGAAAATACATGAGATAAGGGAAGCGAAAAAATTTTTTCAAAACGCAGAGAAAAACTTAACCGCATGAGGAAAGTCGGGCACAGCTCCCAAGTTGCGGGACATTGTAGGCGGTGTGGCATCTATAGGATCATAGTGAGTGGGGGAAAATTAGGTGTCGTAGAGAATGTGTTGATATCCACAATGATGTTGAGATATTTGCAGAACTCAGACCCCAGACCAGATTAGAATCGGCGATTACTCTTTAGTGGGCTTACGTGTTACACATTGCGCCACTGAGGCCGTCGTTTTGCTAATCTCTTCGCCTGTCTCGTATGTCTTCAAATTCCTCATCAGAAGAAGGACAGTGACACCAGCAGCTGATATTTACCAGCGAGGAGTCGTGTATAACACCCATATCATGAACGAAAGCTCTTCATTGAAATATCGAAAAGCTTCATAAAGAGATACGGTTGCTTCTCAAAGGACACCCGAAGAATCCGACACTGCCTCGTTTGCATTTCTTTTTGGATTATTAAGCTAACACGAATTTGGTTTAAAGTTTTATTATACAAATCATCAGCCAAACCTTCCGATATCATTGTCTTCTTGAAATGCGAATTGATCCGAGTCGATGGTCCACAGGTCGTCCTGTCGATGTGGGTGTTCGTTATCGTATCGGGTGGAATCGTCTGGAATGGAGCACCGTTGATCAACAGATTAGCAGACCATATTGGGCGGAAATAGATCAGCGACCATCCTGTTTAGAAGGTTATATATATATATATATATATATATATATATATATACAAATATATATATACAATATATACATTATAGAAGGCAATATATATCCTGTACAGAAGGCAATATATATATGCAAATATATATATACAATATAGAAGGCAATATATATATATATACAAACGCCAAGCGGCAATAGGTAATTCTAATGGTGCTCCATTTGACTCGATGCGGCAACAAATAACCATCCATGGACTCGGATCAATCCGGCTGTGAAAAGAACGGTGTCTTCGAAACGTTGGCCAAATAAGGCCTAATACCAACTTTGTGTAAGCTTAATATTCCAGGAAAGTGTTGAGTATTCATGCCGAGTTTAAAAGTCGGTTTTTACAAGTATTGCTACGCCATGTGCCAGCTAATAGATAACATTGGCGCATCGTTCGATCGGAAACGATACCCTATTACGATCTACTTATTGTGTTTCTTGTTGTTTTGGCGTAATTTCATCCGGCACAAATGCCTTAAAAATTAATTGTCAGAATAATAATATACACCAAAAGGTTTAACAGCTAATAATTTATGTTGTACAACAACAATGTGAGCATTAAATATTTATTAGGATCACCAATGGTTTAATACTGCACCATCACTGGAGAGTGTTCATTGGTGTTGAACCACGGTGTACGGCTATGGCTTTGTTGCCCTAGTAAGGTGTTTCAAATTACGAATAGGTTCTACATCCACATCTAGAAGCTCAGTTAAGAATGTCACGAATTAGTGCAGTGTTGGCAATAATTTGCCAATTGGCAAGTGGTGATGACCTGGGGAAGACCTTGCACGGCGTTCGAGGCTTCAAGAAAAGCAATACTTTAAAAAGAGGCAGTTTTGACTTAGGTGGTATTTGCGCCAGAGCGTACGCAATGCTTTGCGTTTTATGAAGAATGCGATTCACGTACTCAAGTGTTTATAAAATTTGAGATGCATCACCATTGATTCCAGAGCTGTTATTTCTACTATACAAAGCACTTAATCAATACGTACATATAGGAGGACCTAGGGTCTAATGTTTGTGCACATTCTTCTCCGCCATTGAAATCGGTTTACATCCCGTTAGAGTTATTAGAGGTGTTATGGTTCATTATGTTCTAAAATATTCTATAGCATTGGTTCAAAATTCCTAGGGCACAGCGAATGAAATAACGTCAAAAGGAAATGCATGGTCGATAAATCGGAGTCATCATGCTCCGCGACTATTTAATCTACATAAGCATAGGCGACTATGAATATCAGGGAGAGTTTCAGTTACGAAACTGACGGTGTTGGTCTGATCCAAATGTTTCAACGAGGGCCACGCGATAATCTGTCCTAATACGCCATGCTGGAATTTTTTCAGGAAGATTCATGGCAAGCTATATGTTGATTGGTACCCGGTGTATGACTTCACATGAGGTTGGAATGTTGACTAGGCACTATTTGCTCCTAGCCGCCCATTAAGACTATTCCTCGTTCTTGGATTTAATATTTAGCGATCTAAGTTTTAAACACTGGGAAAACTTCAAGTGTCCTTGTTACAAAATGTACAAGTCGCTAGTAACTTATTTAAAAAGCGGATGTAGGACTTTTCCATGAGTTGTTTTCCATAAATGCTATTTGTGACAATCATTATGAGTATGTCGTTGACTAAAGTTGCTTTCTCAATAAACTAAAATTGGAAATCTGAGCAAAGTCGAGAAGGATATAAGTTGTTTGATATTTTGCCCAGTTTTTGAATTACTCTAGTAAGCGTTCATTTTAGGAATCTCATTCGGATGCGATAAATTCATTGTCGTTTATGAAGGACGGTCAACACCTTATATCGGGTGGATCAGATGGCTTACTTAATATTTTTAATGCTTCATACTCAATAGAAGACCAAGCTTTGCAGAGCACTTGTTCGGTAAGCTATTCTCTTATTTCTGTTTTAGCTTGTAATTTACTACTGGTGTCATTCCTTCATAGGTTGGTTCCTCCATAAACCGTGTTGGATATTTGTCTAAACGCCTCGTTTATGCTTGTACCGACGACAACAAGTGTTCCGTCTTCATTGCAAATGCTCCCGACGATGTGGATTACTTGTTTATGTTCGGGCTTCGTTCGTTTTCTATCTTTTGAAATATCTATCAGTTTTCGGTTCATAATCTTCGGTTTTTACAGGAGAAATGGAATCGATGGTCGCTTCTTAGTCGATGCTTTAAGAGGTGGCGTAGATGAACGTCCAGTTGCATTATTAGAGTGCGATCCTGAGGGAACGGTAGCTGTTTTGTCCATTTGCCGTTTCTTAGATATAATATTGAGTCGTTTAGGGTGTTGGGTTTCGCTTTTTTAAACATGTTCTTAGCCATGTGCACGTCTTTTTCCCCAATCAACTCTGCAAGGCCTGATCCGAGGAAACTTCTATTTTAAATTTGATTTTTATAAACATCTCCCTCAGAAAACTGTACATTAGGCGGCGAGAACGTTGCCAACTAGAAGGGTATTGGGCGGCAGAGCATCATCTGAAAGCAAATGGCACTGCTATGAGGCGTGACTAAATTTTAGCCGACGTTTATACGAATCTAAATGTTCACGTACAGAAGACTACAAAGTCTCTCAACTATTACGTTTTTCCAAGTGTGCAGGTGCAGGGTTGCAAAGATGTGTAGTTTTATAAAAAGCTAATTTGATAATGTCACGGCAGATGTGGGAAAGTCTTTACAGCTGACAGCTCCTAATCCACTACCCTAACTATTGGACAAAGACGAGCAGTTCTAAGAAAGACATTACAGATGCCTTTCCATCCAGCTGCGAAACAGGCACCTACTACTTTGACATCCAAAATTCTAACCATTAAATTTTGCCGAGGATATTTATGTGTTATAATCAATTATATGGAGCGATGCGTTTAAAAAGTTTTTTATTGATGCATAATAGGACCCTATTCAAAAAATGTTGCTGAGGCATATACAAAGAGAAAGAATTCTGAATCATACGTTAGTTTCCGGATGACCTAATATGCCAGCATAAGGACATGACAACGGTCATGACCGTATGCTTATAGTCTTGTAAAGGTATAAATGTCCCCATCTTATCCATAGGCAATAAGGATAAAAACATCTAGTCGTTGAGCTTCAATTGCTCCTTTTACATCCATGCTTTGGTAGTATATCTACAGTTGATTATTCGATTTCTTGGCATTAATTCATCATATTCCTTAGAGAAAGTTTGTTGAACTGCTAGCCTACAGCGACTTCCTGCTACATTTTTCAAAAGTTTTTTATATCCCCCAAAATCACAAATATTGTGCAGATCATTTCAACACTCCTCCATTCGTTTCTCTGCACCCATATTCCACAAGGGGCCTTGCGTTTGTGTGAATTCAGCTACGACTTGAAAAATTTTTGGTTTTCTTTATGAGTGTCGTTGAAGGCTCGCGTTTTCACTACAGAAAATCGCCGGCCTTGTGGATCAGAGGAAGCTTTTCAAACAACCACGCTACTAGTACCCGTCTTGGAGGGATCGAAAGCTTTTGGTTCAGGGTCGAGCTATGGACTTGCGCTTGCTACTTAATGGCATTTCTGCAGTTGAACTACTACCCGCACCTCTTTACGTTATTATAGGCGATCTTTTTTTTCGTCAACAATGTGTTGAAAAATATTCTGTTGTGTTCTAGCAGAAAATCACACGTTGCACCAGCCAGATGATTATGGCCTATCAGAGTATGTCGGATTTGACATTGCGGGGCGTATAGGTTTTAAAAAATCCTGAGTTTTTATTATGACCCAATTTTGTTTAGCTCTACATTCGCACGGTTTCCAAAGATGGAAAAAACTCTGAGGTGGTGATGGAATGGAATGGGCATACTGACCTAGTACGGAGTGCTGCATCTAACAACCATATTTTAGTTACTGGTGGAGAAGATGGTAAAATTGTAGTGAAAAATGTAGACTTGAGGTGAGTCACTCATCGCACTCATATTTAATGGCTCAGGCTTTTTTCTCACTTAAGTAATCTCAGCTCATAAAAGAATTGACGTTAGTGGTTTCAACGTCTCACTTACTATCGTCTATACTCCGCACCACTGAAGTGCAATTTCAATTTTTACAGGCCCGAAGGAGGAAAACCCGATAAGCGAAGGGAGAAAAAGGCGGAAAATAAAAATATTTCTGGGAAAGTTAAGGATAAGAGAGGAAATAGAAAAGACAAAGCGGTTGGTGTTCCGTATTGAAAGTAGTCTTTCGTTTGATAGACGTTTAGAAGTGCAGTAAGGCAGGGTTTACTGTTTCGTCTTGATCTCGCTTCTCGTTTATGTTACCACTGGGAGTTCTAACCTTCTGTGTTTTTTATTCTTTTTCAAGTTCAGCGGCCACTTCAGTGGCTTTACACCAACAGTTACATTCTGCTTGCGTCTTGCCCAACGTATTCCGACGAGAATTTGTAGCTTCTACAGTACTTTTCGATTAGCAAACTAGAAAATGCTGTTCTCTGTTTCCGAACTTTCTCATTTTTTTAAGGTTTTTTGTTGTTTTCTTGAATTCGTAATGTTTTGCAGTTTTGACTACCTTCCACTCTGCTTTCTCAAACTGTTGTAGTACACCTCGCTTTCAGAAGTAAACTGTTCTTCTCCTTTGTTCTCGTTTTATATGGAAAGTTCAGATTGTGTGTAAACTTCGAAAAAGACACCAAGTTTTCACAGTTGTGAAACGTTTGTTTAAGAAATGTCGATACATTGGTCTCGTAAGACCGAAGTTTATCTGAAAAAGTTCATCATTGGATTTCGAGTTTCTATGCGTTGTTAATGTTGCCGTGTTTAAAGAAAAGGAGTGATCCTCATTATAACTGTTCTTTGCTCCTTCAGATTTATTGCTTACCTCGAGGAAACGCCAGCAAAGTTCCCACTTGTACATTTCGTGTGCATCAGCAACCCAGTGGATTCTGAATGCGTCGTTTTCTTGTTCAGCAATCGCGAGATTTTCACACAGCATACATTTACTTCCATAGAGAAACACAATACAATACAACACTAGCTGACGTTTCGGCAGCATCGCCTTCTTCAGAGCCGCTTTTTACGTGACTTCCAATGAGGAAGTTTAGAACAGCTGATTATAGTCGCATATGGTTGATGATGAGTCATCAAGGAAAGTCAACAAGAAAACGATGCATTCATATTCCAATGCCGAGGTTAATAGGAAATCGATCCTCGGAACCACTGGGTTCTGTTCACTTTAGCAACTCTGGGAGCGTCGAATTTTTCGTTAAGAATATTCTTCAAGAGCCTAATGTAATCATTGATTAGCACCCGTCGTGTACAAAAGAATACCGCCTAGTGAAGTTCCACAATCGAGCGGTGCTCCTAATGCTGGATTCGATTCCACACAACGACGAGCGACAGTGACGAACTTAGGACCATTGACACGAATCACCGGGACTCTGAAGAAAGCGAAGGCGTCCAAACGTTAGCAGAACAAAAGTTTCTATATCAAACTCTTTTCAGCTTAACCATGTGGAAAATTACTGGTTATTCTTACCGTGGTTTAGGTTTACATGATAATCATTGGAATTCAGGGCACTAGCAATTCTTCCCACTAGTTTAGGCGCATCACGTGTTGGCCCGATTTTTTCCTGTATCTCACGGAACTTGTGTTTACTCGTCGACGTAGAAGGGAACGCGGTTCCCAATGTCGATTGGGCGGTAGGAAATACTCTTGGCATTTGTTTTGGAAGCGTCTAACTTCGGCATAAGTGATCAATATTTTGTTCTAATCAAAAATTTGCTATTGTGGCCAACGTCCCGTTGCCTTCGCTCTCCTTAGAGCCCCAATCATTTGTGTACAACAGTCGTTTCATGAGTCTTCCTAATGGCTGCAGATCGAATCTAATGAAGTGGAACACTGCACGATTTATTAAACTTCACTCGACATTGCCTTTTAATGCGAGATTGTTCTTGACTCATTATCCATTTATAATAACTTGTTTTCCTCAAGACAATCCATCTTGTCGATACTATATTAGCCTGTATGTAGCGACAGGGTTTCGACGCGCAGGTTAAGGCAGAGAGAGTTGTTGAGTCGAAAGGAGTGGCGCTGTCAGATGTTTGTTGTGCTATATGCTTATTGCGCTTGCAAGATTCCTGAAGCGCTCATTTACCTTTGCTTATGTCTGAAGCTAAGTCGTTTACAGTGGTGATCTCCAGAGGTGCAGTCGAAGACTAAAATTTCAACATGCACTGTCCAAATGGACAACATTGGCGCCATTTGGCAAATGCCTAGTGTTATTACATAAGAACGAAACCATGAGCAAAGCGATAATATTGTAACTGCCGATCATTGATTTTCGACCTCATGTTATCCCAATCCAATTTTCGTATGAGATCGACTTTTTCTGCTAATAATTTTGGCAAGCTGGTATCATCTAGTCGAAGTCCTGTCTTTACGTCAATGTAAATGTAGTTGTAGAACAATTGGAATTCTAGTTATGAATTTGTTACTATAGAAGACCTATATGTATGGAGTAGAGAACTCCTGGCTTTTCGGCACTCCCATGACTGCTTCTATCTCAGCTGAATGGAATACTTCTTTCAACGATGAGCATTGGTCTTTGATATGTACGCTGTTGGACATGTCGCACAGTACACCTTGACTCCAATGCCCGCGCATTCTTTCTGGCCTATTTTGCCGCACAGCCATCCTTTCCAGACTTTTCGTAGTAATCGTTAGCTTGTCGAAAGCAGATTTTATAATGAAGCTGGTCCATAGATAGGCGTTCACTATGCCCGAAAGAAGCCGTTTTCGGTGAAATGGATATAAAAAACGCAAAGCAGACACTGAAGCACGCTTCGAATACCGCACAAAACGCAAGGCAAGTTGATGACACAGTGATTAGGTAATGGAAGGTTTTTTCATCACACAGGTAGACTACACACGAAGGGTATAGAATGACATGAGAATGTAAGCAGATCCTAGCGCATACGTAGAGCTTAGAGAGGAATGAAAAACATGTGAGGGAACTGAACAATAGAATAGCAACCTTAAAAACTAGTCCATCGTGCTTCTTACGTGGGCTCACTGACCGCACATCTTGGTTTCAATGTTCATGATGCAGTCGACTTGGTACGCGAAAATAGCCGCGGTAGTGAGGTAGTGAATGTGTTAAGTCGATAAAATTAAAAAGAAGCAATCTTTCGTCATTTTGCGATGCTTGCATGAGTTTTGTTATTGTATGGGCGTGATCTGAATTTCTGAATTGAACCAATCATAAGTCGGAACTGAACTGATAGTCTTAGCCTTTTTATTTACTGCCCATTCTTTTTAACGGCAGGGTATGTTGCGAAATATAACTTCAATGATGCTTCAATGATATTTGCAAAACTCCGGACCACAGGTGTTTGTGGAGAACGAACGCGCTATTGTCCTTTCCGGGGAGTAACGCGTTCACCACCACACCATGCGGGTCCTTCGTTTCGCCTGTCTCTGAACTAATGATGTTGAATCCTTTTCTAAACCCTTCTTATTTGTGTGGTCGTCGGTGGTCCAGTGACCTATCAGTCCCGTTGAGGATAACCATAGAAAACACTTGAAGACAACAAGTAGCAAGAAGACTAGGCAACAGTTGAAGATCATTAAGGTTTTTCTTCTTCACATTGGTAAAGCCTTATTGATTCTTCATTAATTTGGAACCTTACATTCTGAGAGATGACGTGTAGAAAGCCGAAGTTGTGAATAGATGATGACAGGCTGTGAGTTTTTCAGAAATTCGGGTCTAATCATGTCAAGACTGTATGCTGTATGATTTTTCATCTACGAGATAGCATGAAACATTATCCTAAACATACACTGCTATCACGATTGGTGAATCGATCATGAATTGGTAATTATTTGTCCTATTGAACATTCCAACAGCAAAGGATTCTATCTGTGACAAAAATTCAAGGGGCTATTAATGGTCACTTTTAACACGTTTCAACGTATATTTGTTGAGCGAAATGACAGCAAGTAGTGGAGAGCATAGTGGTTGCGATGCCGCCCATTACACAGCAGCTCATTCTATCTACCTAGGCAGGGTTGGTTCGATCTCGCCCTTCCTCGAGGTTCGGTCGAGGTAACCAAACATCTCATTGGAAAATTAGTACAAGGCTTGCCTGGAACAAGCTAACTCCCTCCAATCACGTGGAGACTCCTTTTCGCAGCTATCCCAGAATTCCATGGAAATCGCCTCGACCATTCAACGGCACTCATGAAAAAGACCAAGAATTCTCAAGCAACAGCTGAACCTACCTGTATCATCTGTATCATCTACCGTGCCGTTGGTCGCCTAACGACTCAAGTAGGCGCCAGTAAATCATCGATTTCTCCCTGTCACGTGCAAGAGTGGCCTAATGTATTCTGCCAACTCTAGGGGCCTGTTCAGCATCATATCATTCTTTAAGAGTTTTCGTGAAGAACTCTAACCATCGGGTCGGTGCTCTTCCCGAAGTACATTTGACATCTAGAGGAACACACTGACTAACGGCTCTTGCCCAGCGGTTGTCGTTCATAGGCATTATGTGTCCAGCCTACCTTATCTTCAAAAAGTTGGCATATAGAGTGGCGTCTTTGATTTTTGATTGCTGACGTAGGTCGGAGCTTCGAATCCTCTCCTTCACTTGCGTGATACGGGATACTTCCTAGCATCTTTTTGAATGCACGTTCAACAACGATGAGTGATCTTCCATCCTGATTGCGAAGCGACCAGATTTCTGATACTCATACATTAAAGCAGGAAGAGTCGCAGAATCGAAGCGTGGGTGCGGAGTCGGATGTTCTTTTTTCTCTTCACTATATCCTCGATACTCTTGAAATCTCCACAAGCCTTCCTTTTTCTCCTGTTCAGTCCTGGCGCAAAGCCAATAAAAATTTTGACCTCTTAGTCTACACAGAAGCAGTTAGAGCGTTCGAAGATCTTCACTCCGAAGATCACTAATGGGGCATACGAAACTAATCCGTTCCTCATGAACATCGTTTCTGTGAGATTTAGTCGAGGACCAATTTTCCACAGGCTTTATCAAAGTCGGCAACCATTCGTTCCACCAGGCTAATGCTTGCTGTTATAAGAACGATTTTATAACCAAGGCGAAGATAGTGTACTTATCGACCACCGATTTTCATTCCCAGTGTTGTCCGATTCCAATGTTTGCATGCTCTCGAGGGTAGCCGTAAATGATTTTGGCGTGATGGTATTCTCTGTTTAACACCTCTTTTGACGTCTATATTCTAACTCTTCTTTTAACGTTGTTGTTAATATCCTTTTAAAATGGTGATATTTCTGTGGTGGAATTTTTATATAGCTCACCAAAAATCTTTGCGTGCTTAATGGGGGCGCAACTCAACCGGGTCAGAAGTTTTCATTAAATCAATTAAAGTGCGACACAGCAGTCTATTGTACTGTCATGATACTTCGGTGAGTCTTGTTACCGTGTTGATGTGGTCCATCGCACGAAATCCTTTTTCGAAACTGCTTACTTACATGGCTCTCCTTCATCCACTGCTATGCTAGTCCTCTTTAGGATGATTGGAGTGAAAAGTTTTTAGACTACAGACAGTAAGCAGATTGGGCGATAGTTGCCGATATCGTGTAGGTCACCTTTCTTGAACAATAACATGGTCTTTCTGGTCTTCCACTGAGTAGGAACCTTGCATTCTGACAGATAACCTGTGAAGAGCCGAGCCAGTGTGTTTATGAAGACTGGCAGAAGGTTCTTCAGGTGTTAAGATCTTATTCTGTCCAGACCTGGTATTGTTTGATTCTTCACCGATGAAATAGCATGTCATATTTTTAAAGGGACAACCGGTGGGGCGATATGTCGATCTTCATATATTTTATATGGGGAAGGAAGTGGCTATTGAAACGATCCGAGTAATAATCGTAAATGATTTTTCCCACTGCCTTTCTGGAAGCTGTAACGGTTCCATGTGGGCATCGAAGTGCCATCATCTTGGTCCACTACACTAATTGGTGACGTTTCGGTGTGGTTTGCCATTGCTGATCCTATTCTCTGTAGTTTCGGCCATTACTGTTGCTCTTCTCTCTTTGTGATCTTTTTTATTGCCATTTCACAATGTGTTGCAAATTCGAACATGATTCGGCGATCGCCCTGTGATCTGTGAGACTCCACACCGGCGTATCAACTCGAGTTCTGGAGATGACGCCTGTTAGTAGCCTTCGAACTCTCAGCTTTCATAGCGAAGTGAAGATGTTGAATGAGCCAATCGTATTCCTCGTCGATGTTGATAACGCCGACATTACCTTACCTTGGAGAACGGCGTCTTCCCAACAGCGAACATTCATGCAAAAAAAATTTCGATGATCTTCGTAAAAGGTTCAGACGAGGAAACGAATCATCGAATGTGAGAAGTGCTGGGATCCGCACAGTGTGATAAGAGGTCATTTAATGATTTGATGAAATAGCACTTTTTCTTTAATTGCAAATAAATGGAGCAAAGAGAAGATGAACGACTGGTACTGCGAGGCAAGACTTGACTTTGTCTTTCCGTCCTACTCTTTTACTTCCTCTAATTTTTTAAACTGCTGGAGTTTTTCTACTGTAATGGATACTTTTCGTATTACGATGGAGGTGTACATTACTCCCTGTGAACAAATTCCACTCGAAATTTTCATCGTTTTATATTTCCCTCTACACTTCAGTATGTAGCACTTAACCTGAATTGATTGATCGAAATTCAACTCTCATCACACCGCATTTCTGCAAAAGGTGATTGCTGTGCATCCTGAACATACGCTGTGGAAGAGCGCACAAACACATGCGATTCAACCGTAATGATGCTGAGAGATTTGCAAAACTCCCGACCGCATGTGTCTGCGGTGAGGATTGAACACGTTATTGCCCTTTCCGGAGCTAACACGTTCACTACCGCACCATGCGTGTCCTTCGTTTGTGTGCTGGTGAACGCGTTAGCCACCGGATAGTGTTCGATCCCCACTACAGGCAGTTGCTGTCCGGAGTTTTGTAAATACCTAAGAGTCATTAAGGTCGTATTCCACACATAATACCCTTCCATGGAAAAATGTAGTAGGCAGCAAATGAAAAGCTAACATGCTATTCATTTCCTTTCCGTTTCATCAGAATTAGAAAGTTGATTAAGATTCTACCAATGATGAAAATCGTCCGGTTCATGAATTTAGTTCGAAGTTATTCGTCCTTCTTTCAGTATTAGCAGCACGGTATCCACCGCCGTGTCCACAATTCGAAAGTGAATCCACGTCGTAGGAGCTTCGAAGACTGTTTCACTGTGGTAAGCTTGTTTATTTTCGAACTTTAAAAGTAAATCTATACAATGCCTACGCTGTCAATAGAGGGAAAGTTGATTATTATAGAGATTCGCGTCGGTACTTCAACAGCGCTACCCTTTTCACTCAGCTGAGATTGTAGTTGCTGTGGTAACGAGAGTATTGTTTACAACCAAATGCCAATCTCTCTGTTTTCGTCCTTCAGTTCTTCATCAGCGTTATTACCAAGGTATCACATCAATTTTTTTCTATGCCCATACCCAGATGATAACAACGGTTCAACGTTATTTCGTACAAGAGCGTTACCACGTCTATTTTTAAAGTTCTTTCGTTGCAGTTCATAAACTTACCTCCATTGATTTCGGTACTCTGGAGCTAAATTTCAGGCCTCGTGTCAAATAAGGAAACTCTGTCTGGATGATCACGACTATTCTTCTGTCCATTATCTGCATCACACCACTACAGACAAAGGTGCAAAATATAACTGTTCAAATTGGAGAAGTCACATGCGGTAACTCTGACTATTCTGATGAACTGGCACTGCAAGTTTGGGAAAAAGATATCCGTGAGTTGTATTACTTGCTTGTTAGAAATTCAGCATGAAGGAGGGGAAAAATGTACAATATACTTTAGTGCACGACGACATGTTAGGCGAAATGTACTTCAACGTGTCGTATCCACCTCAAAACATCTCGATATTCGCCACGCAAGATGAATTCCTCACACTGTCACCCTATCTTATTCTTCAGCATTCATGCCCTGGGGTAAGTTATTCACAGTACGATGAACTCTGCTAGATTTCAGTCGAGTTCACCAAAGTGAGGCGCTACTGTCACGAGCGCGATCATTTATTTTGCTCTAGGCTATTCAGACATTCCATCGGAAGTGGATTATTTAGGAGCAGCTTTTCGTATAAGAAAGGAAAAACATTGACTTTTGTTGAATAACCAGCCAAGTATCTAATTCTAAGACCACGGTATAGAATGGCCTCAGGTTTTCGACAAGAATGCATATCTGTGCCATACGGTAGGTCGCTTTCTACGGTTCACCTATCGGATATGGTAAGAATCAGTTGATGTGCATGAAATTGCGGTGTTTGTTGTGACTTGATCTCCCTGAAGAGTCATTTTGGCAGGAGAGATTTCCTACATGTCCGGAGAGTTCCGTACCAGGAATAGAATGAGCAACCCTTCCTCGATCTTCCATCGTCCATTGGGCAACACAAAGTCGCTTCGTCTATTCTCAAAAGCATCACCTATTTAATAAAGGATGGATCCAATCATTCGCTAATCTATCTGGTAGGAGAAGGCAATCAAGCCATGAAACTCTGCCAAGATATCGAATTGGTCGCACAAAAATTCTACCTGAAATTTTTCTCTCCAAATTGCAAGATCTCTGACTGAGTCATCGATCACAGACTGCCATCTAGCATCATTCACGAATTATGGACTAGTGTTTAAAAAAGCTATTACTCTTCCAGGACCACACAGTGTCTTCGCATGGCAATCACATATATGCCTAACCCAGGAATATGAGGCATTAATTACAGCAAGAATAACATTGGACCATCAGGAGTCTAGAAAACTGTTGCTTTTTGCGCAGAGACAATGGAGGAATTCCTTCAAAAGTATCCTTGATTTGTTAATAATCTACGCAAGTTTTTCATATCAAAACCATATCTCAATAGTACTAGAAAGCTTCCTTACTGAGCAGGTTCTCAAGATGAATTCAATGACGTGCAGTATATCCACGCTGTTGCAAGAGTCATAGAAGGACATTACGAATAACCACCTTTCCATGAATCGCTATAGACGGTAGATGGTTATATGTCAGAGCTACATAGCCTCTACTTCCTTAAATGACATGATCGATGCATAGTTTGAAAATGAGACCATCTGTTATTCATATTATTGAAGGCATAAACAGGCAGCTGGTCTCCACCGCGCCCACAGGCTTTGGCTGCCTCCCATCCTAGCAGTTTAAACATGGGATTTGCCTTTTGGAAAGATACCAAGACTTCATTGTACTTAAAAGCCTGTTCACTGTAGACGTCGACATCAACATATACGAAAACACATCTGTGCATGTATGCGTGAGGATGATTGTGTTTATTGCGAAAGATGCAATCCGATCCAGTGAAACAGAAACAGGAAACTCCTCCACTGAATCCACCTATTTCCCTATCCAAATATATAAGCATTTATGATTCACATTCTCTACGCTGTTAGATATCTGGATAACCAGCGTAGATCCTCGAGACTCGTTCAGATCTCTCCTTGTTGGAGGTCCCATAGCGAGAGCAAATTCCCTGTTTGCTAAACGCGGAAACTAATTTCGTCGATACTCAAAATGCTCACCTAGAGCATACAAAACGATGAAGGCTACATTGCATGAGAAAATGGCCGATAATTTCTGGCATATCGTGACTCAACGACAAATTTTCTGTGAGGATATTTTCAGTTCATAGGATTTCGTAACCGAATTCTATGAACTGGAAATATAGCTGGGCAAAAATTTAAGAATAACCTACTATTGATTATTCATATCGAGGTTAGATGAAATTCGGTTTTCAAAATTACTGCTTCGTTATGTGTTAGCCACTAGAACACCGACTGCTGGAAAATGAATCGTCGGTAGAGAAATAAATTGCTATCATCGAGCAGCCACTCAATCAACAACCGTTCTATATAAAAGGGTATCATCGTTAAAACAAAAGTTAAACATTGTGATTTCAACTACAGCCACAGCTTAACTGGGTTCTATGCTGATTTGGGTTCCCCGGATCAACCCTGCTGACGGGTGATTGCTGTGGCAAAAAGATCGATAGAAATAGCTGAGAGACAGGGGAAACGAAGGACCCGCATGGTGTGGTGGTGAGCGCGTTACTCCCCAGAAAGGACAATAGCGCATTCGTTCCCCACCATAAACACCTGCGGTCCACAGTTTTGCAAATATCTCAGCAACGTTGTGGTTGTATTTCGCTTAGTAACCTGCCATGAAAATTATAGAAGGCAGGAAACAAAACGTTAAACATTATCACTGGTCTGTTGAAAGTGAGGACGGCGAAACGCAAGGTCGTTTATGCTCATGAATAGAATACAGTTATTATAGGATTGGGTTCTGAGTAAGCTATAGTGTATTTCAGACGTGTGTTCGTTCTCGGCTGAACATCCCAAGTGACTACGTCGGTGGAATATTCAAGACTTCGCGCGTCGATCTGAACTCGACATTCGACGAGACGAAGCCATGCTAAAAAAAAAGCTTTGACGCTATAATTTATCAGGCCTCTGTGATTGTCTTTAACGATGCATGCCTTTCTCAATGAACCCTTCATGTTTTTGTCTCTTGTTATCAAAGCGCTGTCTAATCTTTTTCCTGGAAGTAAACATAAACTGTACTTTGATGAAGAAGAACTGACAATCATGTTTGCTTACTTGAACACTATTTGTCTTTATGACGATTAGGGTTTCACTGAGGCTGAACAAGGGGAACCCTTTCATCGCGGTGAGAAATCAAAAAGTTTCTGAATTCTTTTCCTTTAGTCTACTTTCCCGTTTGCCGAGAAAAAGATTTCGAAAAGTGGTTTCCAGCTGGTACTCTGGCGAAAATTCATTCCAATGACATAGAAAAGGTTTTCTTAGCAGCCGTTGGCGACGAAGGTGATGGGATTATACCCTCTGCTTAGTTGCATCATAAGTTCAAGCCAAGAACCTCTCTTTGAGGGAAAAGCTAGAAGCAACATGTGTTCAAGTGAAGTTGCCGCTAGCGATGATGACGAAGGTCTCCATCTAAAATTGATTTCTAAAGCAAAGATCTTTGTTTTGTCAAACTATGATGGAGATACTTTACTATACTAATACTAATACTATACTATACTATACTTTACTTTACTAATCCTTTACATTTCAAAGAAATCACAAGCTATATTGTGACACTTGTAGCGCAGTGGTCGGAGACGCTCTGCAACACTCATGGGATCGATTCTCATGCACTTGGCCCACCAAGCCTTCCATCCCTCCGGGGTGGGCAAATTGGACCCAGACTTGTCTGGGAGGATAGCAGCATTGGCTCAATACATCAGTGGGCCACCACGAGTCGCTGTAAAGGCCAGATATTCATTCAATCACCTCCAAACGATGCTTCATGAAGCCGAATGCATGGTGCATCCCTAAGAGATTGATCGACGCCGAGACCTTTATTTTATCCTTTTTATAAGCTATATTACGATGGAGCTAAATGAAAGCGCCACATTCACGTTTGTTTACTTCTCAAACCCTTTCCTAATCGTTTTCACTTTTTTTTGAAACCAGCCACTAATTTAATCTAAGCTAACGTTGCCACACATACCGTGCAGTACCATACTGTTGTTATTTCGATGCTTCTTGATGTCAAGTAGCAACATGTCAGGGCCAACCATACCATTTTCGTTACCATGCGGATATCCAACGAAGTCTATACTAGGATTTGTAGCTAAGTTCACACAACCTAGTCACAACATGATAAACCATCAACTTCATAAACGTCCATCAGCGGCCGCTTGCTAACGATCTCTGGCCGCTCCATCACGGCGATTTCGGGAGAACAGCACTGGTCATGGAACCGAAGTTGGTATATGACTAATTAAAATCGTGGTCGAGCTTAACATTGACGAATTATGCTTGATAGAGGGGACAAAAAAATTCCATGAACTTCAAATAGTCGTATTTTCGATGTAAAAGAATTGTCCGGTCTTAGTTTTCACCTCTCCCACTCTCCCTCTTTTTCTCCTATTTCTGGAAAATTCTGACGTTCCAAAAAACTACTAGAATATTGGGTTTTGTGCAACCAACTATTTTGGTCCCAATCAAATGAGACACTCATATCGTCTGCATCGCTCCAACGCCAATTGCCCTTCAATCGATCGTCGAGACCTGAGTGACCTTCGCGATGCGCTGTGGGTCGTTCGCCATATTGGTCGTGGTCCTCAGTTCAGTGAGGTAGGTTCTAGACTCCGCTAAACCCAAGCATAAATGCCTAAATCAGCTTCACGAAGCAACATTCCAGAGGTCTATTATCAAGCACATCCATTTCTTAGTTGGGTCTGATAATACTTACTTGGATACGTGAATGACCCTTCCTCACTGGTTGTGCCGGTCCCAGTATGATCTCCGTTTTTTCTAAGTTTTGCTGGTTTATTGTGGTTTCCTGGAGTGCCGACGTCAGCCAGGCCGCAGATCGTCACCACCACAGGCAGTCGCCGCCTTTGTGGATCAGAGAGAAGATTGATAATTGGAGTAGCATTGTCGTGTAAGCCTTAGGTTCAACTTTCGTGAACATTGTAACTGAATGTTTTTAAAGTTCTAACTAGTCCTTTTTCTTATATGCTACTCGTGGAAGCCTTAATGTGTATTCTGACGAGTTCCTTTACCTTTTTCAGCACAATTATTGTTTATCTTCAATGCTCAAAGCGCAGTAATTCAACCTTTGCTTGAGTGGCTCCGATGGTCAGCTCAGTGTAAGAGATAATATTTAGGCGACAACTGTAGTTTGCCCACTTCCTTGCACTTATTAGGCTTCGATTCTATGATCGCTTTCATTTCGAAGTGGGACGTACTAACGTATGATTGACGATTTGGACGTATAAAAAAAAGATAAAACTCTCGGCGTTGATCAATCCGTTAGGGATGCGCCATGCATTCGACTTCATTAAGACGCAAGGTGGCCTCCAATGTATCGAGCCAGTGCTGCCATCCTCCCAGATCAGTCTGGTACCAATCTACGGACTCCGGAGGGATGGAAAGCTTGATGGCCCAGGGGCGCAGGGATCGATCCCATGTATTTTGCAGGACGCCTCCGACCACTCTGTCACACGCGCCTTTAATTTTGGATTTGGTTTTATAGCGTCCAAATGTAAAATGACACGAGTGGCAATATGAACACTATGGTGTCTAAACCACAATGTTAACTTTTTTATTTACTGCTTGCCAAAATTTTTCATGACAGGGTACTGTGTGAATTACAGTCACAATGACGCTGAGATATTTGCAATACTGCTGACCGCAGATTTCTACGATGAGGATCGAACATACTGTAACGTTGGCTAGGACCTAACGCGTTCACCACCACACCATTCGGTCCTTCATTTCGCCTTTCTTTCAGCTAGTGAATGCTGATGGTACTGGTAGATAGAAAACTAGCTGAGAGAAAAGCGAAACGGAGGACGCGCATGATGTGGTGCTGAGCGTGTCAGCCCCCGTAAAGGGTAATAGCTTGTTCGATCCCTACCACCGCAGCCACTTGCGGTCTAGAGTTTTGGAAATATCTCAGCACCATTGCGGTTGTATTCCACGTAATATCCTGCCATGAAAAATTGTACTAAGCAGTAAATAGAAAGGTAACATTCTGATTTCGACTACAGCCTCGATTAGACGGATTAAATGCCGATGTGGGCTCCCCAGACCAATCCTGTTGACTGCGGTTAGTAGACATTGCGGACGACACTGGTAGACAGAAAACTGACTGAGAATAAGGTGAAACAAAGGACGCGCGTAATTTGGTGGTGGACGCGTTAGCACTCGGAAAGGGTATTAACGTGTTCGATCCCCACTACTATGGTATCTATTTCCAGTTTCTTTCTTTTATCACGACACTATGTGCATTCATTCGTTCATCCATTTTCACTCTCAATGTTGTACCATTCCAGAGTTTCCATGATGTTCTCGAAAGCGGCGGTGAACAATTTTTTCAAGATAGCACCGCCTTATCTAGCACACTCTTTTGATGTATATGTTCTAACGTCGCTTTTAACGTTGATATTAATATCCTTGTTAAATTGTGATATTTTGGTTGTTAAATTTCCACATGGCTCACGAAGGTTCCTCATGTACTGAGTAGGGGCGCCCTGCTTTCCAGGGCTTCCTTAAATCGATTAAAATGCAACACAGCAGTCTCTTGTACTCTCATGATACTTCTTTGAGTTTTATTACCGTGTTGATGTGATCTATCGTACTGAATCCTTTTTGGAGCTCTGCTTACTCTCATGGCTCTCCTTGATTCAGTATTCTATCAATTCTGTTTAGGATGACTCGAGTGAATACGGTAGACAGTAATCAGGTTGAGCGATAGTCGCTGTTGTCATGGTGGTCACTGTTCTTGAACAATAACACAGTTTTGTTGGTCCACCACTGAGTACTAACTTTACGTTCTGACAGATTACCTGTGAAGAGCCAAGCCAGTGTATTTATGATGACTGGCGGAAGACTCTTCAGGTTCCGTCCGGACCTGGTGGTGTTTGATTCTTCACCAACGAAACAGCATGTTTTATTTTGGTAGGGACAACCGGTGGGACGACATGTTCATCCTGATATATTTTATATGAAGGAGGAAGGGGCTGTTGAAGCGTTCCGAGTAATAGTCGTAAATGATTTTGCCCATTGCCTTTCTGGAAGCTGTAACGGATCCATCTAGACGCCAGAGTGCCATAATATTGGTCTCCCAAATTGGTGAAGTTTCGATAGGCTTTGCGATTGCTGATCCCGTTCTCTGCAGTTTCGGCCAGCACTACTGCTTTTCTCGCTTTGTGATCTTTTTTTTAATCAGAATTCCACAGTGTACTGTAAATTCTGACGTGAGTTGGCGATTGTCTGTGATACATGAGATTCCACGCTGGCGTATTAGCTCGATTATTTCTGAAGGCAGACGTCTCTTGGTGACTTTCGAACTCTTTCATAGCTTTCATAGCTCTACCTTGAAGATTTCGAATGAGCCGTCGAAGTTATCGAAAACGGTGTATTCCCAACAGCAGACTAATGAATTGAATAAGTCCCAGTTTATGATTTTGTGACTATAATTTTTGAATTTAGCGGCTTCTTCTTTTCGCGAGAAATGAAATCTTGCGAGGCTAGACATTGGTTAGGCAAAATCTTCGGCTTACTCTGAGGCGGTGTATTTCGTTATGGTACTTCTCACGTCCAACGTTGAGGGTGGGACTTTTGGAATCGCGAGTTACCATGGATGGTCCTGTTTGTCATGATAAACTCAACAGCTCACCATGCTTGTACCTTTCTAATCCATGAGTCTCAATGTGATATTCTTCTGGGTCCAATCTTAGCATTGAAATCTCCATTGATGACCTTAAAGAACGTTTATTCTTCTCTATAGGACTTCTCCAACTCCAAAGAAGCAGAGTTTGCTTTTGGCCAGCGATTAATCCCATATCCGTCACCTGGGGGCGCGTCATGCTGCCTCGCGATAAGCCGGCTATGAGGAATCTCGAGTGGTCACCCTAAAATACGACACAGATCTCCTAAATGTAAGGTGATGCACCGTCGAAAAGACGAGATTAGCTGTTTGTGCAATTAACCGAGAACTAAGCTCGTGTCCGATTGGACATTCAACGCTGAACTGCGCCCGTCCGTTGCGTATAAACGTATGACTATCTAAGGGCACCCAGTACTGTTGTGTTCTGAGACTGATTTAGACAATAACACTGACTAATGATCCGAGAGCGTCTAGTGTGGACAGAGTGTTCTTTGATAGTTGCAGCAAAAATAAGACTATTTGTCACTAAGATGATGCTGAGATACTTGCAAAACCCCGGATCGCAGCTGTTTGCGGTGGAGAACGAACGCGCTATTGTCCTTTCCGGGGAGTAACGCGTTCACCACCACACCATGCGCGTCCTTCGTTTCGCCTGTCTCTCAGCTAGTTCTATCGATCGGTGCCATCAGTAATCATCCGTCAACGGGACTGATCTAGGGGGCCCAAATCGGCAACGAACCTAGCTAAGCTGAGGCTGAAGTCGAAATCACAATCTTAACCTTTTTATTTGCTGCCTACTATAATGTTTAACTGCAGGGTGTCATGTGAAATACAACTAAGATGGTGCTGAAATATTTGCAAAACTCCGGACCGCAGGTGTCTTAAATACAAGGGTCATACCCTGCAGTATCCTTATATTAATGGATGGCTTGAATCCGCTAAAAAATTGGTAAGTTTTGCTCAAAATGTTCATGAAGCAGCTCCGTACCTTCTCTTTACAGAAGTCTTATTGTTAGTAGACTCAGTAGTAATCTTCCTATCATAGAAAACTGTGCCACCACCGTTTTTTTTTCTAAAACGAACCTCTTGGTGCCTTGTCGAAGGTTCAAATGAGCAGTTTCTTTCGTTACAAGCTTGAGTTCACGGCTTATTGATTGCATAACTACTGTAGAACTCGCAAGAAGTTTCCATGCTTCTATTGATTCAAGCGATCTATAGGACGAATAAGAGTTGTTGACAATTATGGTAGATTACTCCATGGTGGAACTATCAGTATCCACGGGCTGCAGTTAGATTAGAGGGCAGTTAAGTATGCACTGCTTGCAAAGTCGTGCTGCTACATGCTGTTAACCAACTCATTGTTTAGCTCTTTTAACGCTACATCTTGAAAGTGATCACATATTCAAAACATAATTGGTCCTACGCATTCATATCAATGCGTATTACTTCGAGCTGCCTGTTCTGGCGCAGAGTTCATTTTTTATACCTCTTGTATTCATTCGATAACTGATCGAACACAGTTGTCATGTTAGACGAGGTCTATGAAAAGAGATTTTTTACAAATAACAAAAACATTTGGATGAGTTCGTTCAATTGATCTGCCCCGTTACGGGTATTACATATCTGCCGTATGTAAACACTGATGTTCGAAACAGGGATTATTCTATCGACACGAGAGATGGAAAATTATTCACAAAATTTATACAGACGTGTTTCTCGTTTAGAAATTTGCATTCACAAAATGTGTACCCATTGCCATGTGCCATACTTCGACACTGCATATTCACAACTTTTGTTCTCCTGAACGTACAGTTCGTACAATTAGAAACTGTACATTTACCATACTGTTCACACCTCCCAACGGTTTACTGCCTCATCGTGGCTGGGAGGTGTTCCTGGGTGTCGGGCTGCTATCTACAGCTATAGCATTCATCCCCAGCAGGGTCTCTCATGCTGACAAGGAGTCAAACGTTTCCCTCGGAAATCCCAGCTAAGAGTAAACGAATGCCAGGGTTTACCACCGTTCTGGTATCGAACTAGTCGCATGGTGGAAAATCTCCTTGTGATCCACAACAATGGTGACGACTTCGGGCAGACTTTGGTTAGACTGACCTCGGAACTCCAAGGAACCACAATAGCTAAACCAGCAAAACTCCGAAAGTGGAATTTGTGCTAGGACTCGCACAACCTGTGAAGACGGGCCATCCAAGTATCCAAGTATATCATTTACAATCATCACAACTTCTTCATTGCAAACTTCTCGCACATAGTTCACATTCACATAAAAGCGTTACAATTTTGCAATCTCTACAGTTCAGACGTCTTCGAACTCCTGAAACTCCGAATGATAATATAACTAAGCGGACTGATCTTAAATATATTGTCTCGCCTGGCAGACGTTACATTGTTTTCTAAATGAAGGAGAGCCAGCAGATTCTAAAATCTGTATTTCGTCATTACTTTGGACCGAAGAGAATCGATCGAAAAAAGAACAGGCGCTCCAACAGTCTCTCGATCGTGGCGTAAACAGTTCTTATCTGATCATCGTCAAACAAATGAGTCAACTAATCTCTTCAAGAGTCTTCGCTTCCAATGTCATCCTTCTCCATATCTGTAGGGCTTTCTTAAGAAAAAGTTCCCAAACATCACCCATAAACTATCCATAGAAATGTGTTCGCTCTGTGCATCCTAGCAGGATTGGCTGGTCCACCCCAAAATGACTATCATCGAGAGCTCAAAAGATACCTTACTGTTCAACGGCTCCCCGACTGCATCACCGCCGCTGACTACCTCATCGTTCTCATCTTCGTCTTTATACTCTGATACACTTCAGGCTCTCTGGTGACGACTAATGTAAGAGATGCCATCTACTCATCATCGATGGGCGATCAGGAATGAACCTCGATGAGTCTGCCATCCACCGACAATGTCCAAACGATTGCAATTCAGTTTTTCACCAGTAATTTACCCTTATTCCATTTACGAGCTCTATGACGGTTCACAGTTATCGCATGGAATCTGTGGGTAGAAAACCACTTTAAAAAGGCTGAAGAACGATTTGTATCTCCCGCAAAACCTTGAAAGCTAACACCGATGTGGTTGGTGGCTATTCGACGGACGAGTTTTTTCACCACTCCAGGATTTGATACGATCTAAAAGGAATAGAAATACTCGCAGAAAGTATACAAGGCATAAGAAGCCACAGAAATAAGCCCAGAAATCCGTAGAGAAGCGGAACTGTATAGCGGACAGGTGGACTGGACCGGCCGCCGCTCGGCCGCACTTATCACCCATCACCGCGTCGCTCCGGGGCGCCGTCCGAGACCTGCAGCGTGATTCCAGGCATCCAGCCCTGTTTGCGCTTTCCGCCATTACGTGAGTCGCTTCAACCCTGTTTACGTCTTCTCTCATGTTCTGAGCGGGAGTGAGTAGTCTCTGAGTGTTCATGAATGTTCCGTTTTTGTGCTTGCTTATTTAACATCGTAGATGGAAACGTATATGAAGTCGACATTCTTTCATTTTTCTTTTTTTTTGTATGTTTGTTGTTCGTTTCAGGTCCGACGATAGCGATAGTATGGCAGCTCATAGAACAATCTATGAGTTTACTGTTAAGGACGCTGATGGCAAGGATGTATCATTAAGTAAATACAAGTAAGTTATGTGAGCTTCCATCATTAACTTAGGGTTATCTTTGCTTTGAATACATCAGGGGTGACGACACATCACCTCATTGTTTCCTTTATTGGGGAATTCGTAAGCATAGGTCCATAAGGTTGGGTTACAGCATTTCGATGAGACCGAATGGACACAAATGTGCACGCAAGAGGAAAGTGTGCGCATAAACAGCATAACGCTAGTGCTCACGCTCGCGCCGTTGATCAATCCCTGAAAAATGCACCATGCATTCGACTCCATTCGTAGCATTGTAGGGGGTGATTGAATGCATGTCTGGCCTTTACATTGACTCGCGGTGGCCTACCGATGCATCGAGCCAGTGCTGGTGTCCTCTCAGACAAGTCTAATACCAATTTGCAGACACCAAAGGGATGGAAGACTTGGTAGACCTAGGGCGCGAGGATGGATCTCATGTGTATTGCAGAGCGCTGCTGACCACTGCGCTACACGCGCACGATAATCACCATACATTGGTAAATTGCTGCTCATTTGAGCTGTATTCACGTCTAGGTAGCTCTAAAATAGAGTCGCTTAACGTTATCACCATTGTACTTCTTTACAATATTCGGCATTAACAATTCGTGAATAACACGAGAAGCCGTTCTCAAGCGGTTTGTACCATCCTCATCTCGATCTGGTTTAACCCAGCTTTAACTCAGTTGTACATAAAAGACATAGAAGTGTAGGTTTGGGCAGTTTGATAGTAGCAAGTGTTGTTTAAGGGGACAAGTGGTGATCATTGTAAATGTGGCTTCAAAGTGTGGATACACGAGCGGTCACTACAAGGAGTTAAAAGCTGTACAAGACAAGTACTACGAACAAGGTCTGCGAGTGGCTGCTTTCCCTTGCAATCAGTTTGGAGGACAAGTAAGTTTACTCAGATCTGGTACTGTTGCAGTGATGAAATGTATTTACTGTTCTGTATCACTCGAAAGACTGACTTTCTATAAACCTCGGCATGGATAGTTGATATATTTATTTATTTGATCTTATAAACTGATCTTCTTAAGCTGACGCTAGGTTGGTACAGATCTTCGTTGTCGTTGTTTTTGATGTTATTGATCGATGGCTGACGTTTCGGCGACTTCGCCTTCCTCAGAGCCTGGACGTACTTTATGTTGGAATACTTTTTAGTATTCGGTGGAAAAGAAGGTTAAAGTATTAATGAAGATCAAACTTTCAAATAGACGCCATATTGAACAGAAAAGCCACTCACTGTGATATTACGTGCGGGACTGGCCCACACGAAGTTCACGAGGAGTCCCGAGCAAGACACGCCCCGGGGTCAAAATATCATTTTAAAATAGGGCGCCAGGTCACGCGTGATAGTGAGGCATTCGTCCTTCCGGTTCATCTCTGGATTTTTGAAATTTATCCAAAACGTCTCAAGAGTTTCGTGCGTTAATGTTTTTG